AGGAGAACTCACTACCTCTGTCAGAGTGCAAGCGCAGGACAAGAAAGTCCGACTGAAAGCGCTTGCTGAGCTGAAGGCGAGCTCGGCTGATCTAGGGGATCAAAACATCAGGGACCTCACCCTTGGTGGGCAAGGGGAAGACCGTGGTGTAGCGCGAGTAGTCGTCGACAACTATCAGGAAGTATCTCTCCTGACCCTGACCACGGACGCGGGCTGGGCCCCACACGTCCATGTGGAGCGTCTGCAAAGGAGCAGTCGTCGGGGGAAACGAGGAGGAGTGAGGGGCAGCGCGCTGCCGCCCCTCGACACAGGGAAGACAAGGAGGGGCAAGGGAGGGTGGGAGGGGAGGGAGTACCCGAGGAAGACCAGAGACAAGGTTCCGGGCGTGCATGTCCCGAAGGCGCTGCACTGACGGGTGACCAAGTCGGTGGTGCCAGAGAACTGTCTTGTGCGCTAGAGAGCGACACGAGCAGGGGGCTGACAGCTGACCTGGCGCAGACGCAGACGCAGCTCTTGAGGGGACTCGGTGGTCAGTGTGTACAGGTCCGACCCTGGCTGCCTAGTGAAGGTAGCCAGGTGACGTCCCGTCCGAGCACACGTGCAGTGTGTCACGCGCTCGTAGGCAGGGGTGAACTGGTGAACACCCCCATCCTGGAGCGCACAACCCGCCACCAAGTTCGTAGAGAACGAGGGGAGGTGGAGACCTGACAGTGTGCCCGACGGGACCGCAGGACAAGGAAGGGCAGTGGAGGAGGTCGCAATGACCGGACCCCCAGAGGGGTCAGCAAGGGAGACAGCGACTGGCCGAGCAAGGGGCTCAAGGGCAGTGCGGTCACGAAAGAAACAGCGCGAAGCGCCTGAGTCTAGAGTAAAGGTGTGCAGTGCCTCAGTGGACTCAGTAGTACCTGGGGTGGCGGACACACCGGCACCTAGAGCAGCAGCCTCACCAGCACCTGGGGCAGCCTCACCAGTTCCTGGGGCAGCAGACACGCAAGCACCTAGAGCGGCAGCCTCACGCATGCGGATGCCCGGGTCAGGCGGAACACACAGGTACTGATCCTCCTCTCCACTAGTAGTCAATGCATACATAGCTTTGAGAAAAACATCAAAGTCAAGAGCATAGATATCAACATCCTTTTTGAGGAGATCAGCCCACTGGGGGGTCTCAGGAGCGTCAGGGAACTGAGCACGCCAAGCGTCGTCTAGGCGAGAGAAGCAGCGCTGCGCGGTGTGCGCCCTCCCACACGTCTGTCCCTTGCGGCGACCAGTGCGGATGACGTACGTGCAGCTAAGACCACCCCCCCCCCCCCCCCCCCCCGTGCTGTAAGTACCACTCACGGAGCTCCTGGGACGACTGAGGGTGCTGCGTGCTCTGGCCAGTGCCAGAGCCTCCACGACCACCACCGCCGCCGCCACCACGACCACCACCACCCTTGCCGCCGCCACGTCCACCGCCGCCCCCACCCCGACCACAACCGCCGCCGCTGCCTCCACCACCCCCACCGCCGCCACCACCCCCACCACCGCCTCCCCCACCGTCACCCCCACCGCCCTTGCCTCCCCTGCCCTTGCCGTTGCGGCGCCCGCTGGGAGCGGACGCGGACCCGACCTGCTCAGCACCAAGGAGGTCGACAGCAGCAGCAGAGGCGACAGAGGGGAGCAGGGGGGAAGGGGAACACCCCTCGAAGAACGGGGTGCGGGGGTCGCCACGAGAGGCACCTACAGCTACAATACTCTTCTCAGCTGCAAGTAGTTCCTTCTCTAGGGCGGCAATGGTGAGCTCAGTAGGGCAGTGAGCTAGGAAGTGGTCCCTGACTGTACGCAGAGTGTCAGGGAGGCGGGTGACTAGGTGGTAGAGAGTGAGCCAGAGCGGGGGAGGGTTGGAGGCAAGAAACACAGCGGGCATGGCTGCACGGAAGCGGGCATCACTAGTGCGGAGGTGAGTGATGAGGTCAGCGACTGTCTGGAAGGCGGACAGGTCCGGGAACAGGTAGGGAAGCGAGAGACGGCCTAGTGCAGCTGAGGCCGGGGAGGAGTAGCGCGCAACTACAGCAGTGTACAGGGCCTGCGCAGTCTGATGCTGGCCAAAGTGCTCGCGCTCATCGACTGGCAGGGAGTTGCGAATAGCAAAGCGGGCGTGGGCATCGCGAGTCTGCCACTGCGAGCGAGCAGTAGCGGCAGCAGTAGTAGCAGGAGCAGGGACTGTGCCTAGTGCGTGATCGTACAGCGAGATATCCTCTCTGGCAGTGAGCTGGAGGAACAGGTGCAGATCATCGAGCCATGTATCAAACTTAATCGGGCGGCCCTCAGTATCGAACAAGAGAACAGTAGGGCTAGCCATAGTCGGAGTAGTAGCAGCAGTAGCAGTGGTAGGGGCAGCAGTAGGAGCAGCAGTAGGAGCAGTTCAGTACTGGCACTGCAGCTCTGTTAAGGTGGGCGCGACTCGGCTAGGGCGGTGCGACTCGGCTAGGGCGGCGCGGCTCGGCTAGGGCGGCGCGGCTTGGCTAGGGCGGCGCGGCTCGGTCGGGTCGCGCTTTGGCTCGGGTCGCGCGGTTCGGCTCGGTCCTAGAGGGGGCGAACGCGAGGCCGCTCGGGGCCGTTAAGGGAGAGCGCGGGGCCGTTCGGGGCTAGCGCGGGACCTGAGGGGGCCGTGAGAGGCTAGCGCGGGGGGCCGCACGAGGCCGTTCGGGGCTAGCGCGGGGCCGATCGGGGCCGTGAGAGGCTAGCGCTGGGCCGGCGGGGGCCTTAAGGGGCTAGCGCGAGGCCTGAGGGGGCCGTGAGAGGCTAGCGCGGGGGCCGCACGGGGCCGTTCGGGGCTAGCGCGGGGCCGTTCGGGGCCGTGAGAGGCTAGCGCGGGGCCGATCGGGGGCCGTGAGAGGCTAGCGCGGGGCCACACGGGGCCGGGAGAGGCTAGCGCGGGGCCGTGAGGGGCCTTAAGAACGAGGCGCTCTAGGCGCAGGAAAAGGCGGCGCACGAAGGCGCGGCTAGCGGAAACAGTGGGCCCTAACGTTTCGGTCCTAGGTGAAACCTAGGCTCGTAATACCATGTCAGAATGAGAAACAAGAATGAATGACTAGAATGAGTGTTGGGTACAAATAGGTCAAACCTAACCCTAGAAATGTGTACTCACTATAGGCTAACCCACTGTAGCCTAAACAAGCACAACATACAATGTTTGACACGACTATGCTGGCGCGGCAGTCACGGATGCGGGGAACAATGGCCTGGGCACAGACACGGCGGGCGCGGGCATTGCGGGAAAGGGTGCGGCGGGCAACGACGCAGTGGGCAAGGGCGCGTCCAAGGTCGCACCAAAGAATGTGAAGAGCGCACCGAACAAGGTCACAGCCAAGGGTGCGGCGGGAATGGTCGCACCTAACAAGGGCGCGGCGGACAACCATGACGCAGCAGGCAAAGGTGCGGTTAACAACGGCGCGCTGAAGAAGGTCGTAGCCAAGGGCACGACGGAAACGGTCACGCTGAACAAGGGCGCGGCGGACAAAGGCGCAGCAGGCGAGGGAGCGGCTAACAACGGCGCACAGAAGGACGCAGCCATTGTTGCAGGTGGTTAGCTAACCACGACCTAAAGGGACCTACGACGACCTAAGAAGAAATCGGTGTGACTAGCAGTGACTAAGGGGGAGTAAGGACCGAAGAAGAATATGAGCTACTTGTGTTGGGGCGGTAGATGAAGGAACACTAAGCTGGTTTAAGGCGTGTTCTAGCGTTTTGAGGATAGGCGGAATTTACTAAGTATGACGGACAATCATACTGAGGCGAGTTCGGGCTCCTCTGTGAGCATTGGAGGCCCAGAACTACAGGCCATCCTAACAGCGCTAGCACAAGCTAAATTGACGGCGAAGCCAACGATTGGGCTTAGCGAGGCCCAACGGTTCCATGGAGAAAATTATAGCACGTGGCGACTCAAGTTCATTCGTAGAGCAAAGGAAGCCGATCTCTGGCCATACTATCATCCCGACAAGGAGACGGGAGAGGGCGTCCGACCATCTGCAAAAGAAAAACCAGAAGAAAACGCGTCATTCAAAAAAGGGAGTAAGCAAGCCTTTTTTCAGTTGTGCCATTCGGTTTCTGACAGCATTGCAGTGGGGCTGGATCAATTTGCGGGAGAGGAGAACTCTGCCAAACGAGCCTGGGAGTACATGGAAGCTGCTTACCTTGGGCTTACGGATACGAACAAAGCAGCCATTCGGAAGAAACTCCTTCTGTTGAGTATGGAGCCGGGGGAGAGGGTCATTGACTACATGAATCGAGCGAAGGGGTACAATGACGACCTCAAGGCTATGGGGGCAGCTGAAATTGAAGGAGAAATGATGGGATACATCATTACTGGGCTGCCCAAGGAGTGGGAAGCAGAGATAGGGCTTCTAACCTGCAACCCACCCGCGAATATGACCAAGCTGTTGGAGACGCTCCAAGCTCTGGAGCGGGTGAAAGCTGATCGGCTCAGGAAGGAGATTAGCTTGAGCGGAATGGGACCAGCCACTCATGCTATGGTAAACGCAGCAGCGACAGGGAAAGGATATGGAGGATTCGAGGCGTGTTTTCAGTGTGGGAAGAAGGGTCATAAGCAGGTAGATTGCTATGACAACCCGAGGAGCAGAAATTTTAAGGGAAAATGGAGCGGTCTGCAGCAGAAGGGGCTGCAGAATGGATGGCAGCAGAGAGAGGGGGAGGTTCGAGGTGATAACAAGATGCAGAGAGGCGGATTTTCAGGGGCATGTCACTATTGCCAGAAAATTGGGCATAGGGCAGCCAACTGCTACTCGAACCCGAACAGCATGAACTACCGAGGGGCAAACCAGCAGCAAAATCAACTAGCAGCAGCAAAAGCAAATGCAGTGGAAGCTGAAAACAGTGAGGCGGACGTAATTTTGGGGGGAGATCACAAGGCAAACGTGGCAAGGGCATCGGGAGTGTCTTTGATGGCAAAGGGGTTTGGTGAAGCTGCGTGGTTCATGGATAGTGGCTGCACGCAACATATGACCAATCATCGTGAGTGGCTTACCGGATTGAGGGAGTCTAGTGTACCCTACGTTCTATTGGGCGATGAAGGAAAACTGAGTGTGAAGGGGGAAGGAGAGTTGCTGCTCCAGGGAGAGTACGGGGAGCTGAAATTGGAGAATGTGCTTTTAGTGGAGAAGCTGTCACTGAATCTGATCAGCCAAACTCAACTTGACAGCACGGGGTGCAAAACCTTGAGCGACAAGGGGAAGCTGTGGGTTTTCAATGAGGATTGGAAGGTGGTTGCAGAAGGAAATAGAAATCAGGGGTTGTATGAAATGAAGCTGAGGAAGAAGGGGCTGGAGGATGAGAATGCCACATACCTGCCATCACTCGAAGGGGACCTAGCTAGGGAGGAGTTGAAGGCTCGGCTTGGTGGCTTACCAGTGAAGGAGCTGCAACAGGAAGCTTCAGCCATGGTGGTTGGGATGGAGAAGGTGGAATTGGAGACCTTGCACAGGCGCATGGGGCATGCAAGCATGGATAGGGTCAAGGAGTTGGTAAAAAAGGGGATGGTAAAAGGTGTGGCACTGAAGGAGGGGGCTGGAAGCAAGGGAAAATGCAGCAAGTGTGTTGAAGGTAAAACCACAAAGTCCCCTCACCCCCACCACCAGGTACATGAGCCTTATGGCACCTTGGACATCGTAGCTGCCGACGTCTGTGGGCCTATAAGGGTGGCATCACGTCACGGCAGCCGCTACTTCGTTACCTTCACTGATTTGGGAACAAGGCACACATGGGTGACGGAGCTGAAAGATAAGGCAGAAGTGTTTCCTAGCTTCGTTACTTGGATGGCGGAAGCGGAGCGGCAAAGTGGGAAGGTGCTGAAAGTTTGAAGGACAGATAATGGAGGGGAGTTTACCGGTGAGCTATTCAACAAGTTTCTACAGAGTAAGGGCATCCGACGGCAGCTGACTGTACCCTACACTCCACAACATAACAGCATAGCGGAGCGGGTGAATCGGTCTCTACTAGACAGTATGAGGAGCATGCTTGCCGACAGTGGGCTGCCACTGAAGTTCTGGGGTGATGCATTGGCAATGGCTTGCTGGTCCAAGAACCGCCTACCTACCAAGGGACTTCAAGCAGATATGACTCCCCACAAGGCCTTCTATGGCAGGAAGCCGAATCTGGGGTTTGCACGGGTGTGGGGGAGTATGGTGCAATACAGGGAGCCAGCTGGTCCGGATCATAAGTTACTGCCCAAGGCTCATTGGGGGATTAACCTCGGTACCTGCCCAGTGAGCAAGGGGTGGGTGATAAAGGATGTAATTTCAGGAAAGGTCACGATCACCCGGGATGTTGTCTTCTACGAGGAGGTGAACTACCTGCAGTGGAAGGGAATAGAGAAAGAGATTGCAAGAGCAGGGACAGCAACTGCACCGAACAAGGCGGAGGATCTTTTGGAGGAAAAGGAGAGTGAGGGAGTTGGAGACGAAGGAGATGAGGAGCTTGAAGATGTGGAACGGGCAGATTCAGACGATTGGGTGTGGGAGAAGGTACCAACCAGTGAAGCGGATGAAACCAATGGAGTGGAGATAGCAGGGGAGCAGCCAAGCAATGAAGTAGCTGAGGGTGGCAATGATGAAGTGGCCGGAGAAGAGGGAGATGAAGAATCAGCAGCTGAAGGAGATAGTGATCCTTGGGAGCTCCTAGATAGTGAAGACAGCAATGTCAAGATGAGAGAGATAGCGGACCTGCTTAAGGAAGGTGCCATCATCATTGGAAGGGAAGTGAAATCTGGAAATGAGAATGAGAAGGCATTGGAGGATCTCAGTGAAGATGAGGCTGAATCACCTGCAGAGGAGTTGGGGAAAGGAAAGAGGGTGAAGAAACCAAACCCTCGGTATGTGCAACTGCTGATGACGTGCTGGAAGGACATCCATACCCACCTTCTACTCTCTGCCACAGCTACTGACCTAGTCTCCAATGAAGGAAAAGTGACACACAACCTGCCCCAAGAACCAGTGAGCATCGAGGAAACGCTAGAGGGTCCAGAAAGGGAGCAGTGGAAAGCAGCAATAGAGGAGGAGTTGAACACATTGGCTGAAAGGGGCACATAGGAGCTCGTGCCTATGCCGGAAGGGAGGAAAGCCGTGGGGGTGAAGTGGATTTTTAAAATCAAGACCGGAGATATGGGGCAGCTGGAAAGGTTCAAAGCAAGGCTTGTAGCCAAGGGCTACACTCAGGTGGAGGGGAAAGACTACCAACAAAATGAGATCTACGCTCCAGTGAGCAAGTTGGCAACGGCACGAGTCTTTCTCAAGGTGGTAGCAGCAAGAAAATACTTCATGGTGCAGCTGGATATTAAAAACGCGTTTTTGTATGGGGTGTTGAAGGAGGACATCTACCTCGAGCAACCACCAGGGCATGACGACGGCTCGGGCAGAAAATGCAAGCTCAACAAGGCATTATATGGGCTGAAGCAGAGTCCTAGGGAGTGGTATATGGCGATGGATGAGCGGCTGCTGCAAGGGGGATTTCAGAAAAGTGAGTGTGATAGGGCGTTCTACTGGAAGGGAGAAGGGAAGGAGAAGGTGTTCTTGGTGCTATATGTGGATGACATCTTTGTGGCTGGGGCGTTAGAGGAGGAGGTGGAGAAGGTGTGTGCTCATCTTGCGAAAGTCTTTCAAGTGAAGCAGATTCCGAGGACCACACTCTTTCTCGGCATGAATCTTGAGCGACGTAAGGAGGAGAGGAAGATGTTCCTATACCAGCAGAAATATTGCAGCAGGGTGCAGCAGAGGTTTGGCAACGGCTACACGAAGGCAATTTCTACACCATTGAGTGGCGTAGCTGAAAGTGACAGTGAACGGGAGGAGGATGTCAACCAATGGGGCGGCGAGGAGAGAGCTCTGCAAGTGTATCAGTCCATGGTGGGGTCTATAATGTATCCGGTCTCATGCACGCGCGTCGACATGGCATACGCAGCTAGCTATCTTGGGCAACAAGTGCAGCAGCAAGGGGAGAGAAAATGGAGAGAGATGAGGAGGACTATCGACTACCTACTGCAACATGAAGATGAGGGGTTGTTATTCGAAGGAGGTGAAGAGACCTTGGAGTTAGTGGGGTATGCGGATGCTTCACATGCATCCGATAAGAAAACAAGGAAGGGAGCATATGCTTACGTGTTTCTGCTCAGCGGGACAGCAATCATGTGGCAAGCGAAAAGGTTGGCTGACATAGCGCTCTCTAGTGCGGAAGCGGAGTACATGGCTCTGTTTTTCGCTTGCCAAGAGGGGGTTTGGCTGAGAAGGCTACTCAAGGAGATGGAAATCAAGGTGGAAGGGCCGACGGTGATACGCACGGATAGCAAATCTGCCATCGACTTGGCTCACAACGACAATTGGCACGGGAAGACCAAGCATATGGATGTGAAGTATCATTGGGTGTGTTCAAAGGTGAGTAGCAAGGAGTTCAAGTTTGAATTCGTACGTACGGAGGCACAAGCAGCAGATTTTCTGACTAAGGTGTTACCAAGGGCTAATTTTGAGCGTTGCAAGAGAGAGGTTGGGATGCGTACCTTGGCTGAATTGCAGGGGAGTGTGGAGCAGGGCTAAAGGTGGTTCAAGTTGAAATGTGCGAGGGAGAGTGCATAAGCTGGTGGTTAGCAAACCACAGGGGAGATTGTTGCAGGTGGTTAGCTAACCACGACCTAAAGGGACCTACGTCGACCTAAGAAGAAATCGGTGTGACTAGCAGTGACTAAGGGGGAGTAAGGACCGAAGAAGAATATGAGCTACTTGTGTTGGGGCGGTAGATGAAGGAACATGGCAGGGCGGAACCTATGGTGAGAAACGGAGAGAACAAGAGGAAGCGTGCGGATGTGGAGAAGCTCAGGGCTGAAATGTCGAGATTTGAAGTGAAGTGAAGAGAAGTCACGCCGGGTCAAAGGCGCGTCCAAGGAAGTCTGAAATTCGAACTCGAGGCGCGTTCGGTGCATGGTTGGATGTGGAAATTGAGCCGAGTACAAGTCAGCTCGAAATTAGGCGCGACGCGAGGGCGAAATCAGAAATCCTTTTGCTTATAACTTGCTTTGTGTTTTCTGTTTTTGTATGCCTTCTTCAATGAAATTACTTGAACTTTCTGCCTTGACGTTTTCCAGCACATTTCTTCACACAGTTGAGACCAGAGCTTCCTAAGATTGCTAATAAGACTCTGAACAGTCTTTATAGTCTAGACTAAAGGCTGCGCACGTACAAGAGCTGGTATCAGAGCTGGTTTAAGGCGTGTTCTAGCGTTTTGAGGATAGGCGGAATTTACTAAGTATGACGGACAATCATACTGAGGCGAGTTCGGGCTCCTCTGTGAGCATTGGAGGCCCAGAACTACAGGCCATCCTAACAGCGCTAGCACAAGCTAAATTGACGGCGAAGCCAACGATTGGGCTTAGCGAGGCCCAACGGTTCCATGGAGAAAATTATAGCACGTGGCGACTCAAGTTCATTCGTAGAGCAAAGGAAGTCGATCTCTGGCCATACTATCATCCCGACAAGGAGACGGGAGAGGGCGTCCGACCATCTGCAAAAGAAAAACCAGAAGAAAACGCGTCATTCAAAAAAGGGAGTAAGCAAGCCTTTTTTCAGTTGTGCCATTCGGTTTCTGACAGCATTGCAGTGGGGCTGGATCAATTTGCGGGAGAGGAGAACTCTGCCGAACGAGCCTGGGAGTACATGGAAGCTGCTTACCTTGGGCTTACGGATACGAACAAAGCAGCCATTCCGAAGAAACTCCTTCTGTTGAGTATGGAGCTGGGGGAGAGGGTCATTGACTACATGAATCGAGCGAAGGGGTACAATGACGACCTCAAGGCTATGGGGGCAGCTGAAATTGAAGGAGAAATGATGGGATACATCATTACTGGGCTGCCCAAGGAGTGGGAAGCAGAGATAGGGCTTCTAACCTGCAACCCACCCGCGAATATGACCAAGCTGTTGGAGACGCTCCAAGCTCTGGAGCGGGTGAAAGCTGATCGGCTCAGGAAGGAGATTAGCTTGAGCGGAATGGGACCAGCCACTCATGCTATGGTAAACGCAGCAGCGACAGGGAAAGGATATGGAGGATTCGAGGCGTGTTTTCAGTGTGGGAAGAAGGGTCATAAGCAGGTAGATTGCTATGACAACCCGAGGAGCAGAAATTTTAAGGGAAAATGGAGCGGTCTGCAGCAGAAGGGGCTGCAGAATGGATGGCAGCAGAGAGAGGGGGAGGTTCGAGGTGATAACAAGATGCTGAGAGGCGGATTTTCAGGGGCATGTCACTATTGCCAGAAAATTGGGCATAGGGCAGCCAACTGCTACTCGAACCCGAACAGCATGAACTACCGAGGGGCAAACCAGCAGCAAAATCAACTAGCAGCAGCAAAAGCAAATGCAGTGGAAGCTGAAAACAGTGAGGCGGACGTAATTTTGGGGGGAGATCACAAGGCAAACGTGGCAAGGGCATCGGGAGTGTCTTTGATGGCAAAGGGGTTTGGTGAAGCTGCGTGGTTCATGGATAGTGGCTGCACGCAACATATGACCAATCATCGTGAGTGGCTTACCGGATTGAGGGAGTCTAGTGTACCCTACGTTCTATTGGGCGATGAAGGAAAACTGAGTGTGAAGGGGGAAGGAGAGTTGCTGCTCCAGGGAGAGTACGGGGAGCTGAAATTGGAGAATGTGCTTTTAGTGGAGAAGCTGTCACTGAATCTGATCAGCCAAACTCAACTTGACAGCACGGGGTGCAAAACCTTGAGCGACAAGGGGAAGCTGTGGGTTTTCAATGAGGATTGGAAGGTGGTTGCAGAAGGAAATAGAAATCAGGGGTTGTATGAAATGAAGCTGAGGAAGAAGGGGCTGGAGGATGAGAATGCCACATACCTGCCATCACTCGAAGGGGACCTAGCTAGGGAGGAGTTGAAGGCTCGGCTTGGTGGCTTACCAGTGAAGGAGCTGCAACAGGAAGCTTCAGCCATGGTGGTTGGGATGGAGAAGGTGGAATTGGAGACCTTGCACAGGCGCATGGGGCATGCAAGCATGGATAGGGTCAAGGAGTTGGTAAAAAAGGGGATGGTAAAAGGTGTGGCACTGAAGGAGGGGGCTGGAAGCAAGGGAAAATGCAGCAAGTGTGTTGAAGGTAAAACCACAAAGTCCCCTCACCCCCACCACCAGGTACATGAGCCTTATGGCACCTTGGACATCGTAGCTGCCGACGTCTGTGGGCCTATAAGGGTGGCATCACGTCACGGCAGCCGCTACTTCGTTACCTTCACTGATTTGGGAACAAGGCACACATGGGTGACGGAGCTGAAAGATAAGGCAGAAGTGTTTCCTAGCTTCGTTACTTGGATGGCGGAAGCGGAGCGGCAAAGTGGGAAGGTGCTGAAAGTTTGAAGGACAGATAATGGAGGGGAGTTTACCGGTGAGCTATTCAACAAGTTTCTACAGAGTAAGGGCATCCGACGGCAGCTGACTGTACCCTACACTCCACAACATAACAGCATAGCGGAGCGGGTGAATCGGTCTCTACTAGACAGTATGAGGAGCATGCTTGCCGACAGTGGGCTGCCACTGAAGTTCTGGGGTGATGCATTGGCAATGGCTTGCTGGTCCAAGAACCGCCTACCTACCAAGGGACTTCAAGCAGATATGACTCCCCACAAGGCCTTCTATGGCAGGAAGCCGAATCTGGGGTTTGCACGGGTGTGGGGGAGTATGGTGCAATACAGGGAGCCAGCTGGTCCGGATCATAAGTTACTGCCCAAGGCTCATTGGGGGATTAACCTCGGTACCTGCCCAGTGAGCAAGGGGTGGGTGATAAAGGATGTAATTTCAGGAAAGGTCACGATCACCCGGGATGTTGTCTTCTACGAGGAGGTGAACTACCTGCAGTGGAAGGGAATAGAGAAAGAGATTGCAAGAGCAGGGACAGCAACTGCACCGAACAAGGCGGAGGATCTTTTGGAGGAAAAGGAGAGTGAGGGAGTTGGAGACGAAGGAGATGAGGAGCTTGAAGATGTGGAACGGGCAGATTCAGACGATTGGGTGTGGGAGAAGGTACCAACCAGTGAAGCGGATGAAACCAATGGAGTGGAGATAGCAGGGGAGCAGCCAAGCAATGAAGTAGCTGAGGGTGGCAATGATGAAGTGGCCGGAGAAGAGGGAGATGAAGAATCAGCAGCTGAAGGAGATAGTGATCCTTGGGAGCTCCTAGATAGTGAAGACAGCAATGTCAAGATGAGAGAGATAGCGGACCTGCTTAAGGAAGGTGCCATCATCATTGGAAGGGAAGTGAAATCTGGAAATGAGAATGAGAAGGCATTGGAGGATCTCAGTGAAGATGAGGCTGAATCACCTGCAGAGGAGTTGGGGAAAGGAAAGAGGGTGAAGAAACCAAACCCTCGGTATGTGCAACTGCTGATGACGTGCTGGAAGGACATCCATACCCACCTTCTACTCTCTGCCACAGCTACTGACCTAGTCTCCAATGAAGGAAAAGTGACACACAACCTGCCCCAAGAACCAGTGAGCATCGAGGAAACGCTAGAGGGTCCAGAAAGGGAGCAGTGGAAAGCAGCAATAGAGGAGGAGTTGAACACATTGGCTGAAAGGGGCACATAGGAGCTCGTGCCTATGCCGGAAGGGAGGAAAGCCGTGGGGGTGAAGTGGATTTTTAAAATCAAGACCGGAGATATGGGGCAGCTGGAAAGGTTCAAAGCAAGGCTTGTAGCCAAGGGCTACACTCAGGTGGAGGGGAAAGACTACCAACAAAATGAGATCTACGCTCCAGTGAGCAAGTTGGCAACGGCACGAGTCTTTCTCAAGGTGGTAGCAGCAAGAAAATACTTCATGGTGCAGCTGGATATTAAAAACGCGTTTTTGTATGGGGTGTTGAAGGAGGACATCTACCTCGAGCAACCACCAGGGCATGACGACGGCTCGGGCAGAAAATGCAAGCTCAACAAGGCATTATATGGGCTGAAGCAGAGTCCTAGGGAGTGGTATATGGCGATGGATGAGCGGCTGCTGCAAGGGGGATTTCAGAAAAGTGAGTGTGATAGGGCGTTCTACTGGAAGGGAGAAGGGAAGGAGAAGGTGTTCTTGGTGCTATATGTGGATGACATCTTTGTGGCTGGGGCGTTAGAGGAGGAGGTGGAGAAGGTGTGTGCTCATCTTGCGAAAGTCTTTCAAGTGAAGCAGATTCCGAGGACCACACTCTTTCTCGGCATGAATCTTGAGCGACGTAAGGAGGAGAGGAAGATGTTCCTATACCAGCAGAAATATTGCAGCAGGGTGCAGCAGAGGTTTGGCAACGGCTACACGAAGGCAATTTCTACACCATTGAGTGGCGTAGCTGAAAGTGACAGTGAACGGGAGGAGGATGTCAACCAATGGGGCGGCGAGGAGAGAGCTCTGCAAGTGTATCAGTCCATGGTGGGGTCTATAATGTATCCGGTCTCATGCACGCGCGTCGACATGGCATACGCAGCTAGCTATCTTGGGCAACAAGTGCAGCAGCAAGGGGAGAGAAAATGGAGAGAGATGAGGAGGACTATCGACTACCTACTGCAACATGAAGATGAGGGGTTGTTATTCGAAGGAGGTGAAGAGACCTTGGAGTTAGTGGGGTATGCGGATGCTTCACATGCATCCGATAAGAAAACAAGGAAGGGAGCATATGCTTACGTGTTTCTGCTCAGCGGGACAGCAATCATGTGGCAAGCGAAAAGGTTGGCTGACATAGCGCTCTCTAGTGCGGAAGCGGAGTACATGGCTCTGTTTTTCGCTTGCCAAGAGGGGGTTTGGCTGAGAAGGCTACTCAAGGAGATGGAAATCAAGGTGGAAGGGCCGACGGTGATACGCACGGATAGCAAATCTGCCATCGACTTGGCTCACAACGACAATTGGCACGGGAAGACCAAGCATATGGATGTGAAGTATCATTGGGTGTGTTCAAAGGTGAGTAGCAAGGAGTTCAAGTTTGAATTCGTACGTACGGAGGCACAAGCAGCAGATTTTCTGACTAAGGTGTTACCAAGGGCTAATTTTGAGCGTTGCAAGAGAGAGGTTGGGATGCGTACCTTGGCTGAATTGCAGGGGAGTGTGGAGCAGGGCTAAAGGTGGTTCAAGTTGAAATGTGCGAGGGAGAGTGCATAAGCTGGTGGTTAGCAAACCACAGGGGAGATTGTTGCAGGTGGTTAGCTAACCACGACCTAAAGGGACCTACGTCGACCTAAGAAGAAATCGGTGTGACTAGCAGTGACTAAGGGGGAGTAAGGACCGAAGAAGAATATGAGCTACTTGTGTTGGGGCGGTAGATGAAGGAACACGGCAGCGGCGGAACCTATGGTGAGAAACGGAGAGAACAAGAGGAAGCGTGCGGATGTGGAGAAGCTCAGGGCTGAAATGTCGAGATTTGAAGTGAAGTGAAGAGAAGTCACGCCGGGTCAAAGGCGTGTCCAAGGAAGTCTGAAATTCGAACTCGAGGCGCGTTCGGTGCATGGTTGGATGTGGAAATTGAGCCGAGTACAAGTCAGCTCGAAATTAGGCGCGACGGGAGGGCGAAATCAGAAATCCTTTTGCTTATAACTTGCTTTGTGTTTTCTGTTTTTGTATGCCTTCTTCAATGAAATTACTTGAACTTTCTGCCTTGACGTTTTCCAGCACATTTCTTCACGCAGTTGAGACCAGAGCTTCCTAAGATTGCTAATAAGACTCTGAACAGTCTTTATAGTCTAGACTAAAGGCTGCACACGTACAAGAGCCAAGGGCACGGCAGGAATGGTCGCGCCGAACAAGGGTGCGGCAGTGACGAACAAGGGCGCCAAGAGCAAGGGTCTGGCTAACAAGGGCGCAGCAGGCAAGGGAGCGGCGGACAAGGGCGGAGCAGGCAAGGGAGTGGCGGACAAGGGCGCAGCAGGCAAGGGAGCGGCGGACAAGGGCACGGCGGGCAAGGGAGCGGCCGGCAAGGTTGCAACGGACAAGGCCGCGGCGGGCAAGGGTGCAGCGGGAAAGTTCGTGCCGAGCGAGGCGAATAAGAGCGCGGCGACGGCGAGTCACAACGCCAAGAACCAGCCTGCTACTGAGATGATTGGAGCGGCGAGCAACAAACCCATGCGCCCTCACATGGCAACGGCGGAGGACGTGGCGATCCATCATGATGGTGGCGCGGCTAACTTGAAGACGACATCAGGCAACGCGGCGATTGCCCCATCAAACGCACAATCGCCGCGCCCACATGTTGTGCGTCCGCACATGGCGACTGCGTAGGACGTGGCGATCCATCACGATGATAGTGGCGCTAAGACGTCATCAAGCAACGCCCAACCGCCTCGCCCACACGCCGTCCGTCCTCACATGGCAACAGCGGAGGACGTGGCGATCCATGGTGGCGCTGAGACGGCATCAGGCGGCCAACCGTCACGTGGCAACGCAGGAATTTCCCCGTCGAACGCCAAACGCCTCGGCCACACGCCGTCCGTCCTCACATGGCGCCGGTGCCGGCGATTGCGAGTCACATCGCCAAGAATCAGCCTGCTGCTGCGACGATGGGAGCAAGAAACAAACCCGTGAGTCCTCGCATGGCAACGGCTAACGACGTGGCGATCCATGGTGGCGCTAAGACGGCATCAGGCGGCAATGCGGAACTTGCCCCGTCGAACGCCCAACCGTCGCGCCAACACGACGAGCGCCCTCACATGGCGACGGCTGAGGACGTGGCAGTCGTTCCCCAGGCGCGGGCGCCGGCGCCGGCGAGTCACAGCGCCGAGAATCAGCCTCCTGCAATGATGGGAGCAAGCAAGACGCACGTGCGACCTCACATGGCGACGGCTGAGGACGTGGTGATAATTTACCCGGGATCAGCAAAGGCGACGGCGGCGGCGACGACTCTGCGCGTGGGGGAGGGAAAGGCGCGTCCTCACATGGCGACGGCTGAGGACGTGGCGATCGTTCCCCAGGCGCGGGCGCCGGCACCGGCGAGTCACAGTGCCGAGAATCAGCCTCCTCCTGCGATGATGGGAGCAAGCAAGACGCACGAGCGACCTCACATGGCGACGGCTGAGGACGTGGCGATAATTTACCCGGGATCAGCAAAGGCGACGGCGGCGGCGGCGACTCTGCGCGCGGGGGAGGGAAAGGCGCGTCCTCACATGGCGACGGCTGAGGACGTGGTGATAGTTCCCCAGGCGCCGGCAGCGGCAACGCCGATGGGAGCAGACAAGGAAGAGGAGATGCGGGCAGAGGCATGGAGGAATGTGGTGTCTGATGATGAGGATGGTGAGGAGAAGGATGGTAGCGATGACAATGGCGATGATGAGGAGAAGGACGATGACAACAACGACAACAACAACAAGGATGATGGCAAGGACGATGATGAAAAGGACGATGAGAAGGACGATGAGAACGACGATGAGAAGGACGATGAGAAGAACGGCAGCGATGACCATGGCAAGGACAGCAATGAGAAGGAGGATCATGGCCTGGACAGGGACAATGGCAAGGGCAACAACAACTTGTTGCGCGACAAAGATAACAACGACACGGGCAATGACAATGAAGAGAAGGACGATGACAACGATGCGGTGAACTGGCACGGGGGGGAGAGCAGCAGCCAAGGACAACGAAGGGGCAGGACTCGGGCCATGAACGAAGCATCATCTCGCATCTCTCGATTCGACAACAACCGTGGCTGGGAGCTTGAGGGCAATCAGCGCACTGGACTGCACAAGGCACAGCAGTTTCGCATGGCAACGAGCAGTGATGTGGCCATTCACAGAAGTGGGACCCAGGGCACCGTCAAGGGAGCACCCTCTCGCTTTTCTCGCCCCAAGCAACAACCGTGGCTGGGAGAATCGCAGCAATCAGCGCACTGGGTTGCAAAAGGTACAGCCGTTTCGCATGGCAACACGCAGCGATGTTGTCATTCACAGGAGCAGGGCCCAAGGTGCGAAGCGTGGTGTGAGCCATGGGAGTGGGCTCCGCATGGCACAGCAGTTTCGCATGGCGACAAGCAGCGATGTGGCCATTCACAGGAGCGGGATGCAAGGCGCAGACCGTGGTGTGAACCATAGGAGTGGGCGAAACGGGGCACAGCAGTTTCACATGGCGACAAGCAGCGATGTGGCCATTCACAGGAGCAGGGCTCAAGGCGCGAACCGTGGTGTGAACCATAGGAGTGGGCAAAACGGGGCACAGCAGTTTCGCATGGCGACAAGCAGCGATGTGGCCATTCACAGGAGCAGGCTCAAGGCGCGAACCGTGGTGTGAACAATAGGAGTGGGCTCAAGGGGGCACAGCAGTTTCGCATGGCAACAATTAGTGATGTGGCCATTCACAGGAGCGGGGCCCAAGGTGACTTTTGAGTCGACTCAAAAGTCACCTCATTCACAGGAGCAGGGATCGAGGGGCATACCGTTGTCTGGAGGAGTGTGCGAGTGAGCAGCTGGGTTCCCTTGCATCTATCCAAGCTGGCGGTGGAGAACACCATGGTGAGTACAACAGTGGTGATTCTGCAGGTGGAGGAGGAGGAGGAGGACGAGGAGGGGGGGGGGAGGAAGAGGGAGGGAGAGAGGCGATTGACGTTGGCACGGTTCTTGGAAGTTCACACGCAGTGCTTGGGGTAGGAGGAACACGAATAGTTTATACTTGTGTATATGCGTGGCCGGAGTTTATTCATTGCTTACTGTTTTGGAACAGTTTGTCCTGCTCATCTTGCAAATGCAAAGCCGCAACAAACAGAATGAAGAATGCAAGGAGCAGTAATAGACAGGCACTAAAAATTGGGACGGATACTCAGGTGATTCCCATTGGAAGTCCTGTTTTCTTTGCATATATCTAAACAGAAATTGGCCTCTGTTTTGTGAGCTGTATAGCAAGGCACATCGCATTAATGTATGGTTGTAAGGAAAAATCCTTTTTCCTTACTTCGCATCCCTGCTCAACGCGTACATCACTGTAGCACCTCAGTCAGCACCGTTACCACTCGCGACCATCGCATCATTCATCATCCCGCCCTTTTCGCACATCGCATCCCGACCTCACGGCTCGGCTGGTAACCCGCGCTCTGGACCTCCGCCTCGACACTTTTCCCAACCTCAGTCCCAGGCCCGTCGCGCGACAACCACAGTCCATTACCGTTACCACTGTAGTTTCGCTATATAATTCTTCGCTCATGCCTTCGCTCATTGTATTCTTGCTTCGGTAGTGCAATTCTCGTTTGTTCACTCAATTGCACTTGTAACACTTGGTATTCAGAGCCTACGATCTCATCTCGGACCGCATCCACACCTTCGTTTCCCACTATCTCAATTTTTTGGGGGGGGTAGACGTCTCTCAGCGACACAGCACCGCCGCTCGTAGTGCTCTCTCGAAAGCACGCACGGCCACGACCGAGGCTCTCGCTGAGCTTGCCCGACACCCCCGCCATGGCCGATTTCAACCTCGCCACGTTGACGCAGGAGCAACTCGATCGTCTCGTGCGTCAATTGGAGGATTCGGCGCTCGAAATCGCGACTCTCACGGCGGAACGTGACTCCGCCCGTCAACAGTCAACGGTGAACGTACCGACGACATCACACGCACCAACCAATGCATCTGCACATTCGGAGGAGCCCATCGCCATCTCATCCGGCACACCAACGCAACACAACAGCACGGGACAGCGCTCAGGCGCAGCCAGTGACGGCGCAGCCCAACCGATGCCCGGCATGGGAGGGAACAGGAGCGCATTAAGCCCACGGGAGCCCCGAGAAGCCCGTCGGCACGTGGAGTTTGCGGCGACAAGTGGCGAGAACGCCATGATGGCCCCAATGCCACTCAAGCCGCAACGCCCGCCCTGCTTCGACCCAAGCCAACGCGGCGGCCCGACAGTTCAATCGTGGGTCTTCACGATGAATGTGTTTTTCGACACCAACTACGTAGAGTCGGACGCCGCCAAGATCCGGTATGCGGTTTCACTACTCAGGGGCCCCGCCATGGACTGGTGGCGAGTCATTGTGACGTCGCCGCGCGCCTACGAGCCACCGTCGCACGAGGAAGGGCCCTCGGGTCCAGCTGTTACCTGGAGTTCGTTCTGCGAAACCGCCCAATACAGCACGTGGGATGCGTGGTGCGCAGGGCTTCGGGCGCGTTTTGAGCCGATCGCGGCCTCGATTTCGGCGCGTCAGAAACTGCGCACTTGGCGCCAGCTCGGGTCAGTTCAAGACTACACCAGCGGGTTTCTCGCACTTTGCGAACAGGTCGGCTACATGCACGAGGCGGAGCGGGTGGACCGTTACGTCGGAGGGCTGAAGCCGGACATCTCGCACGAGATAATGCTACGCGGGCTCTCGAATTTCAACGAGATCCTCGCGCTCGCCGAGAAAATCGATATCCTACGCCGACCGAGACCGGGGTCCTATTACGGACATCGTCCTCGGGGACCGACCGAGCACGCCACTGTACATGCCGTCGCAGCGAATGCAGCTGCCGCGCCGTTTAGAGGGCGCTGCTTTGCTTGCAACCGGCCAGGCCATCGCAAGAGCGAATGTCCAGAGGAGCTGAGGCGTCGAGGAGCAGAGCAGGGGAGGGAGTCTCAGAGGCAGGGAAACGCCAGCAGTCAGTAGAAGTTGGGCCAACTACTGACGAGACTGCCTGCTCGCCCAACCACACCGACCCTCACCGAGTCACAGTACCGATTCACGCCATCGATCGGGCTCGGATGAATAAGGAGGGTACAGCGACGGATTGCCCGGTACTGATTTACGGGAAAATACAGGGAGCAGCAGTGAAGATCTTCATTGACGGAGGAGCAAGCCACAGCTTAGTTAATACCGCAACCGCACGAAAATTACAGTTAACGCTTAACCGATGCTTACCTGAGAAAGATGCACGCTTAGTCGACGGCACGCCCCTGGCCATACGGGAAAAGGTGGAGCGCGTAAAAATCCGCTGCGGGGGAACTTCGGGTTTACACAGGAAATGCTCGCGACGACACTGGATGGGCTCGACATTTTATTAGGACGTGATTGGCTGCGACGGTACAACCCACGGATCGACTGGACGACGGGGAGCTGCACAGTGCGAAGTAGTGGTAACTGGGTCGTTCTACCTCGCTGGCAGCCACCCAAATCTTCGACGGTTCAGGTCAAAGCCATCACGATGAAACGGGCTGTCGCTGCTGGAGCTGACGTGTACGCAGTGGATATCGCACTCGTAGAAAAAGATGAGCAGCCGAGTGATTTGGAGAAACTGCTGGCAACTGTACCGACCGAACTACAGGCACTACTGAAACAGTTCCCGGGGATATTTCCGGATGATTTACCACAGGGATTGCCACCTCAGCGGGCGCACGACCATAGGATCGAGTTAGAACCGGGGGCACAGCCAACTGTACAGCGGCAATTTCGACTGACACAGCCCGAGCTCGACGAGTTAAGGAAGCAGTTAGATTACCTGTTAGAGAAGCAGTTTATCCGACCGAGCTCGTCACCGTTCGCCGCACCGATACTGTTCACACCGAAAAAAGACGGATGGTTCCGCATGTGCATCGACTACCGAGCGCTTAACAGGGTAACAGTCAAATCGCGATACCCCATTCCCCGCGCCGACGAACTGATTGACCAACTGCGAACAACACGAGTCTTTTCGAAAATAGATTTACGGGGAGGTTACCATCAGATTCGGGTCGAACCATCGGACTGCGCCAAAACAGCATTTAGGACTAGGTACGGGTCATTCGAGTATACAGTAATGCCATTCGGGCTGACGAACGCGCCTACGACATTTCAGATGACCATGAACGAGGCGTTTAGACCACTTTTAGATAAATGCGTGATAGTTTACCTGGACGATATTCTAGTTTATAGCCGGGATAAGCAGCAGCACTTAGTGGATCTTGAAGCAGTTTTTAAGGTTTTGGAGAAACATCGGCTACTCACCAAGGGCTCCAAGTGCGAGTTTTTTCGGGACAGGCTAGAGTTTTTGGGTCACGTCATTTCAGAGGCTGGGGTTGAGATTGACCCAAAGAAGCTGGATACGGTAAAAGCGTGGCGCCCCCCGACGAACATCACGGAACTACAGAGTTTTTTAGGTTTTGTTAATTACGTTCGACGGTTCGTGCCCGACATGGCACGTTTAACAGCCCCACTCACTGATTTACTGCATAAGGGGGTCGCTTTTACGTGGGGGGAGAAAGAGCATGCTGCCTTCTCTGCCCTGAAAAACGTTCTCTGTTCACCACCCGTTCTACGCATCGCCGATCCCCACCGCCCTTTCGAAGTGGTTACCGACGCAAGTGACATCGCCATCGGAGCTGTACTGTTACAGGACTTCGGCGACGGCCTCCAACCCATCGCCTACGAATCACGCAAACTACATCCACCTGAGCGAAATTACCCGATACATGACCGCGAAATGCTCGCGATCGTGCACGCATTCAAAGTGTGGCGCTGCTACTTGACCGGCGCAGACGTGACAGTACGGACAGACCATCGATCTCTACAGTACCTCCGCGCACAGCCCCACCTCAACCCACGGCAAATTCGATGGCTCGATTTCCGCGAGTCGAATTTTCACTATACGGTCACATACAAAAAAGGAGCCTCGAATATCGCCGACGCACTGACCCGCCCCACTGCCCAGATCCACGCGATACTACTCGCCCAGACCAGCCCGCTACTGACAGGCCTATTTACCCACGGATATCAGACAGACCCGTTCTTTACAGGAGGCAACTCACAGCAATTCGCAGCGGCAAAAGGAGTCTATTACGTAAAAGCTGGAACCGACCGCATCTGGGTACCAGGATACACGCTACTGCGGGAACTACTGTTACAGGAAGCACACGACGGAGTTACCTCGGGACATTTCGGGGTAGAAAAAACACGGCAGCAGCTGCAGCGGTACTACTACTGGCCAGAAATGTTGACCGATGTGCAACGACACGTGGCATCGTGCCCCACTTGCCAGCTCATGAAGTCAAGCAGGAAGCGGCCGGCGGGACAATTACAACCCATCCCGCCCCCAGAGCGTGCTTGGCAGCAGGTGACGATGGATTTCGTCACGCGGTTACCAGCTGGGGCGAGTGGGAATGACGCGATCCTGGTCGTCGTCGATCGACTAACGAAGATGGCTCATTTCGCAGCATGCAGGAAATCAATCACAGCCGAGGAAACCGCCCGACTCTTCATCACCACCGTCGTTCGACTGCACGGGATACCCGCATCGATCATCAGCGACCGAGACACGAAATTTACAAGCAACTTCTGGCGGAACCTGTGGCAGCAGTTCGGCACGCGCTTACAGTTCAGTTCATCCTATCACCCCGAAACCGACGGACAGACGGAACGGACAAATCAGACCATGGAGCAGCTGATTCGAGCCACGTGCGACGATCCGAATACGTGGGAACAGCAGCTGCCACTCATCGAGTTCGCATACAATAACGCACCATCAGCCACGACGCAACAGTCGCTGTTTTACTTGAATTACGGACAGGACCCAACAGTACCCATGACACCGAATCCCGACAACCCCGTCCCACGAGCACAACAGTTCGCCGAGATTCTGCAAGCAGCACGGACCAGGGCAGCAGAAGCAATCAAAAAATCAAACATCATCGCTAAACGCAACGCCGATCGCCATCGCAGACCCGTTACTTATCAGCCCGACGACCTCGTTCTACTCGATACTCATAACCTCCGCCTGCCCATCACTCCAAAACTTCGCCCCCGATATTGTGGGCCATTTCGCATCAGCCACATGATCACACCCGTCACCGCCCACCTCCTCCTCCCTGCTGACTGGTACGTCAGCCCGTCATTCCACGTCAGCCTACTTCGCCCTTACATCCCATCCACGAGCCAACTGCCACGAAATCGCCCAGCCAGCATGACACGCCCCCCAACCGAACCAATCATCACCCCTGAAAAAATCCTCAGCCACCGAGTCCGCGACCCTCGGGGAGCCCGAAGGATCGAGTTCCTAATTCGCTGGAAGGACCGAACGCCCACAGAAGACAACTGGGTCTCCCTGGATAAAATTGAGAACCACCCTGTCTTCACCGAGTATCTGCGAAGCCGAAATTTCCGCGACGTCCATGCGCTCTCGTAAGAGGGGCCTCCTTGGGAGGGGGGTAGTGTAAGGAAAATTCCTTTTTCCTTACTTCGCATCCCTGCTCAACGCGTACATCACTGTAGCACCTCAGCCAGCACCGTTACCACTCGCGACCATCGCATCATTCATCATCCCGCCCTTTTCGCACATCGCATCCCGACCTCACGGCTCGGCTGGTAACCCGCGCTCCGGACCTCCGCCTCGACACTTTTCCCAACCTCAGTCCCAGGCCCGTCGCGCGACAACCACAGTCCATTACCGTTACCACTGTAGTTTCGCTATATAATTCTTCGCTCATGCCTTCGCTCATTGTATTCTTGCTTCGGTAGTGCAATTCTCGTTCGTTCACTCAATTGCACTCGTAACAATGGTTAAGTGCGGTGAGAGTTCTACACGCTTCTGTGTGTTCCTTCTCGCTGTTATTTAGTTTTCTACATCTCAGTTTTACGGTGTCTGTTTCAGTCGCGACAACTCCTTATCTAAAAGCCTAGAGGCTGCTGATTTCACGACTGCGCCAGAAGCAGGCAGCGAGAAAGCAGTAGTTTTCGGGACCAGCAGCACGTACCTTAGCGAGGAACTAATTTCGCGAGGAGTTACTTTCGCGGAACTAGTTCGTCGCAACGTAGTCCGCAGTCCGATTTTCCTTTCGAGTAACCACTCGATTCGTTTCACCGAGTAGTGGTGCCTCGAGAAGCTAAGTTTCTCCGCCATGGATCGCGAATGGGGGAGCAAGCCCGGAAGCGGCGGCGCCGCGTCCGCGCAGAGCGAGGCGATCGACCGGCGAGAGCGGCTGCGACGACTCGCTCTCGAAACCATTGACCTCGCGAAGGATCCCTATTTCATGCGGAACCATCTCGGAAGGTTCGTCCCCTTACCATCTCGCATCTGCATCTCGTTCTAGGGAAAAAATAGGTTCCTCTATGGTTCTTCGTGTTCGTCTATGGCCTAAGTGTGGAAGGATTCGTGCCTGATTTTTCATCTGAGGCGACTCGAAAGTCGCCTGTCTGGTGTGTGTTTCGAGTCGACGCTACAGTCGCAGCGTCCGCGCAGAGCGAGGCGATCGACCGGCGAGAGCGAGGTGACTTTTGAGTCGACTCAAAAGTCACCGCGCAGAGCGAGGCGATCGACCGCCGCGAGCGGCTGCGACGGCTGGCTCTCGAAACCATCGACCTCGCGAAGGATCCGTACTTCATGCGGAACCATCTCGGAAGGTTCGTCGTGAGACCATCTAGCAACGAAAACCTTTATCATTGACTGAAGAAAGAACAACCGTGGTTCCTCAATGGCTCGTTTTGAATGCATATATCCGGAAGACGGAAGTATTTTCCCGTACCGATTTGACAAGTGATCCGGTATTTAGGTTTTGAAAGGTTCATTTCGAGTCGCATCAACTGGCGGTTGACTCGTATATTTGGCGGAGCGGTCTTGGAAGATTAGACGCTGTTGTGTGCCTCAAGGAGGCTTAATGCGAACTTTCCGCATTTCTTTCCTCCTGCTGGCTCACACGCAGTGCAGCAAGTGCCACCAGAAGTCACTTTTCAGAATTCTCAAAAGTGTTTCCGCATTTCTTTCCTCCTGCTGGCTCGCTCACACGCAGTGCAAGTGCCACCAGAAGAATCCGGCAAAGCCTCTTCGCCTCCCCCTCTCTCCCCCTTCCCTTTCCGTTCCCTGCTCTTCCCCCCTGCATTTATTTCCACTTCCACCCCCCCTCTCCCGCCCCTCCCCCTTTCCCTCCCCTCTCCCCATAGCTTCCCTAAACTATTACGAGTGCAAGCTGTGTCTGACTCTTCACAGCAACGAGGGCAACTACTTGGCGCACACGCAGGGCATGCCTTTTCTCCCCTTTCTAAGTCGACTTAAAAACACACGCAGGGCATGCCTTTTCTCCCCTTTCCCCCTGCGCTTCCCATGCCCTCCCCTTTCACTTCTCTTCCCCTGTGCTTCATCTCGTGACAGTTACGAGTGCAAGCTGTGTCTGACTCTCCTCAACAACAAGGGCAACTTCCTCGTGCATTGCACACGCAGGGCAAGCCTTCCCATTCCTCCCCCCCTCCCCCCTCCTCTCTACTTCCATTCCCCACACCTTCCCCACACAGTTACGAGTGCAAGCTGTGTCTGACGCTCCACAACAACGAGGGAAACTACCTCGCGCACACGCAGGGCAAGCGCCACCAGCAGAATCTGGCGAAGCGTGCAGCCAAGGAGGCGCAGGAGGCCCCGGCGCTGCCCCAACCAGCACGGCCCCGAGTGAACCCAAGGAAGACAGGTGAGAGCGCTGGAAATGCAGGGGTTGGGTGAGTGGGAGAGCGAGGGATTGAGAGTTTGCAAGCGGCACCAGGAGAATCTGGCGAAGCGCGCAGCCAAGGAGGCTCAGGAGGTACCGGCACTGCCCCAGCCAGCACGGCCCCGAGTGAACCCGCGCAAGACAGGGGAGGGTGGGGAAGGGTTGGGGGGGAAGGAGGAGTGAACCTGCCAAAGATAGGTGAAGTGGGGGGGGAGGAGTGAAACTAATTTTTGCATTAAATGGCTGTGTCATGTGCTTGCCTTTCGACCAATCTACCGTGCCATACCATGCCATACCATGCCATACCATCCATACCATGCCATACCATGCCATACCATGCCATACCATGCCATACCATCCATACCATACCATCCCATACCATGCCATACCATGCCATACCATGCCATACCATGCCATACCATGCCATACCATGCCATACCATCCATGCCATGCCATACCATGCCATACCATGCCATACCATGCCATACCATGCCATACCATCCATACCATGCCATACCATGCCATACCATCCATACCATGCCATACCATCCATACCATGCCATACCATCCATACCATGCCATACCATCCATACCATGCCATACCATCCATACCATGCCATACCATGCCATACCATCCCATACCATCCATACCATGCCATACCATGCCATACCATGCCATACCATCCATACCATGCCATACCATGCCATACCATGCCATACCATGCCATACCATCCATACCATGCCATACCATGCCATACCATCCATACCATGCCATACCATGCCATACCATCCATACCATGCCATACCATGCCATACCATCCATACCATGCCATACCATCCATGCCATGCCATACCATCCATACCATGCCATACCATCCATACCATGCCATACCATGCCATACCATGCCATACCATCCATACCATGCCATACCATCCATTCCATGCCATACCATGCCATACCATGCCATACCATGCCATACCATCCATACCATGCCATACCATCCATTCCATGCCATACCATGCCATACCATGCCATACCATCCATACCATGCCATACCATCCATTCCATGCCATACCATGCCATACCATGCCATACCATGCCATACCATCCATACCATGCCATGGCATACATACGGTAAGACACGACACAATCCGCCATACCGTACCGTACTCCATGCCCCATGCCCCATGCCCCATGGCCCCATGCCCCATGCCCCCCATGTCTCATGCTCCATGCGCCATGTCTTGCATTTGCAGTGAAGATCGGTCGACCTGGTTACCGTGTAACCAAGCAGTTCGACCCTGAGACGCACCAACGCTCACTGCTCTTCCAGGTGTGTGGGTGTGGCCCCGGGGAGATTGGGGGGGGGGGGGAAGGAGAGAAGGGGGGGGTGCGGTGGGGTGGGAGGGGAGGGGGGTATGGGGTGGAGGTGGGTTTCGCCAGGTGAGCGCGTGTACAGGCGTGTGCGTGTGCATATGGGCATGCATGTGTGTGTAAGTCTGTGTGTGTGTATGCCTCTGTGTGTGTATGCCTGTGTGTGTGTGCGTGCGTGCACGTACGCTTGTGTGTGTGTGCGTCTATAGTGTGCCTCTCTTTCCTCCTTCTTCCCCCTCTCTTCCCCCTCTCTTCCCCCTCTCTTCCCCCTCTCTTCCCCCTCTCTTCCCCCTCTCTTCCCCCTCTCTTCCCCCTCTCTTCCCCCTCTCTTCCCCCTCTCTTCCCCCTCTCTTCCCCCTCTCTTCCCCCTCTCTTCCCCCTCTCTTCCCCCTCTCTTCCCCCTCTCTTCCCCCTCTCTTCCCCCTCTCTTCCCCCTCTCTTCCCCCTCTCTTCCCCCTCTCTTTCCTCACTCTCCACGCCTCCGTTCCGCTCCCGTTCCCCCTTCCTGTTCCCACCTCCCAATTCTCCCGTCCCAGTTCGCCCCCTTACCCAGCCCCCGTCCCCTTTTTCCCGACTTCCCAACTTCACACCCCTTTCTACACGTCTCTCCCTTTTTCCGCTCTTCACGCCCCTCCCCCTTGCTCCCCTCTCCACTCCCTTCCCGCACGAGTCACAGATCGAGTACCCAGAGATAGAGGACGGGGTGAAGCCTCGCCATCGATTCATGTCTTCCTATGAGCAGGTGTGTGTGTTTGTGTTTGTGTATGCTGTGGTGTGGTGCCGTTGTGGTGTGTGGTTTTGTGGTGTGTGGTGTTTTGATGTGCATGTTGTGATGTGACTATGTGCCTTCGCTTCCCCACCTTTCCCCTATTCCCTTTCCCCTTTTCCCTTTTCCCTGTTCCCAGTACTCCTCAGTTTCCTAATCCTAAGCGCTGCTGCTCACTGGAAAATGTCCCAAGATCTCCACCTTTCCCATTATCCCAGTTCCTAGTACTTCTCATTTTCCTCCTTTTCTCCATGCCCCCCCCTCCCCTACTCCTCCCCCGCTCCCCCTTCCTCCTCCCCATCCTCCATCCCCCCCAACCTCCATTCCCCCCATCCGCCATCTCCCCCAGCAATTCCCCCTCATCCTCTTCTCCTCCAGTGAGTCGAGTCAAGAGACACCATCCTCTCGCCTGTTCCCCCCCTCTCCATCCTCCCCCATCCTCCCTCAATCCCCACTTCATTGCAGCGAGTCGAGTCGTGGGACAAGAACTTTCAGTACCTGCTGTTTGCAGCAGAGCCATACGAAATCATATCTTTCAAGGTATATCTTTGAACGTACGAAAGTACAGTCCTATCGTTGAGGTTTCTATCTCATTATTCCGAAAATACGTTTTTTTTTTTTTTTTTTTTTTGTCAGGTACTCACAAAAAGCATTGTCTCTCCCCACTTCCTTCCTGCATCCCCCCACTTTCTCCCACTTTCCCCCACTTCCCCCCTCTTCCCCCCTCTTCCCCCCTCTTCCCCCCTCTTCCCCCCTCTTCCCCCCTCTTCCCTCCCCTTCTCCCCTGCGCTTTTCCCTCTCACATCAGATCCCCAGCACAGAAATTGACAAGACCCCATCCAAGTTCTTCTCCCACTGGAACCCTGATACCAAGACCTTCACAGTAAGTGAAGCTTTATTGTAACTGAAACCTCTTGAAAGTTATACGTGCATCCCACCTACCTACCTCCCATCCAAGTTCTTCTCACACTGCAACCCTGACATCAAGACCTTCACAGTACGTAACACGTCACTCTTGCTCAGAGCCTCAGACCTTCACTTCACAGTAAGCAGCATCCCACCTACCACCCATCCAAGTTCTTCTCACACTGCAACCCTGACACCAAGACCTTCACTGTAATAATCAGCACATTAACTTTAGCTGAAACCTCTTCTCCATGCATCCAACCTCCCTTCCTTCCAAGCCTCTTCTCGCACTGAAACGCTGACACCAAGGTCAGCTTCCTTTGCAGCTCTCACTCGCCCTTCTCCAAATGTTCAAGCCTCGCCCACTCGCCCCGGCCTACTCCTACGCACATCTCCTCCCCTCCTCGTGCCTCTTTGCTTCTCATCCTTCCCTCTCCCCTCCCCATCCACCCCATGCAGCTTCAGCTATACTTCAAGCCCCGTCCAGTCGCCCCCACCAACCATGTTGCTCCCTGATCTGCCCTCACTCCACACAGCCCAACCCGTTTTTGCCATCTTTTCTCCCATTCTCCTCTTCCCCATCCCTCTACCTGTCCCCCCATGCAGCTCCAGCTTTACTTCAAGCCCCGCCCAGTCGCCCCCACCAACCCCAACGCACATCTCCTCCCCTCCTCCATGCCTCCCCATCCCCATCCCCACCCACCTCCCCCTCCTCTCTCCTCCCGCCCCCCTCCTCCTACTGGCCCCTCCCCCCGCCCCCCTCCCCCGTCCTACCCTTCCTCCATGCCCCCTCCCCCTCCTCCCCCTTCCTCCATGCCTCCTCCTCCCCCCCAAAGTGGTTACGCTCCCCCTCCCCCTCCAAGCGGGTATGCTCCCCCTCCCCCTCCCCCCCAAGGGGGGCAATATGGGGGGGGAGGCGGGTACATGCCTCCCCCTCCCCCGCCACAGCAACAGGGGGGGGGAGGGGCGTATGGGGGCGCGTATGGGGGGTATCCCCCTAGCAACCAGCCACAGGCACATGGAGGGGGAGCGGGGGGAGCAGGGGGAGGGGGAGGGGGAGCAGGGGGAGTGCCAGTGTCCAGACCCCCACCCCCACCCCCCCAGCAGCAGCAAGGGGGAATGTATTCTGCTGTCCCCCCGCCTCCCCCTGCTGCACCTGGAGGGTACCAGCCTCCTCCCCCACCACAGACCTAGTATATGTGCTTAGTGGGAGAGTAGAAATGGGAGTGGAGGAGTGGGATTTGGAGTGGGATTGGGAGTGGGAAGGAAGGAGTAGAACTTTGGGGAACAGGAAGTCATGTAGGGCCTGTGTTAATGTAGTGCCTCCATTGCTGACGAATGATTAAGGTTCTTGTTGAATTCTATTGACATGTCTATATCACTATCAGTATCAGGATACGGTAACAGAACGTCCCAAGTTCATTCATCATAAGTGCCTACCTATCATAGTATTTACGTTTCGCCTTCGGCATACGATTATTTTCGGGTCTGATTCAAAGAGTTTCTGCTTATATCGAGCCCACCGTAGCGCGTCCTCGAGCTTTGTTTGCGCCAGCGCGATCGCCTGGATTACGCCACCAGCCCAGAGATCTCCACAACCACCCCTGTGGTCAGGGAACTAGCTCTTCACAGGCTCGGATTTGTTGGGCAGGGTAATCAAAAGCCACTTCGTGTGGCTGTTGTCGAGCTGGTAACCAGACTCAGCAGAACTGAAACCGCCCGGAAAAAAAAAATCATGTGGCCAGATGGGCAACTGGCATTGTCTGCCAGCTGCCCGTTGTTCCGCATCCCGCCAATTGAGCCGGATTGTGGCCCATGGCGTGATGTGAGCGAGTGGCGAGGCGATTTGCGTTGCACGCAGCACGATCCGTTGGATTCTCGTCGCGCGGCTTGTGATGCTTTCGCCGTTCAAAAGTGGATAGCACTGAGCATTTAGCTGATGTCAGACAGCGGTTTACACAAATTCGGGAGGATCTGGTCTGGGTTTGTCGTGATGGTGTGATGCGTTTCGCTCGATTCCAGCAAGCCCCATTCCACACCTCGGGTGTCAGGTCCGAACTTGGCATGTGGGAGGAAGTGGATCTACACCCTCTTTCTCGCCATTGTGAATTCGGTTATAGTGAAGTCAAGATGGGAAAAGCACGGTTAACGGTGGTTAGATTAAGTCTCGGTATGGTTCATTCAGACAAATCAAATATAAGAAGGTTTTCCACCTGTTGGGCACAGTTCAGTGTAGTGAGAAACAGGGTGTAGCGTGATTGTCGAGTTGACAGAACCGATTTTTCTGATTTGGTTGTCAAATGCTGTTGCGAGAAGCGAAATATGCACACGGCCGCAATTCATGCACGAACGGAAGCGAATTTGTAACGATTCCCCGCATCTCGCATAAGGGGTTTCGAATTCCTCCACCTCGCATCCCACAAAAGAGGACCAGGCTGTTCAAGCAAAATGAAGAATCGAACGGCCATAAACAATTGAAAGATCCGGTGTCAGCTTCCCGAACTAAAACTGAAATATCCTGCTGGTTCGGGCTACATTTTATCCGTCGGATACAAATTAGGACGTGGGCCCAATCGACTTTGATCGGCGCGATCAGAGGCGATGAAAAACTTCGAGGAAGGCGGGAAGCACATTTCAGGCAATCAGGGGCAATCAGCTGATCGCGATCAGCTGATCGCGCCAACTCAATCAACCGCCTCAAACAGCCCGATCAGACCCGATCAGACATAATCAGCCCCAATCACTCGAAGAGGGCGCAAAGCTCGCGGGAGGTGATGCTGATGGCGCGCGCGTACCCGATTAGTATCTCACATGCGGCGCGCGCATAGCGACGAGCCTCGCGGGACGCGGGGTTGTCGTCGTTGTAGACAGCCTCCATGCTCGTAGGCGCTTCCCACGACGCAGCCGAATACGCCGACGCGGGCTCATCGGCCAAAGGATCCTCGCCCGGCTCCGCGCACGTCGGCTGCCCGTTGTCGATTGCGACAAAGTCGGCGGCCGGCATCGCGCTTGGGCCGAGGCCAAGACGATAGATGAGAATGCCCACGTCATCGATCTCGCCATCGAGATCGATGGCGAGCGGCACAACACCACGGCCACCTGGGGTGAGGCCCGCGGCGCCCACGTGGGACAGAGAGAGGGTCCACGCGAGAGGGAGGCACTCCGTCCGCCACCAGCACCTCTGAATGGTGCGCGTGCTGATGTTCATCCACGCGTCCAGCAGCCACGCCAGGACGTCGCGGAGATTCGGCTTGTAGCGCGCGAAATTACCCGTGGCGCCGCCATCTACCGATTTCGCGACGACGGCCTCGAGCCAATGCTGCCTGTAGCGGGCCTTCATCATGGCGATGAGGCCCTGGTCCAGCGGCTGAACGAAGCAGGTGGTGTTCGGTGGAAGGAACACCAGCCAGAGGTTGCTCAGCGACCGAGTGCGGAAGCCAAACAAGTCCTCGGTCTCGGCTCCCTCGGTCTTGAGCACGTGGCTCGAGGCGTTGTCGAGGAGGATGACGATGTGACGTTCCTCGGCGAACATTGCCGTGTTCAGTTGCTCCATGAAGTGCGTGAAGAGCTGCGGAGAATATATGGGAACAGGCGGGGGGAGAGACGTATATACGAGACAACGCGCTCTCACAAACACATGCAAGCGTAGCATCTCCAAAAAAAACCGAAGTCAACCTGGCGCACGAAGCACTTACCGGGGCGGTCATCCAGCCCTTCGCGTTGTTCCTCTAGTAGCACAGTGCGTCGGGGTCGAAATCAGGGCGGAAATCACGGGGCCTCTTCGACTTCGAGATGACGAGCGGGCGGAATGCATGGCTCCTGTCCGCGTTCACGAGAAGGCCGACGGTGAGTCTCTCCTTAGGAATCTTGCGACCAGCCACACGAGAACGCGCGTATGTCTTCCGCGGCAACACCGAGAGGAACAATGCGGTCTCGTCGAAGTTGTAGATGTCGCGCGGGGAGACGCAGAGGTGCATGAGAAGTTGCGGGAGCTTCTCCTTGCAAGTGCGCACGGCCGCCATGTCCTGATCCGCGGCTTCGCCAGCAGCGCTCTGGCACCTGATGCCATTGCGGCGCAGTGCGCGGCGCACCCATCCCACGGAACAGCGGAATGAGGGCGGCTTTCCCAAGTCACGTGCGATGACCGCGACGTGGTCGCGGATTGTCTGCAGCGTGAGCGGGATTCCCGCCGGGCCGGCATTCGAGATCCAGCGCACCATTGCGCGCTCAAGGTCGGGGTGAGCTCCGCCCCGAACACGGACGGGGTTGTTCGATGCTGACGGCGCGCTCCAACGATCAGCGCCCTTCAAAATCCGACCGATAGTAGAGCGGTCGGGGCGGATTCCGAATCGAGTAAAACACCAGCGCGCCAGGTCAACCTGGCGCATAAGAGGATTCTGCACATGATGCGCGCAGACTGCCTTCTTAATGTACACGGGAAGCTGGGAGCGACGGTACAGGCGAGGCATGGTTAGAGAGGTAAGTGAGACGACAATATGAATGTCGAGTGTAAATGCGCGGCATTTTATCCTCCTTTGGTGCTCCTCGCTGTTCGCAATTCCGAGGATGTTTGAAGTTGAGTTTTTGCGTTGTGCACCTTCAACGGAGAATGAGCACTAGGAAGTGCGTGTAACATTCATAGGTAACCACTCGCCACACGATGTGACGTGTGATTATTGGGCACAAGGGTCGTTTCCGAGTCAGTAACCCACATTCGGGGAGTGAATGGGCCCTTTGAATGGGTCTCTATCATGCACTGGAGACCGTTTCAATGCATCGGTTGACGTGGGTCATCGCTGTACGGGCAACCTCCACGTGGCGATTTTGCTTGAGTCTTGTGTGTTTGGCGCACATTGAAACACGACGACGTGGCATACGGTAAGCACTGAAGCCGTGCGCGACGTCAAACCCATTTCGTCCACGGTTTTCGCGCTGCCTGTCCCTGGCCTACGAACAAGGAAACATGGGGGCGGGTGCGTTTGTTGTTGACTGGCATGTTGCTGTTGTCGTGATTACCCAACTTGCACAAGTGGTTTTGCGTGCCTCTAACCAGGGGGCAACTGCCCGGAACCAAATGCACGCGTGCAAGGTTTCTGTGGCGGGCAGGGCAAATTCGCGTGCATGGGTCGGGCATCATGTATACTGAGATTCGTCCGTATTGCCAAAGTTGGGATGCAACTACCAGGTAATGGGCCGACAGTTTTCATGCAAGAGCGCAAAACATTCGAGGAAAATCATCTCTGATCGGGCGGCGCGAGAAAAAAGATCACGAGCAATCCGATCCGACCCGAACAGATCCGATCAGAGCCGATCAAAGTAGATTGGGCCCGCGTCCTTATCTCCTTGGTTCAAGCATCATCGTGACCTTTCCCACGTTTTCCGTTCATCGCGGCTCGTAGGCACGCGTCGCGGTTGCAAATCTCCACATTTGAATGTTGACAAACAGAAAGGCGACTCTGATTTGAGCCCCACAGGGGCAAGGCAGGCAGACAGTCATTTCTAAGATTCGACCATCTGTATTACTCATTTTATTACTGTAGCTCGCTAGTGCTCGCGCTTTCCTTAGGACTACCAGCTAGCGGCGACGAAATCATAGCCGCACCACTCTGTTCACGTTCGTCTATGGCTTCCATACCCATGGCATGTAGGCTGTCGTTCTCCTTCACGTGTCGGATGCGGAGAGCTGAAGTCCCAAATAAAATGGCATCGTTCACTCGACCGCGACTACTAAAGACAGTCCATCCCAGAGAACCCCACACTGCGTGTTGCTTACCTAGTTGCGAGGACCCGCATGACTTACGATTCGCCGCGGTCTGCTTCACGTTAGGGTGGGTAGGTACTGCACCGAGCAACAGAGCAAACGTCACGTATTGCGACCGCGCCGCTCCAGTCACTCCGTGACTTCCTCCGTCACATCTGAGAACGTCCGTTCCAAAAACACACATTACACATAGTGTGCTGCTCCGATACCTTCCCGTTCTCGTCCTACACGACACGTACTGCTGCTACGTTCTTGGTACCCTGGCACGTAGGGCCGCGGCGCTCACTGTCGCTGACCTAGAAGCCGTTTTTCCCAGGATTTCCGTCCCCTTAAGCCATTTGGAGATTCAATGGCTCCCTGCGCGACTCCGAGTCAAGCCGCGCCGCTGAACGTCTCCGAATCCGCCATGACCGCCGTCGACTTTGGCGCAACTGCCAGCGGAAGCTTTGAATACCAGAAAGCTAGTTACCACCAAAGAGGCGATTTCGCGACACCAGCTTTCGCCATTCCTCGTCAACGTGACGTGCCGACTCTCGCGCCGGCTCCCTCGCTCGAGAAGCAGATTCACCGCCGCAAAATGCGCTCGACTGCTGCTACTACCTCCGCCTCCGTCGCCGCCGCCGCCACAGCTGCAGGCGCATCCACCACCGCCGCAGGAGCCGCGGCGCAGAGCAACATGAAGATGGCGATCGGGCGCAGTCGTAGTGGCGCGGCCGCCTTTGATTCGAGTGGAGACGCGGCGAATCGCGCGCATTACAGCCTTTCTGAAATGAGGCGCGAATACCACACGCGCCAAGACGGCGCGCCGGCCTTGACGATAAACGGACGGAGACGGCCGTCTATGTCCGTCAACCCCACTGCTGCGCCGGCAGCCGCCTCCGTCAGTTCGAGCCGCCCAGGCGGCAGGCTGACGCGACGCGGGTCCGCGGACGTAGCGTTGCTGTGCGGCTCGAAAGGCAACGGCGCAACAGGCGCCGGTGGTGATTACTGCACCGTTGTGTATTGCGGCGATGGTTATGGCGGGAGGATTTCCTCTATTAGTAGTACTCGTGCGCCGCGAAGCTCTTCACCTCGGGATTCCGAACTCGACGCGACAGCAAGCTCCAATAGTGGGATATTTCCGGAGGAGAATGGAAACAACGACGGCGATTGCGCCGCTATCTGCTTGAACATGGAAGGTACGAGCCTGGCTCGTATCGAGCCTGCTTTTGAGGCGCTTCAAAAATACTATCCTGGCTTGTATGAAGCCCGAAATTTTAGGGCCTATGCTAATCTAGAGTTGCGAGCGACTTTCCCTATCTAACAGCCTTTTCTTCTTTGGGTTCTCTTTCTTTCCATTCCCTTCCTGGGTGTTGCTTCCCAACACAGACATTCAAGGCATGGCAGCACACAAGGACCTGAGCAGGATTCTCATCAGCAGCATCGACATCGTTTCCGTCCCTGAGTCTCTCCTTCCCAGCACTCCCCCTCCTGCTGCAACCACTCCCGGGACCACAGCTGCAGCTACAGCTACAGCTACTGCTACAGCTGCTACATCCCCTGCTGCTGCTGCTGCTGCTGAATACGTGCTGTGGGGCATTCAATTCACCGACAGCCCAGCCTGGGTGTACCGCTCTCCCAATGGGTCTCTCCCTGAGCTGCAGCCGGTACAGTCGCCTGCTTTGAGAAGTGCAACAGGCACGGACAAGCCCGGCAGGAGGGGCGCTGGTCGCCGTTCCCCTCTGTCTCCTCACTCTCCTCCGCTTCAATCTCCTCCCCCTCACTCTCCTCCCTCTCACTCTCCTCTCCCTCACTCTCCTCCGCTTCATTCTCCTCACTCTCAACCCGCATCACCACATAAGCCAGCCTTCACAGCAGCTGCATGGCAGAGGCCTACAAGCCGGTTGTCACCCACTGGTGGGGGTGTACGTCCGTTAGTTCCCCGTTCAAGCAGCATTCCTGAGTATGCTGCTACTCCTGCTGCCACTGCTGCTGCCGCTGCTGCTACCGGTGCTCCTTTTGCTGCTCCGCCTGCTGCTCTTTCTGCTGCTCGTGCTGCTGCGAGCTTCGCTTCTCCTATGCTATCAGCTGCTGATTTTGCAGCCGATGCAGTACCCTCCGGTTGTGTCTTGGCTGCTGTCAGTGCGAGCAAGTCTGCTACCAGTATGAGTGCAATCAGTGGGGCTTTATTGCACCGTCCAGCTCACAACATCACCCCATATCAACAACCATCAAAAGCTGAGACTCGCATATCAGCGGCTGAGGTTCGCCAATCAGCGGCCAGCATTCAGCCATTACTGGTTGACGTTCTACCTGTTGGCAAAAAGCAGACACCTGAAATTCTACCTGGGAGACCAATATATGAGTTGACTCAAGAAATGCCTGATCGGCCGAGCCACCGTAGACGCAGGTCCCTGTCCGATATCCCTTCCTCCGCCTGCTCTTCTGCCTTCTCCTCTCCTTTCACCTCCCTCTCCCCTTCCTCCGCTGCTTCTCCTTCTCCCTCCTCTGTCTTCTCGCCTCGGTTCTCGCGGTTTGAGCCCTCTCAGAAACTTCAACCCGAGCATTCACCTGCAGATACAAGCCCAACCAGTGGGGCAAACACCAAGCCCAGTGTCCTTGGGGAGGTTTCAGGTGTTCAGTCTGGTGCTGGTGTTTTGACTGCGGCAGCAGGCTCGGGAGCAGGTTTGGGAGGTGCATCCAGCTTCGGCATCTGGGTTGGTGGATCAACAAGGCCTACGTTTGCTGATGCTCTCGCTGCTTCGCGTTTGAGTGCTGGCCTTGGCCGCCTTTCTCCAACAAAGAGCAGCGCGGATAAAGCTCCACTCAGCCTTCGACAACAGAACCAGGACGACGCGACAGTCAGCAACGAAGGCATCAAGCGGATTGGGTTCAATTATCAGGTGGATCTGGAGCAAATGCCCAAGTACATGACAGATGATGAGCTTAGCCACTTCATATTCAATGTGTAGGTTTCAATTCATATGAATTGGGTTCAATTATCAGGTTGATCTGGAGCAGATACCCACGTATATGACAGGCGACGAGCTTAGACAGTTGATTACTATGTATAGAGTTGGAAAGATGTTTGACTCATGAAAATGAAATACCACATGACACTATGTTTAGAACCCTGTGCCCAAATACCACGCAATGTATTGTCTCCCATCTCAGTTCTTAGTATTCACAACGAAGTGCATCTACGGCAGATCTGTAGGCAACACAAGAAAGCTTGATATAATAACTACAGCTCCACTCTGCATCAAAGGGACGTTAATCTCTGTAAAAACGCATCTGCTGATCCTCCTACAATACTCCTGCTTCAGCTTGTGCTGTTACAGTGATCCAAACCATAATCATACATGGTTAAAACGTGGATAAGTGCATGCATCAGCACATACTATACCCGAAACTAGCCGCTATCGAGCAGCGATAGCGCCACAGTATAAAAAAAACCGTGCGGGACGGGGCAGAAGAAGAGATGAGATGATGCTCTCCCTCTCTTGCCCCTATCAATTTATTCCGTTCTGAGTATTCGCGTTAACCCAGCTCATCCTCGCTTTAGTGTCGATTCCCTAACGTCTCCATCGCTGCACCCCGTTAAAGTGTCATTATCCCGCATAGAGTCACCTCTCGCACCCGTACTGTAGCTGACGACCTCCTCCTCGAAGGGTAAATACACCGGAGCTTGACTCGCTAACGTCACTACCGAGCTGACCGCTAGCGACCCTTGTAACGATTTCAGCACCACGGCTTCGTACTGGCTGGTAACCTGTTTCGACCACCGCTCCGCGACGCTCGCTTTACGGCTTGGGGAGTGTGCGTGGGTGGCGTGGGTGGTGGTCGTAGCGGTGAAAACAACGTCGTAGCTGAAACTTTGAGAGTTGTAACCTGACGAGGTGTGACCGCTCGCATGCTTTTCCGCTGCGTTTACTATTTCTAGATGCACAGCCGCGTCCTGATGGGGAAGGAATGAGAAGAATGGCAAGACATAGGAGCGAGGGGGTAAGGAAGGCGGGAAGTGTGGTGAGCGAGGGAGGCATGGAGGGGGAAACGATAAAACATGACAGAACGCGCGGTCAGCTAACTCATCGCGCGGTGCAAACCTAAGCCAAACAGGCCACCCTCTAGCAAGCCACTCACTGGCTCTTCTCACCATCTTAGCATTCATGTCCGCGACCACAAATTCCGCAATCTGTGCCACCTCAGCACTCCGCGGGTCCACGATGACGTAGCCTCCAGGCAGCAACACTCCTGTATGTTCCGGAAGCGACACTGTAGACGCTAGCGGTAGTGTAGATTGCATTCTTGTATGGTCCGGAAACGACACCGTGGATTGCGCCTTGGAGAAGCTACAGCTAAGTAACGTTGTAGTGGCTACGAGAAGAGAAAGGGCCCGGGGATGTCCCATGGTGCAACGACGATCGGGAGAGTAAACTACAGATGATAAAGACGACTTAGTTGTTAGCAGAAGCTCAGCCAGATAAGGAAGCTAAGCAGTTTCTCAACGTAAACTGAGAGTTTGGGAATCAGCGACTTCGGAGCGTTTAGCAACAAAGCATACGGTACACGACAAGAGTCAATGACTAAAACCACTCGCGATAAGGTATAGTATTATGTCGTCAAGGGACAGACAATACTATCGTAAGTGTTGTTCGCTGAACCTTGAAATGCGGCGGAGGGAGTGTCAACTGAGCGAAAATTACTGAGAATACTGATCGTTAAAAAAGTGCCGAGCCGAATTACACGGAGTCGGGCACAAAAACATGGCGGGATGTTGACGAATGACAGGCCACCACCACACAACCACACCATGGACGTGAGGTAAGGAACAACCCACTCGAATGAAGGTTGCAAGTGACAAAGCCTTGTCTAAAATTGACAGGGCTCGCTCAGCCGGAGCTTTTCTACAACAAAGCCTACCTACAACGCAGTGCTCTAGACCGTTTTCGATAATGTGGTACCGTCTAAAACCCATTGTAATCACCGTGATTGAACCATCCCTCCTAAGGACGCGGCACCTCCAGCACCGATCCTGCGATCGATCCTGCGCAGGATCGAATGTTTTAGGAGTTTTAAATGGTTTCACAAGCTTTAAGAACTTTCAGCAGGATTTCAGTACGGTTAAATTAGCGATCCTGCGATCGATCGTGCAAAATTGCTTGAGGTGCCGCGTCCTGAACAGCATTCCAATTGCATGAATCCCACATCCCCAGGAATCCCATCCATCCCCTCCAAGGAATCCCATCTCATCCATCCTGTCGCGTCCGAGGAATATTTTTCGACGACGCGCCTTCCAGGCGTGACGAGATGCCAGGCTGACGCTGACGAGGCCCACGTCACCGGACGCCCAGCCTCAGCCAGTGCCACGGGTAGGAAAAACTTCACTGTACCACGAGGATGGTGTCAGTCACGGCGCTTTCTGGTCACTCGTACATTTTCGAGCCATGCCCGCGCTTTTTCCGGAGTTTTCGGTTGCCCCGTGCTACATAAATTCTACGAAGGGGAATACACGTGCTGGCGGCGACGAGACCAATTTATTGGTCATGCTTCTGTTGACGGGCCGCAAGATGAGCAGTTTAGCCCGCTGATTTGGGATTCCACCTTGCGGAATATGCGCACAAATTCGCTCGATCGCTTACGATGGATCCGGCGACGCCTTACGACTGCTGTCAGATTCTCGAGGAAATGACAGAGCGCCGTGTTTTCTTGTTTCCAATTCCAACGGGCAGTGGCTTTGACAGCACATCGTTCCGCGCTCGCGTCCAATACCTTCGGGCATTTGACTTCTCCGTTTCCCCTTTTTAGTCCATTAATACAAACGTTTTTTGTTTTACAGGATATTCCTAATATTTTTTTCGACTCCGCAGCAAACGTGCAGCTTGGGACAAAAAAAGAAAACCCTCACGGATGGTATGCCACGTAGAGGGCATCAACCCTAAACACCATGAGGCAAGGTGTTTAGGGTTGATGCCGCCCAAATGGCTTGTCATCCGAGTGGGTTTTTAGTTTTTCCACTGCCTCTATACTGAAACCAGGTAGACTTCGGATTTTCCCATTTATACGTTTCGTCACTAGAAATAGGAAATATCAATAAAAACTGCCCGTGGGAATTCGGCGCGAGCGCGGAGGAAGTCGCTGTCAAAGCCACTGCCGAAAGGAATTGAAAACGAGAAAATAGGGCGGTCCGTCATTTCCTCCAGATTCTCGCTTCCAATATATCGGCGTACGACTCAATACCAGCCAATAAACTGCTCACAATGTCGCTAAACTTTTCCCCGTCATAACCTCGGCAAACGCGCTACTGTACCTGTCACATCACACTCCGTGACTTCTTGGCGGTATTTATTTGAGGCAGTGATTACATCACCAAATCCATTTTCCTCACCCCCTGGATTATTGGACCCTCTGTTCCCTTGTTGAGTCACCTGGTTTATCAACATTCGTTGGTCCATTATGCCGAGCAAACATATGCTGAACTACATGCATGGGGATGCATTGGCCTTGCACAAGCAGGCAGTAACAATACTTCAATAGGAGGTAATGTTTGTACCATAAATATCATAAGCGTCTACATTATCACCCTCTTCGAGCCAGCAAAGCTTCTGCAGCCCTTCTACCAGAAGCCAATGCTCCATCAAATGTGGGGGAGCTCTTGTGATCCCCACACACATACACTCCCTCCCTTCCCCCCACTTCCACCTCCCCAGAGAAGTCAGTGGGAGGCCTTTGTCCCGGTTGAGCAAACGGAATCCTGTATGCCCGGAGCATCTTCCAAGCCTCCACTTCCTCCTTCCCAAACCAGCCTGCCAGCTCCGTGCGCACCCGAGCCTCTAGTTCAGCTTCGGTCCGACCCTCGTAGGCACCGACAAGGGAGACCGAAACCAGTGTCTTGCCGGGCGGAGCATAGGAAGGGGACACTACACTGGGGAAGCAGAGATTGTTGACAATGCCGCTACCGGAGCCGTTTAAAAAGAGGATGGGCTCGGAGACAGGGGCAGGGGAGTCTGACGCAAAGTAGAGACACACTGTGCTGCGGGGCTCTTGAGTGGCTGTAGCAGAAGTGCTGCTAGCTGTGTTATCGCTGCTGCTGCTGCTGCTGCTGCTGCTACTGCTGCTACTGTCGCTACCTCCCTCCCCTAGAAGCAGCCTCTCAGCCACTGGTTGCTCTACTGCCACTATCACCCCTCCCTTGGCCAAGATCCTCTTCCCGTCCTGCATCGTCAGCAGGCTCGGCACACCCGAACCAGCTTCCGAACCTTTGCCATTGGCTTCGTCGGTGGGAAAAGCAGGGGAGATGGAGGAGACGGGGGAGTTGAGGCGGATGGAGTGGGAGGGAAGGCGAGAGGCGAGGTGAGAGGCGAGGGCTCCAATGCCGGATGAGGGGAGGGTGTTGGGTGCCAGTGCGAGCATGCGTAGCACAAACTCCATCAGCCTGTGAAAATTGTGTGGGGAGAGAGAGTGAGGGAGGAGAGGGAGGGATGAGATGTGAGGAACTAGAGAGGGAGAATGTGTCAGTGAGAAACAGGTCGAAAGGTTGGGGGTGATAGAGGAGACGGGGGAGTTGAGGCGGATGGAGTGGGAGGGGAGGCGAGAGGTGAGGTGAGAGGCGAGGGCTCCGATGCCGGATGAGGGGAGGGTGTTGGGTGCCAGTGCGAGCATGCGTAGCACAAACTCCATCAACCTGCGGGGGAGGGAAAAAGGGGGAAGGGGGAAGAAGAGAGGGGAGGAAGGGAGGAGCGTGGGGAATATGTTAGTGGGAAAGAGAGGTGAAGTGAGAGACGAGGGCTCCGATGCCGGATGAGGGGAGGGTGTTGGGTGAAAGGGCGAGCATGCGAAGGACAAACTCCATTAACCTGTGAAAGTTGAGTGGGGAGAGAGTGAGGGAGGAGAGGGAGGGTGTTGTGTGCAAGAGGACCTCTGAATACAAGGATATACATACAGACCTCCTTCGTTTACAGGGCACATATCCCTCTTGGAGACATGGCTGCAAGAGTGTACCTAGAGGAAGAATTGAGCTTTTAAGACGAAAAAAAAAAAAAAAAAAAAACCCTGTCTTTCTGTAAGAAGAGCAGCAACAGCGAACCTAGAAGACACGAATTTTTGAGACATCGCAAAAAAAGAACTACCATTTTTCTAGAAAAGGGTGGAATGGCGTACCTAGAGGAAGTGCTGAGCTCGTTGTCGAAAAAGATCCCTCCGAGGAAGGGACGGAAGAAGCGGTCAATCATCTGGCATAGGAGATTCAATGGTGAAGAGGTCAAGCAGGAGGGACGACCAGGGGAAGAGGCACACAAGGGAAGAGGCACACAAGGGAAGAGGCACACAAGGGAAGAGGCACACAAGGGAAGAGGGAAGGAACAGGCATTGTGAAGAGCAGGTTGGGTGAAAGTGCTGGCTCGCTGTCAAAAGAAGATCCCTCGGAGAAAGGGACAGAAGAGACAGTCGATCATCTGGCATGGCATGAGGGACCGAGACGAGAACCACGAGGCCAAAGAGGAGAAGAATGAAGCATGAGAACCGAGAATGACTTCTGAGTCGAGCCAAAAGTCAACTCGGCATGAGGGACCGAGATGAGAACCATGAGGGCAAAGAGGAGAGAAATGAAGCATGAGAACCGAGAATGGGAGGGGGGAAGCAAGGGGCAGTAGAATCACGAGGGACTGGGCGTTGAGAATTTCGGGAGACAGTAGCCGTCCGCCATGGAGGTGCAAGGCATGGCCTTCTTGCAGTGAAAGAACTTGTCTCAATCCCACATGGAAGGTGTAGAGAACGCAGCACACACCTCATTGGAGAACCCTTGCTTCTTGAGTGCCTCCTCAATGCTGCTCTCCGGTGCTGCGAGGATTCCTTCCAGGGACGTGGAGACGGCCTTCAGGCGCAGCAGCCCCACATGCAGTTTGTCAAAGACAGAGCCAATGGGGTATGCAGTTTGCTAAAGCACACACACACACACACACACACACACACACACACACACACACACACACACACACACACACACACACACACACACACCTCATTGGAGAACCCCTGCTTCTTGAGTGCCTCCTCAATGCTGCTCTCCGGCGCTGAGAGAATCCCTTCCACGGGCGAGGAGACGGCCTTCAGGCGCAGCAAACCAACGCGCAGTTTGTCAAAGACAGAGCCAATGGGGTTGAAGAGAGAGCCAAGACCGTCGGAGGTGTGGCGGAAGGGGTCGGCCACCCTGAGAGGGCAGGAGAGGAAATTGGGAGCAGGAAGCAGGGAGAACGGAGCATTTAAGGCGCAGCAGCCCCACGCACAGTTTATCAAAGACAGAGCCGATGGGGTTGAAGAGAGAGCAGAGGCCGTCTGAGGTGTGGCGAAAGGGGTCTGCCACCCTGGGAGGAGGAGAGAGGAAAGGAATGGGAGGGAGAACGGTGCATTGAGCACAGCTTTACGGCAAAGCAGCCCCACGCGCAGTAAGTCAAAGACAGAGCCGACGGATGGGGTTGAAGAGAGAGGCGAGGTCATTGGAGGTGTGGCGGAAGGGGTCCGCCACCCTGAAAGGGGAGAGGGAGGGAGAGTTGATATGAAAGGGAGCGGGGAGCATAGGAAGGGGAGCATTGGGGGGCATGGGGAGCACGGTGCATGGGTGCATGAGGGGCCATGTCGGGCATGGGTCGGCAGAAAGGGATCGGTTGCCCTCCGATAGGTGAAAGCTTTGGAATGTGGATTCTGAATTTTGAATAGTGGATTAGCATTTTCCACGTGTGGAAACAGCCTCTAAAGAAACAAAATAGCAGCTGTTTTTTTTTTTAGTCTCAGAAACCAAGTACGCGGGCATGAGATCCCCTCTTCATCACTTTAGATCCACTGAGAATCGAAGTCAAAATTCACCTGTAACCCTCTTTTGCGTTAAGATGACCCCCATTAGCTCCCCCATTTGCCTGCAACCAGGCCCACCTGTGAATGCTCTACTATTCGAATCACCCTCAGGAGCCTCACCCGTGGCAACTCTTGCCCCTGAATCATCCGAAGCAGCCTCACCTGTGGAAGGAGCCTCCAAACCACACGAGAGCGCCCGAGTAGAAGGGCCTGAGGTCCAATGCCTCGTAATCCATCACCTGCTGTGCCTCGGGGTAGGCTGGAGGGAAGGGAAGGGGGGTTGGGCGTGGATGGGTGGAGGGGTGGAGGGATGAGATTGAAGGAAGCGAGAGGGAGGATGGTGAAGGGAGGGGAGAGGAATGCTTAGTGCCCGAGTAGAAGGGCCTGAGGTCCAATGCCTCGTAGTCCATCACCTGCTGTGCCTCGGGGTAGGCTGGAGGGAAGGGAAGGGGGGTTGGGCGTGGATGGGTGGAGGGGTGGAGGGATGAGATTGAAGGAAGCGAGAGGGAGGATGGTGAAGGGAGGGGAGAGGAATGCTTAGTGCCCGAGTAGAAGGGCCTGAGGTCCAATGCCTCGTAGTCCATCACCTGCTGTGCCTTGGGGTAGGCTGGGGGAGGGGGAGGGAGGATGGGAACATGATAGAAGGATGGGAGAGGGATGACGGTGAAGGGAAGGGAAGCGGGAAGAGACGGGAAACAGGGAGCGCCTGAGCAGAAGGGTCTGAGGTCCAGCGCCTCGTATCCATCACCTGCTGTGCCTCGGGGTAGGCTGGGGGAGGGGGAGGGATGAGATGGAAGGTAGTGGGAGGGCGGTGATGGGGAGGGAGTAAGGACGAGAGAGAAAGGGCGGTGATGGAGGAATGGGGTGGCCATGGGAGGGCCCGAGTAGAAGGGCCTGAGCTCCAGCGCCTCGTAGTCCATCACCTGCTGTGCCTCGGGGTAGGCTGGAGTGGGTAGGAGGGAGGAGGGGTGGGCGGGGAATGCGGCAGAAGGAAGGGAAAGGGAAAACTGGGAGCGCCTGATTAGAAGGGCCTGAGGTCCAACGCCTCGTAATCCATCACCTGCTGTGTGCCTCGGGGTACGCTGGGAGAGGGGAGGGGGAGTGGGTGTGGAGGGAGGAGGGATGACGGTGTAAGGGATGGGAGGAGCAGGAGCTGTGGTGGTTGAGTACCAGGAAGCCGCGGACTGAGTGAACCCCCCCCCTACAGACAGAAGCCCGTCCACTTCATCCGTACGCACGGGCCCTCCCACCCCACCCGGTCAGCAGCATTCATACCTGAAATTCAGCGGTCATACATGGGAGAGGTACCCTCCTACCTACCTGAGAGGAAGATCTGGAAGCCGCGGTCAGCTTCACTTGGAGGAAGCCGCGGTCAGCTTCACTTGGAGGACGCCGTCCGCCCTGCCCTCCCACCCCGTCTGAAGCCTCCAGCAGTGCTGATGCTCGCTGCTGCTGCTTCTTCTACCTGAGGGTATGGAATCAAACGCTCTAGCTGAGAGGAAGATCTGGAAGCCCCGGTCGAGGAGAAACCCGGCCAATTTATCAGTGTGCACGCGCCCGCCTACGCCGTCTGAACCCTCCAGCAGCACCACACACGCTGACGGTGCTGCTGCTGGTGGTGGTGGTGGTGCTGGTGGTGGTGGTGGTGGTGGTGCTGCTGCTGCTGCTGCTGCCCAGACCCGGCACCACAGGGAGTGTGGACAGTCGTACCTGAGAGGAAGATCTGGAAGCCTCTATCAAGCAGAAACCCGTCCACTTCATCTGTGCGCACGCGCCCTCCCACCCCGTCTGACGCCTCCAAAACCACACACTCCACCCCCGCCTCCTGCAGTGCTAACGCTGCCCGCAGCCCTGCGAGTCCCGCTCCGATGATCACCACGTCCAGCTCCTCGGGGGGCTCTGTGGGTGTGGGATGGAGGGTGGGGGAGGAAGTGAGAGTGAGAGAAGGATTGCAACGGTCAACTTCTGCCGCCTCCAGCACCACACACGCCGCTCCCGCGTCTTGTAGTGCCACTGCTGCTCGCAGCCCTGCCAGCCCTGCTCCGATGATCACCACTTCCAGCTCCTCGGGGGGCTCTGCGGGTGTGGAACGGAGAGGGCAAGTGAGAGTGGTAGTGAGAGAGGGAGTGCAAGGGTGGACGCCCGTCTGAAGCCTCCAGAACCACACACGCCACCCCTGCTTCTTGCAGCGCCACTGCTGCCCGCAGCCCTGCCAGCCCCGCTCCAATGATCACCACGTCCAGCTCCTCTGGGGCTCTGTGGGTGTGGAATGGAAGGAGAGGGAAAGAGGGAGAGAGTGAGTAGGAGAGGGCGCGGGTAAGAGAGCCCTTCCAGCTCCACCGCTGCCCGCAGCCCCGCCAGCCATGCTCCGATGATCACCACGTCCAGCTCCTCGGGGGGCTCTGGGAGGAGGGAAGGGACGGTGAGGGAAGAAGTGAAGTGACAGGAGTAAGAGAGGAAGTGAGTGAGTTAGAGAGGAAGGTTTGGGCAAATTGCGAGTGTGAGGGAGTGAGAGAGGGAGTGCACCACACATGCCTCCCCACCCCCCCTATATGACTATGCATGTTTCTTCCTTTAAGCACACCCTTATAAGACCATCAACTGACCTTCCTTGACCACTTCTGGCTCCGGCTCTGTCACATTCTCTTCCAAAGCTCCCTCCCTCGCTCTCGATCTCCGAACTCGTCTTCAACCCTTACATACTCACTCTTGTTTTCTTCCGTATGAGCATACTAACTGACCTTCCTTGACCACTTCAGGCTCCGCTTCGGTGACGTCCTCTTCCGAAGCTCCCTCACTCTCTGCCTCCAATCTCGTCTTCACCCCTTGAATGCTCTGCTCACTCTTGTTTCTTCCCTATGAGCCTACTAACTGACCTTCCCTGACCACTTCGGGCTCCGGCGCTATCACATTCTCTTCCAAAGCTCCCTCGCTCTCAATCTCCGAACTCGTCTTCACCTCCGTCTCTCCCTTCTTTCCGAACAATCCGTCCAGATTCGGCAGCTTCAGCCATCCGAAAAAGCCGGAGCCTTCCGAGCTCGCGTCATTGGTCGAATTGTCGGAGCTTCCAGTGCTGCTCGCACGGACGACACGTATGCAATGTGACTCGCGACGTGGCTGACGTGGCACCTGCACGAAGGCGACTGCGCTGCGCAATGGCGGAGAACGCGCAACGAGAGAGGCTCGTGCTGACGTGGCTGCGGTGCTTAGTGGCCTCGACAGGTGACGGTTTATCGCATTGCATGAACTTATGGCTGCTGTTTGAGCAGCCGAGCAGGCGGCGCGAACGGCGGCCATTATTGCTTGCAAGTGAAGCAAGGACGAGACGTGAAGCAATCAGAAAATTTGAAGCAGTAATGCCAGTCTGACAAGCTGCTGAAACATGAACTTGCCTGCTCTCCCTAGATTGCTGATGCATTCAAAGAGTCTCGATCGACTAACTATCCCCGCTGCCGAATTCCTGATGTTTGGAATTCCAGCATCTGCAAACCTAATCCAGAGTGGGTATAGAGTGGTGGAACACTTTAAAACGCGATTGCGAGTGGTGAAAGGGACTGTGGTATGACCTCGAAGTTGCCGTGTTTCATTACCATCCACTCGTCACTTTCCCTGGTGGAATCTCCTCGTGGTTCTAGGGCTGACGCGTGTTGGCCTCTGGATGGCTTGGCCACGTATTCAAGATCTTCAGCTTCTAGTTCAACTTTATAGCAGATGTTTTTTGCGGTGTACACAACGCACTGCGTATAGGAGCTGGTTAGAGCGGATCAGCATGTAAAAGCACAGCCAGGCACGAGCTCGCATGTGGCTTGCAGTGCACTGGTTGCCACTTTGCCCACCACCATTGGTCAAGAGCTTCCAAAATCCTCCGAAACCACTGGAGTCGATTCCTATTTGCCGAAAAAATGCCACACAAGCTTGCATTTTGGCTCACTCGCTACACGCAGCGGGCACAAATTTCGAGCCCCAAATCCAATAACAAGATTCCCGAAGCATGTCAATAACGAAGAGAGCCCCCCCTTTCTCCCCCTCCGCCCTAGCAAGCGCGTTCCTCCACACTTCTTCCCCCTTCAGATCGTCTCCCTGTTTCCCCCTTTCTTCCATCACCCTCATCCCCCCGCCACAGAATTTCCCTCTGATCTATCCCCTCAAATCATAGCACACATGATCGGCTACAATATAATCTGTCGGTCTGATGCGGTGCACGGAGGTACATTTGGTTATTGAAAAATCACCGCTCTGAAACGCAAGGTAAGGTTTTGAACCGCGAGAATCCGTACGGTAACTAATTGCTCCCTTTTTTTTCCAGCTTCACATCCACACTTCATCCCAACAAACCCCCACTTTCTGCTTCTACCCCTCTAGCTACCTACAGAGCTTCTAGGTTCCTGTTTCTTGAAGGCTAGGCCTTTCTTGAAGCTTGCACGGGCTTCTGGATCATCGTTATCCAGCTCCTTCTTCGCGTGCGTGCTCTTACACACGCTCAGGGCTTGCATTAAGCGTAGCATACCTTAGCACCCATCTCCTTCTCCTTAGCACAAATTCATAACCATGTGGAGGCAAGCCGGCGCTCGCCTGTCGCTGGTTGCGCGCCAATCGCTTCAGCGCAGCCGCTCCGCCGCGCTCCCCGCATGGAATAGCCTCGTTGCAGAGAGTGCGCCGGCTGGTGCGGGCCGGAGCGTTACAGACAGGCTCGTTCACAGCGGATGGCTCTCCCAGACCCCCTTCGCCCTCCGCGCAGCCTCCCCCGCAGGTTAGGGTTAGGATCGGAAAAAAACAGAGACAAGTTAGATAATGAGATACTTTCTTTAGTGTAGATATTTTGGGTTCGGTGTTTAAAGGTTACGATGAGCTACGTCTAGATTAATATGTAGATTTCGACCTAATATCTATTATTCCTTTAATCTACATAATGCAGTGGCCACGAAGGACGTTTCTGATGATCTGGAGCATGCTACTGGACTCGAGAGGGAGGAGCTGGCTGCTGAGCTGGAGGTACGCCTTTTTCTACAATAATAATTAGACACTTCGATCCTTTGTAAAAACATCATTTTTTGAGAGGGAGGAACTGCGGAGCTGGAGGTAGAGTCAGGCTGATTAGACACGGCGAAGTTGTATTGCGTTACATTTCTGGGTTACGTCATTTTTTTTTCCATGGGGAATAAGGCTTCTTGATTTTAGATCGGGCCAACTTCAGTCTCGTAGGCTTTTTTTTTTCATTCTCTCTCTGCCACGTATCATTGCGAGCGTTTTGTTAACCGTTTGCAAGCCGGTTCTGGTCTGCTTTCTCTACTGCAGGGAAAGGAGCGCTTCGAGCTGGAGCCTCCTCGCGGTCCCTTCGGAACAGAGGTACCTTGTGTGAACCTGTAAAAATGTGTCGTTTTTCGCCATTTCAATGGTTTGCTGAAAGACACACAATGGTTCAACATTTTCCTTCATGGCTGGTCTGTCTTCCTTGCTGCTGTACACACTACCTCTCACCAAACCTCGAGGCATTGGACCTTGAGAGTCCGATGGAATTTGCGCGTCGCTTGCGCAGTCACCCTTGCGTGTTTCTTTTGCACGGCATGTCATCGGAGTCATTATCTTTTTTGATCTCATAATGTTCTGATTTTTGTTATTTTCGTCTCTGTCATGCTTTTTTATCCACCTTTCAAATGTGCTCAGGATGCTCCTGCGATTGTGGAGGCTCAGTTCGACGAGCGTCTCGTTGGCTGCTCTGGCGGGGTTGGCGGTGAGTGATTCTTCGAGTGACGTCCTTTTGAGGGGCCAAAATCTATCGTGTTTCTTGTTCAACCCCGTTTCTCGGTCCATGTCTCAGACAGTTTCCCTGACAGTGGTCCCGTAACCCGACCGTCTACCAAAGCCCGGCATGATGTAGGCTGGGTCAGGCTCATAAAAGAACTTAGTCGTTCCGCAATATATTGCGTCTGTCATAGCGGACGAGCACGAGCACGATTCCTTCACCATTCTCCATTCTCCATTCGCTTTCATCTTCACGATTCCTCTTCTAACCTTGAGCAGAGGAGGAGCATGATGTCGTGTGGTTCAAGCTGGCAAAGGACTCCAACCACTCCTGCAGCGTCTGCGGTCAAGTCTTTAAGGTGATAATGGTGGCAGGAACAGTTTTGTTTGCATTATTCGCACAACGCCTTCAAGCTCCATTCTGTCCCGTCTTTTCTTTCTGGATTTTTTCCTCTTATAACACCATTGACGTCGTGTTCCCAGACCATCCCATCTGATTCTTTGGTCGGCATCGCCATTGTGAGAAGTGCTAATACCGTAACCTGTTATTCTCTCTTGTTACCCTATTTCTCTTCATTGCCTGCAGCTGAAGGTCGTTGGTCCAGGAGGTATTCCCGGCCACCACCACTGATCGGATTGCTGGCTGGCGGGTAACAAAGCACCACCGTGTATCACAAGTCATTGTAATGAGGAGACGGTTGGGCCATCTTCTCTCAAGACCTTGTGTGGATTGACTGCTCAGGAAGATGGAGCAGAGATGAGTTAGCCTTGCAATTAGGGCTAAGATTTCTCAATACTAAAGCCGGGAAAGACTGTATTAGGCATGTCAGTCACGTTCTCGTCGCGTCACCTCTCGCCATCAGTCATACTCCATTCCACCTGCTTCCATATCAGTCTTCATCCATCGTCCTCCTGCGTATCCACTTGTTTCTGTCCTAGTTAGGACTCAGATGTCAATAGTGCTTGTTAACTTGTTGCAATTGTAATGAATATGCCAACTGGTTTGAATTTCTCCTGTCCTGCATCTGCCATGATACTGTGTACTTCATGTTCTGAAATACCTTCCAACATGGCAAGTTTTGCAGCTACAAGGCACCCGCTACAAACAGGCGAAACCACTTTTGAATCTACCGGTATAATGTGCCTTAGCTATAATATACATGGCAATATAGCCCTTCTGAGCTGCGGATAGTCAGGGAATTTTGCGATATAGCGTTCATGGGTTTCTAATGCAGATAAAGTCAAGTTGGAAACCTGCAGGACAACATGCCGAACGTTTGAGAGATAAGTCAGAGGATACAAATGAGATGGAAACAAGGGGAAGAGGAGCAGCAGAGGGACAACCAGACCAGACACCCACACAATGTGAATCCATGAGCAGAAGTGTGCTGCTGTGCGTGCCCACTACAAGGTAAAATGGGGTCGGCATGTCAGCATACCATACCAAACATGAAGAAAAACTACCGATACACATAGCACCCATGCAAAGATGAGCAACAGCATGGAGTGTGGTGCATACAAAGCCATCAGAACACGGAGAGAGCACAGCAATTTCGTCTACACCCAAGTGTGTAAGAACAAGTTGTACTTACCACCCACGCAAACATGAGCAGCAATGTTGAGTCAAGTATCCTGGATCCAAGTGATAGGAGTAAACCCAAGTATATCACCTGGTTGTTGTGGGAGAGAGAGAGAGAGGAGCGAGAGCGAGAGCGAGAGAGAGGACATTATTGACGCTGACTTGTTTCACTTGTCATCAAAGTTACAAGACTAAGCCTATGTATACCTCATGTGTAAGAAACGACAACATCAGCAAAGGCTGACTGTACAGACTGTATCAGCTTTGATGAACAGTTACAGGCATTGCAGTTTCTTTGAGCGCTTACTGGTTATCACCAGTATTAGAAATACTTACAATCTCTGCTAAGTAGTGTGGGCAAGAGACGTGAGTGAACCAGTCCCCTTGAGGGATGAAGTAGCCCTTCTTACCCCCTTGCCTCAAACTGGCCTGGACGAGTGAAGAGGGAGAGAGGAGGGAAAGGAAGGGAAGGGGGGAGAGAGTAGGGAGGCATGGGAACGAGTGTGGGCATGATAATGCGTGAACCTGCCTCGTTGAGCCACAAAGGGGCTCTGGCATTTCCATGGGTACGATACCAGAGATATTTTGCAGGGACATGCAAAAAAATATTCATTGGAGTTTGAAGCACTTGACGGCGCTTTAAAAGCACTTGGTAGTGGTGCAGTGCGGTTGTGGCGCTCACCAAGATGGCATGGCAACGGGGCTGGTGAAGATTACCCCACGGGAACAACCGCGAGGTGCCCGCAGCATACACATACAACCACTGAATGCTTTGCCTCGAACTGTCTTTTGAGGCGCCTCAAAAGTCGGGAACAACTGTGAGGCGCCCGCAGCATACACATGCAAGCACTGAATGCTTTGCCTCGAACTGTCTGTTGAGGCGCCTCAAAGTTGAGAACAACCGTGAGGTACCCGCAGCATACACATACAAACACTGAATGCTTTGCCTCGAACTGTAACTATCACCAGGATGGCATGGCAACGGTGCTGGCGAAGATAGCCCCACGCAAACACACTCCACCGGACACACTCCACCGGACACACTCCACCGGACACACTCCACCGGACACACTCCACCGGACACACTCCACCGGACACACTCCACCGGACACACTCCACCGGGCCTTGAGGCACCTCAGTGTAGACATATCAACACTGAATGCTTTGCTCCTAACTGTGTAGCTTACCAGAATCGCATGGCAGCGGTGCTGGTGCAGGTTGCCCCACGCGAACACTGCTGCTCCAACAATATGGCATGCTATGCTTATGACATCAGCACCAGTGGTGGAGAACGGTTCAGAAGGTGTGACTGGATGGCCAGCAAGGAAGAAGGAGAGCGGAGCAGCTATGTAGTAGCTGGTGGGGTGGGGTGGGGTGGGGGGGGTTGTAAGGGAAGGTGATAATGATGGTGACTGGAACGGGTCGGAGGACTTTTGAGACGTCTCAGGAGTAAAGGACGGTGATAATGATGGTGATGACTGGAACGGGTCGGAGGGCGAGACTGGACGAGCAGCAAGGAAGAAGGAGAGCGGAGCAGCTATGTATTAGCTGGTGGTGGTGTGGGGTGGGGGGGAGTAAAGCGGGGGTTGGAGTGGGTGGAGGAAAGGGGATGGGTGGGGATGGGAGGTGATGGTGATGGGGAAGGCAGGTTGGGGGGCAGGGCAGAGCAGGACGGCCAGCAAGGAAGAAGGAGATTGGCGCAGCAATGTAGTAGCTGGTGGGCGGGGAGAGGGAGAGGAGGAGAGGGGGGAAGGGGGTGGGCGATGTGGTCATGAAAGAACTAGGGGCAGGGCAGGACTGTTTTTGAGGCGCCTCAAGAATCGTCTCAGTTCACGCGATTTTGAGGCGCCTCAAGAATCGTCTCAGTTCACGCGATTTTGAGGCGCCTCAAGAAGGGGGTGGGCGATGTGGTTATGAAAGAACTAGGGGCAGGGCAGAGCAGGACGGGCAGCAAGGAAGAAGGAGAGCGGGGCAGCGATGTAGTAGCTGGTGGTAGGGAGGAGGGAGGGGGAGGGGGGGGGAGGGGCGGGGGGAGAGGGGCGGGGGGGGAGGAGCAGCGGCTTAGTAGCTGGTATTGGAGAGGCATGGTGGAGCAGCAGAGGAGGGCAGAGCAGGACGGGCAGCAAGGAAGAAGGAGAGCGGGGCAGCGATGTAGTAGCTGGTGGTAGGGAGGAGGGAGGGGGAGGGGGGGGAGGGGCGGGGGGAGAGGGGCGGGGGGGGAGGAGCAGCGGCTTAGTAGCTGGTATTGGAGAGGCATGGTGGAGCAGCAGAGGAGGGCAGAGCAGGACGGGCAGCAAGGAAGAAGGAGAGCGGGGCAGCGATGTAGTAGCTGGTGGTAGGGAGGAGGGAGGGGGAGGGGGGGGAGGGGCGGGGGGAGAGGGGCGGGGGGAGAGGGGCGGGCGGAGAGGGGCGGGGGGAGAGGGGCGGGGGGAGAGGGGCGGGGGGAGGGGGGCGGGGGGAGAGGGGCGGGGGGAGAGGGGCGGGGGGAGAGGAGCAGCGATGTACAAGCTGGTTGTAGGGAGGAGGGAGAGAGGGGGGGGAGTAAGCGGGGAAATAGTGATGGCGATGAAAGAAAAGGGAACTGGCGAGGAAGAAAGAGAGTGGAGCAGCAATGTGCTAGCTGGTGGTCGGGTTGGGAAAGGGGGGGAGGGGATGGTGGTGGGATGGGGAGGAGGAGGTAGGCAGAGACATGCATGTGAGGTAGGCAGAGACATGCATGTGAGGTAGGCAGAGACATGCATGTGAGGTAGGCAGAGACATGCATGTGAGACGATGTTGGGGAGGGAGGGGGAAAGGGCAGTGGACTCCCACAGCCGCCTGGAGAGATGCAGATGGAAGAGGAGCGAGTGGACAGGCACTTGGTGCAATGAGTCGAGTTTTGGGTCGACTCAAAACTCGACTCAGATGGAAGAGGAGCGAGTGGACAGGCACTCAGTGACTTTTGAGTCGACTCAAAAGGCACTCAGTGCAGCAGCAGACGCAGTTTCGTCTCGACTATGGACTCCTCCCACCCACCCGCAGCAGTCTGGCAAAGTGCATTCTCTTCTATAACGCGGATATGATGCTGCCGGTCTTTCCCTGTCCACTGAAACTCGCATACCGCCCACATTCCACTCACCAGAGGCCGAGGAGGTAGGCACAGACGTGCATGTGAGACGACGGTGGGGAGACAGAGAGGGTTGTAGACTCCCATAGCCGATCAGAAGGGAGTATTAGACAGTCACTCACCATAGTATGTTTTTTGAGAATTCTCAAAATGTTTTTTAGCGTATGTTTTTTGCGAATTCTCAAAAAACATACGATCAGAAGGGAGTAATAGACAGTCACTCACCATAGGCCAATGAGGTATGACGAGACGAGCCACGTGCACACAGCACTCACCAGAGGCCGAGGAGGTAGGCTGAGACGTGCATGTGAGACGATGTTGGGGAGACAGAGAGGGTTGTAGACTCCCATAGCCGTCTGGCGAGATGCAGATGGAAGAGGAGCGAGTGAACAGGTGCTCGGTGCAGCAGAAGCTGCAATGCTTGAACGCTGCTGGTGGGTGTGGTGGTGGTGCCAGGTGTGCTTGTAGCAATGCTTTCGCTGCTGCTGTTATAGCTGCTGTTACCGCTGCTGCTGCTGAGAGCACTGAAGCTTATACGAAGTTCAGTGTTGAGGAATGCGGTTACATGCGAGGGAGCAGAGAGGGCGAGAATGAGGAGTGCAAGGTTGAAGGCGAATCCGACCATGTAGAAATGAGAGAAGCAGCGATGGGGAACAGTCATGTGCTGGCAGGAATGGTTTGGGCAAGAAGGGGGAGCGAAAAAGGAGAAGGAAAGGGAGAGGGAGAGGGGGGAGAGAATGGGAGCGAGGAGTGCAAGGTTGAAGGAAAGTCTGACAATGTAGAAATGGGAGAAGCAGCGATGGGGAACGGTCATGTGCTGGTAGGGGGTGGGGAAAAAGAGGGGGGGAAGAAGAGGGAGCAGTGAGGGCGAGGGCGAATCCGACAATGTAGAAATGGGAGAACCAGCGGTGAGGCACCGTCATGTGCTGTCAGAGGGTGGTGGGGAAGAGGGAGGGATGGAGCAGTGAGCAGTGAGAGCGAGGGCGAGGAGTGCAAGGTTGACGGAGAGTTTGACAATGTAGAAATGGGAGAACCAGCGGTGAGGCACCGTCATGTGCTGGCAGCGGGTGGGGAAAAAGAGGGGGGGGAAGAAGAGGGAGCAGTGAGGGCGAGGGCGAGGAGCAGAAGGTTAAAGGCGAATTCGACGACGTAGAAGTGGGAGAAGCAGCGATGGGGAACGGTCATGTGCTGGTAGGGGTAGTTTTGGACAACTAGGAGAACAAGGAGAGGGAGAAGGAGAGGGGCCAGTGAGGGTGAGAATGAGGAGTGAAAGGTTGAAGGCGAATCCGGGGATGTAAAAGTGGGAGAAGTAGCGATGGAAAAAGGTCATGTGCTGGCAGGGATGGTTTGGGAAGGAGAGAAGGAGAGAAGAAGGAGAAAGGCGACGGGAGAGGGAGGAAGCAAGGGATTGGGAAATGGAGGGTAGGACCGCTTTGGGTGATTCCTCGAAGTCACTTTTGAGAAATTTCATAAGGGACTTCAATATAGAAGAAGGAGAAAGGCGACGTGGAGAGGGAGGAAGCAAGGGAATGGGAGATGGAGGGCAGGACCGCTTTGGGTGATTCCACGCCCAGCAGGACTTTGAGCTTTGAGGCGACTTAGAACCAATACAACTCATACGCAGAGAGGCGAATATCGGTGACGCCAGGAGACGTTCCGTGTTTACTGGTAGGACCGCTTTGGGTGATTCCTCGTCCGGCTAGACTTGGAGTTTTGAGACGACTGGAAGCTAAAACTAACTCAACTCACCCGCAGATAAGCAAATCTCGACGACGCGGGGGATTTCACGGGTTTGCTCGAAGAGCCGCTTTGGGTGATTCCTCGACCGGCCAGAATCCGCATGAGATGGCGGAGGGGAGTAAGCACGGGGAGAGGCAGGAGCGCGAGGATGACTGGGAGAGCGATTATTGCCCAGAAGCAGCGGAGGAGGGAGATCACGACGTCGCGTAGCGTCAGAAACGCCACGTCAGAAACAGCGTTTATTGGTGACATGGCTGTCTGTCGGGCGTGTTGCGTCAGCTCCGTAGGAACAAATGCTCAGAAAGGTGTAGGTTTGAGGATGCGCTCTGGTTTCCTGACTCCGCGAGGAGAGATGACGCGTAAATTGCGCCACCTCGAAGCGATTTGCTAGTATGCGCTGGGCCGATCCGTTATGCATGTGATGCGCAGCACGTGGGGAAGCGTGGAATGCGGATAAGTTGTACCAAGATACCCCGAACGCGGAAAGGCGTGAGCGAGAAAGAGATGGAGAGAAGTGGGAGGAAGATGCTAAATGATAGTGCGATGACGTTGGGAGGGGAGGATACAAGAGTCTAGCTTCACCGACAGATGCGTTTTTTCACGCTTCGGCGAGATCCATGGATAATGGTGGAGTGAATGTATTTGCGGTGTGCTTTGTGAGTTCGTGATGGCTTCACCCTACTAAACCACTCTAGATTTCTGATAGCCGCTATCAAGCGCACAGAAATGCTTTGAACCGTACGAAGGTGGCGTTCACGACATCTCTCCCAACCTTCCGCGACACAAAAACATTGGTAACATTTCGCTGGCTGGCCATGATGGTTGTTGAAAGATAGGCTGTTCACGTTACGCGCCCTGAGCTTGCTTGACCTCGGCTATCCATCATCCATCAACCGAGCTGAAAGCTAAGGAAAACCGTTTATCAGGTGAGGAAACGCCCTCAACCGCAGGAAGGTGAATAATGCCAAATATCTCATCATCCTTGACTCATCATCATCCTTCACGGACGCATACCCTCGAATTTATCGTTCTTCCTGTCACCAGTCATCCATGGCTGTTGAATCTGGTCAGCGTTCATTTTGGTGTTGTGCTATCCACTCAAGATGCCAAACAGCAAGTTACACGGGTCTCACGTTTTGTAATCACGGTGCCTTGAACGACGCGCATCTTTCTTGGAATCAGCAAGATTAGCATCCTCGGATGGATTCAAGGAGCCTGTGCGCTGGCTCGCGGCGTTTCCCACGAAAAAAAAAAAAAAGAAGCTTGTGCTAATCTTAGCTTCCACTCGCCCTCCTTATCCAAGACTCATGACTCGGAAACGACGTGGCGTAACGCCTCCTTGCCGCTTGCTGTTGGCCTTTTTATACGGAGTTCACTGGCTCAGTCTTCATACACACCAGCTTTCTTTATTTTCAGTTGTCGAGCCTCGTCTTTATTCCGACGTGCGTCGTCTGATTCCTCCGAATGGCTCCATCGTTCTTGAGCTGCGCGGCAGCTCTTCAAATCATCCTGATCATTCTTCAGTACGTTCTCAGTCCGTTCTGTTGTTTGACGGCAGCGCATTTTTACGCCATCTTTAAAACTTTTCTCGCTGCGATTTCTTATTGTGGTTCAATACTTTCTTCCCACCTTCCGTAACATTTCGCAGTCTCTCTGTGAGCGTGCATGCACGGAGCTTGCCATCTCGTGATGTTCCCCGAGACATCAAACCAGATGCGAATTGCCATCAAAGTGCTTCAGTACCCGGGTCCTTACCCCACTTCAAAGCCTTTGCCGGAGAGCTGGCTGCTACCAACGTAAATCTTCGTGTTGAAGAAACTGATGCTGCCAGCCACAGAGTGCAATCCGGGTCACTGGGTGCAGTAAGTGGATGGCGGGACAGTGGATGGGTGGACTGATATCTTGTCTGAGAGTGTTTCAAGATGTGTTTTCTGAGATTCCCCATTCTAACTGGCTCCTCTCTATTTGCAGACGCTTCAACAGCGTTCACGGCATCCTTGGAAGCGCCTGACCCACTTATGGTCATCGATTTCAATAAACCAGCGACTTTATGAACCACATTTTGGAACTGGTTATCAGAATGACGGCTCTGATACTGGTATCAGAAACACTGAAGCAGTGGATAACATTGGTCTTGCGTTTTCTTTGCTGGGCCAGCTGTTTCCGTTGCGGGCACTGGCCTCCAGGAAGCAGGTTCTTGGAGGGTCAGGAGCCACATTCTTTGAGCAGGACGCCAATGCTGGGAGCATCAACAACCTGGGAGTTACAAACAGTCAGAGAAGCAGAGTGGGAGATGGCATGGGTTATGCTTCAAGCTTTCAGGGCAATTCAATGTCCCAACAAAGTGCAACTAACCCCACACTCCCCACTGTGTATGTCGGGTCTAGTGTCTCCACTACCGCCGCAACAAATGGGGTAGGTTCATCGTTCCCATTTGCAGGACTGGGAACGACTGGTGATGTGTTTGTTGGTGTGGGTGGTCAGTTGATTCCAACAGGTGCAAGCATTGGAGATTGATACGTTGAGATGAGTGGAGAATTCTTGTTGACCTTTGATATTGTAATTGACATTGTACTACAATATTGAGAAAGCTTGCTTTCTGTTCTTGCAATGGCAACGCGCTTCATTAGAAATGCAGTTATTACAGCATTTTCGTCCAACTGTAAATCATACATGCACATGATCAGGGTGGGTGGGTGGGGAGTGGAACTGCGAAGTTCCAAAGTGAAGACGTGGGTGGAGGCCGAATGGCCTCCAACCCTCTTATACGCAGTTGCGTTGCTGCACTACAGTCAGCTGCACTTTCACAATACGCATTTTTAGAAAGTGGTACACACTTTCGAAAAAAATCATTACAAGACAATCTACCCCCAACAATCGGCTTCACAATGGCCTGCCAGTAAAATGCCAGCAAACAAATAATTTGCTACCAGTTTCAGCCACCACAGCTTCTCCAGCAACTTCCACCTAAGCCATTGACCATTCATTGGCCGCTTTATTGCTCCCATTTTCACCTCTGCATGCCATTGCTGTGGCGTCTGCTGCTGCTACTGTTCCAACCAGTAATGTTTCCCCTGCGTCTCCCCTGCCCCAGTGACTACCTAAAGCATATCTTCCTTCTCTTCCTATCCCCCTCACGCCATTACTGTTACAAATGCTGCTACTGATACCAATAGTTTTGAGGCATCTTAAATTTCTCTTCCTCCTCACCTACTGCAACTTAAGTTTTTTTCCTGCTGCTACTGCTTCTACTGCTGCTGCTGCTCCCACCAAACACCACCGCCACCACCACCAGCACCACTTCACTTGTACTTGGCTTTAAGCCGAGCCAATTCCGCCTCATCGTCCGCTCCCAACCCCATCTCCATCTGAGGCACCCTCTCTTCCTCCTCCTCCACCCCTGCTGCCTCTGCCGCCCGCTGCTTTTGCCGCACCGCCGTGGGAAGCTGCGCAGTAGCTTCCGTCGCCAGTTCATCAAGAACCTTGTTTACTTCCTCTTCCATTTCATCCTCCATCTCCTCGGTGTCTAGAGCATCGTCTACGGCCTCTTCCAGCATCTCGCTGATTAAACCAGCCTGAACAGGAATACAGAGAGAGGAGGAGGTAAACAGAGGGGAAAAAGCAGGGAAATCGGGTTGTGATTCTCTCCTCCAGCTAATCAGGAACCTTATTACTTCCTCTTCCATTTCATCCTCCATCTCCTCCATGTCCAAAGCATCGTCCCCTATCTCTCTCTCTCCATTCTTTCTGGTTTTTGAGAATTCTCAAAAACCGGCTTGCAGTCATCACCCCAATCTCTCTCTCTCCATTCTTTCTGGTTTTTGAGAATTCTCAAAAACCGGCTTGCAGTCATCACCCCAATCTCTCTCTCTCTCCATTCTTTCTGGTTTTTGAGAATTCTCAAAAACCGGCTTGCAGTCATCACCCCAATCTCTCTCTCTCCATTCTTTCTGGTTTTTGAGAATTCTCAAAAACCGGCTTGCAGTCATCAACCCACTCTCTCTCTCTCTCTCTCGAATGGTCCTTGCATTTCTTTGGGGGGTGGTACAACGGAAGGTGCAAAACACACAAGCACAAGCTTAACAGAAAACCGGCATCCTAACTATTCCAAGTCCCCTACCTACTCTGCCCCCCCCCCTGTCCGACCCTACTGGTCGAACGGGGCCTCAATCAACTGGTGCAGCTGTCCCTCACTGAGAGGGATGATGGGTCCTCTAAAACCGAGCTCGTCCGCCGCCAAGGCCTCATTGGTCTTGGTGCGGAGGGCGTTGGCCTGTGCCCGCTGGAGGCACACGCTCCAACGCTGGCGGTACTCCGTCAGAAGCTTCGCTGCTTCGTAGGAGGTAGGGGCTGCGTTAAACCGCAGCTTTGCCGCCAGCTCCGCGCTCTCACGCGCTCGCGTGGAACCCCACCCACGTGTTCCGCCGTGCGTACTTCTCCTCCTTTTTTGCCGCTGCCGCCCTAGCTGCCCAACCAGGAGCTCGGTTGCAGTTCTCGTCCTGGTATGACATCGGGTCCGTCACGGTCACGTCGCACATCCAAACCTCCCCGGTCAGTGGATGACGGATGGTGACATCCGCCTTTAGGTTTTCAACCAGTGAGTAGACATACGTCTCCTTATGAACCGTAAAACCCGCCTCAGCCCCGATATTTGCTATCTCATCCCGCAGAGCGTGATGGGTAGCGGTCCTCCCTTTCCCCTTCTCGCAGCGCATGAGGTGGTTGGGGAGGCGGTCGTCGGGGAAGGTGGTGCGGTAGCGGCAGTCACAGCGTCTAGGCACTGGGAGGGGGAGGCCTAGGCGGAAGGCAGCTGCAGTTGAGAGCTGGGAGGGGCCCATTCGGAGCGAGGGGATGAGCGGGATCGCCAGCAGCCAATCCCCCGCTCCTGGGCCTAGCACCGACTGCATCCGTTGCGCATGGCCTGAAAGGGGGTTGGGGCGCATCCGCCTTGCCTCGCGCATGGCCCTCAAGAAGCGGCGGGAGTGAACCGCCAGCGCTAGGCTCTGCTGCAGCTTCAGTCCCTTGGGGTCTGTCTTCCCGGCCTGGAGCACCTCGAGAGCCTCAGGTGGGAGAGCTGCCTCAGCCGCGGCGAGGCGTGCAGGCAGCGCGTGCGGGGAGCCGTGGGTAGGGTCCAGTAGGGGGAGGAGCGCGGCGACAGCAGGGTGTAACGACTCCTCCAGGGAGTATAGAAGGTGGGCGGCGCTGATCACTGAAGCGAGGTAAGCGTAGCTGCCTTCAACGGCGGGGTCAGTGATGCCCAGGCCTCCCAGAGTCACGGGCAGGGCCGCCTGCCGCCAAATCCTCCGCCTCTCCCGGGCACTCCTCGGTCTCATGATGTGGGCCGAGTCCAGGAAGGTGTGTAGGAGCTGCTCCCCCCAAGCTGACCATTCCGCTTCAGGGAGAGCTTCCAGGGGGGTGGTTCTGGCCAGAAAAGAGGCTCGGCGGCTGACACAGCGGGTGAGGAGGAGGAGGCTAAGCTGGGGGTCCATCTGGGCCAGCAGGGGGAGTGGGGATGCTGCTACTGCCAGTCTCTCTCTCACGGCGCCCGCGCACCCCCGGGGTGTGCCAACCGGGCTGCCGAGAATCTGCAGTCCCTCATCAGAGATAGTAATTCCCGGGGCACTGCAGAGGGGTCGATTGGAGCGGCGGACCACGCCGCGCATTTGGCCGGGTTGTGTACCAGGCCGAGGGCGGCAAGTGCGGATGTGAGGTGGTCGAAAGCTGCTGTGCAGGCCGAGGCGTCGCCGAGCAGCGTGATGTCATCGGCGTACGCCAGCAGGACCACCTGAGGGTGTGCCGCCGCCGTGGCAATGAGGCACGGGTGGATGCTTGCCGCGAACAGGAGGGGGCCGAGCGGGTCCCCTTGGCGAACTCCTCTGGCGCTCTGCAGCGGGGCTGCGCCGAAGTCGTGGTCGAGGTAGAGCGAGGAGGGAGCCCCGTAGGATAGGCGGACGAGGGGGATCAGCTTCTTCAGCGCCTCGTTTCTCAGTCCTTCGAACACCGCTCTCCTTTCTACCGCGTTAAAAGCGTTCGCGAGGTCGATCTGCAAGGCCACTGCAGCAGGGTGCACTTCCAGGTACGTGCGAGCGGTGTGGATAGCCGCTTCGATCCCCCCTGCTACTGCCACGCCGAATTGAAGGGGGGCAAAGTGAGTACGGGCGGCTGGCGCGGTCAGGAAGAGGGCGGCCTTTGCTATAATCCGGAGGAGACACTCCCCCACCGCTATTGGCCGCGTCCCTCCTTGGGGTTTCGTAAAGGCTAGCAGGCGGGAGGCCGTGAGAAGATCCCCCGCGGCTGTTGGGAGTTTCCCTGCTAGAGCTGTGTTGGAGAGGGCGAGGAGGTGGGAGAGTACTTCGGCATTCCCTAGGGCTGCGTCGCGGATATGCTCGAAAGTGGTTCCTGAGGGGCCGGCCCCGACTCCGTTGGGGAGCTTGGCGAGGAGGCGCCTGAAGTCGCGGGCTTCGATAGTGGGTGGGTCTTCAGCCGAGGCGGTGTGGAGCCAGTCAGGGAGAAGCTGGCTGGCAGGTGGATGTCTCGTCGCGAGGGCTTCCAACACTTCAGGTGAGGCAGGTGACACAGGGGTGGCCTGGAGGGATTGGAGTGATTTTGACAGGTTACCCCGTTTTGCCAGACCTTCCGCCCGTGCCAGTATTCCAGTTGTGTCGAGTGAGTGGCGAGGCTGCGGAGGCAAGGAAATCGCCTGGACAGCTTCTTCGTATAGGTCCGCCCAGAGCCCTTGGCGAAATCGCAGGAGCCGATTCATCATCGCGCTCCAGTCAGGTTTACGGGCTGACGAGGTGCGAAGGAGTATGCGCGGGAGAAAGGTCAGTAGTTTCCATCCTGGCGCAGACTCGGGATTGGCCGCCAGGTGGAGTAACGGCGTCAACATACAGATCGCGAAGGAGTCGCGAAGGTCTTTGGGGGGGTGGCGAGCGAGAGGAGGTTGGCGACTGTCACGCAGCGGGTCGAGGTCCCAGACTGCAACCTGAGCGAATAGCTCAGAGTTTTTCGCCAGGTCGTCAGGTTTGAGCATCGGGGGGGGTTGGACTCGGGGCTGCGGAATTTTCATTGGCTGTTGCAGAGTCAATTCTTTCTTCTGGAGCGGCTCGATTTCCCCTCCTTGCTTGAATTCCCCCCGCGGTTCGATTCCGAACTGAGGTTCGGTTTGCAGGTTCACCTCTGGCCTGCTGGTTTGGGAGCTCCGCTTCCCGCAGCAGCTCCAACTCTTCCTCGTCCTCCTCGGCCTCTGCTTCTAACATCCCCTCGTTTTCAGGGTTAAAGGCAGGGTCCCTCTCTTCACTTTCCTCATTCTCCGCTTCCTCCTCTGCTTCCTCGCTAAGTGGTTCCACGTCGCCCTCTGCGCCGTTTCGCATCAGCCTTTCCACATTCCTCGCGTAGCCGCTTGCACCAGATCGGCGCCTATTCGAACCTCGTGCTCCACCACCTCTTCGTCCTCTCTCGTTGCCTCGTCGTCCGCGGCGGCTGCCGCGTCCTACGCGGATTCCCCGCGTTGCTCGTCCCACAGCAGCTCCCTCGCGCCCTGTCTGCGGCGCCGCGACCGTCTCGTTTTCGCTTCGTCGCCGCACTGGCGTCGGCTGCGGTAAGATCGGGGGTGATGGACCCATCCGTGAGACGGGATCCGGAGCTGGAGGGTTCCGCGGAGAGCTCGCTACCGCAGCCTGCGCCTGCCGGGCCTCGTCCGCGTCTCCCTGCGCACCCCTCCGCGAGCGAGCCCGTGCACCACTTCGAGCGGGTTCAAACGCTTCCCCATCGTCCTGCCGCGCGCCCCGCCTCGCCAGAGTATTCGTGGGCGCCTGCTCGTGTTGCGTCGAACCGCCCGGACGGTCAGCCGCGGCAGGAGCGCGGGTGCTCGCCTCTGCGGCACCCTCAACAGCCGCCCTCTCCTCGCCGCCCTTCTCCTGAGCGTCGCGAGCACTATCAGCGCGGGGAGGGGGGTAAGCGTTCTCCTGCACGTCCTCGCTCCCCTCGCCGCCCATCCCCTCGTGGTCAGGCAGGCCAGCGCTCACCGCGAGCGCGATCCCCCGCGCAACGTTCTCCTCGGCGATCTCCGGCGACGCGGGGGAGGGGGTCGCCTGGTCGTCGCTGGGATTCGGGTCGCCGCGAGCAGTCCCCCCCGCGTCCACATTCGGCTGGTTCCGGGGGACGGCGGGGCTGGCGGAAGGGCGGAGGGCGAGGCGGGAATGGCAACCAGCCTGATCCAGCCCTCGATCATGCTGCGGACACGTTCGTGGAGGTGGTGAGGCAGGCCCGGGCGAGTGGGGCGCCGACTCACGTCCATATTGAGGTGACCAACGGTCCCCCCTTCGCCGCGGACCTAGGCCAGGTCGCTCCTCTGCGTGCGCCGACGCTGCGCGAGTATCAGCCCGCGCGTGAGGGGAGGGCTCAGTTCCGCACCCCCCTGTCAGGTTCCCGGCTTCTCTGCGCCGCGCTTGGCTGTTGGCCGGACTCCTGGCTGGCCGGCGGCGTTTCCGCGCGAAGCGCAGACTGCACCTCTCCCCACTCGCGCGGGGAGAGACCCCATGCTGACCATGTGCCGGGTTCTGAATCTGGCGGAGGCGTGGGAGGTGGTGGCGAACTTGCAGCTGGCGGTGTGTGGGGCCACGAGGAGCTTTCCGAGCAGTTTTGGTCCAGGGACCCGAGGATCCTGCGTGACTTTGGCAGAATCACTCGAGTCGCAGTTGGCACCCGTGTCGGACGCGCCCGCCGGGGTAGCTCCCTTAGCCCGTACTTTCCCCCGCCACGTGGGGGATCTTGTAGGGGCTGCTCAAGCCGGGACCCCCTTGGACACACTCCAGTCGTCGGCGCATCTCCTTCTTGCGTTGTCGGCGTGCATGCGCTCGATGCTTGAGGTGGAGGGGGCGGAGCCGTACACGATGTAGGCCTCCGCCGTGTGTAGAATTGCATGCCGCGCCTCTTGCTCCTGCCCAGCTCCTTGCCTTTGTGTGTGTGTGTGCCCTATATAAGCCGATCCTCCGTTTTGTGTCTTGCCACCAGAAACGCGCGGCCGAAGGCCGCCGGCGCGAGCCGCGGAAAACTGAGAACACACGAAATAATGAGGAGAAGAAGGCACCAAGGGCCCTTAAATAGGCTCAGAGGAAGAGGGCCGAGGGAAGAGGAAGAGGGCTGGGTGCTAAGTCCTCTCTCTCTCTCGCTCTCTCCAGCCGCGGGAAACTGAGAACACACGAAATAATGAGGAGAAGAAGGCACCAAGGGCCCTTAAATAGGCTCAGAGGAAGAGGGCCGAGGGAAGAGGAAGAGGGCTGGGTGCTAAGTCCTCTCTCTCTCTCGCTCTCTCCAGCCGCGGGAAACTGAGAACACACGAAATAATGAGGAGAAGAAGGCACCAAGGGCCCTTAAATAGGCTCAGAGGAAGAGGGCCGAGGGAAGAGGAAGAGGGCTGGGTGCTAAGTCCTCTCTCTCTCTCCCTCTCTCTCACTCTTCCCCTCACTCACTCTTCGCTCCCGCCCCATCGCACATTCATCATATCTTTGGACAGCTCTTGCATAATGCCAGCCACCTGTATGAAGATTGGTTTTGAGACGTCTCAAAACCAATCTTCATACACGTATCATCTCTTTGGACAGCTCTTGCGTCATGCCAGCCACCTGCGGGACTTTGATGAGACTGCTGCAGGATCTCTTATAAGGCTGTTCCTTTTTCCCACTTCTCACCTCCCTCCCCCTCCCCATCGCACATTCATCATCTCCTTTGGACAGCTCTTGCATCATGCCCGCCACCAGGGGCATTTAGACCAACCAAATGGTTGATTGGCTTCATGTGCCCCTTAGAGTGCTCAGGCGCTCTTTTCCCTCTCCCCACCCCTACTCCCCCCCTCACATTCATCATCTCTTTGGACAGCTCTTGCATCGTGCCCACCACCAGGGGCATTTAGACCAACCCAATGACTGACCGGACTGGCTGCGCGGCAGCTTCATGTGCTTCTGAGCCCGCTCACAGCAGCCCTACATCCCCCTATGACTCCGTAGAGAGCTTCACATGCTTCTAGAGCTGCAGCTTTTACACTTTACAGAGCTCACAGCAGTAGGGCTGCTGTAGGGCTGCAGTAGGGCTGCTATTATTCCGCTCACAGCAGCCGTACCTCCCCCTATGACTCCGTAGAGCTTCACATGCTTCTAGAGCTGCTGAAATGCCACTGTAAAGGCTCTTCCCTCCTCCCTCTCCCCTCTTCCCAGTTCCCCCACCCTCGCACCTTCATCATCTCTTTGGATAATTCTTGCATCGTGCCCGCGACCTGTGGCACTTTGATCAGCCCGCTGACGAGCTTCATCACCTCTGTGCTCTTCGCCATGTGCCCCGCCACCTTCGCCATGGCTGGTGGTAATGGAGAGGGGTTGGGAGGGATTGGAAGGGATTGGACAGGGGGAGCCAGGGAGAAGGAGGAGTTGGGGGAGGGGGGTGGTTCAACACAGAAGCACCAACCACCTGCGGCACTTTAATCAGCCCGCTGACGAGTTCCATCACCTCTGTGCTCTTCGCCATGTGCTCCGCCACCTTCGCCATGGCTGGGAGGGATTGGAGAGGGATTGGGAGGGGTCAAAAGAAATTGCAACGGGGGGATTTGGGGGAGGGATCTACATGTGAGCACAGGGCTCAGGCCCCCCATTCCATCCCACTCAGCCCGCTGACGAGCTTCATCACCTCTGTGCTCTTCGCCATGTGCTCTGCCACCTTCGCCATGGCTGGAGGGGTTGGGGGAGTACACAGGCACGGGGGAGTACACAAGCACGGGGGAGTATACAGGCACGGGGGAGTACACAGGCACAGGGGAGTACACAGGCACGGGGGAGTACACAGGCACGGGGAAGTACACAGGCACGGGGGAGTACACAGGCACGGGGGAGTACACAGGCACGGGGGAGTACACAGGCACGGGGGAGTACGCAGGCACGGGGGAGTACACAGGCACGGGGGAGTACACAGGCACGGGGAAGTACACAGGCACGGGGAAGCACACAGGCACGGGGAAGAGAGCAAAGGTTTGGCGGGAGAGGCAGAGAGATATTACATGTTACGCAAGAGAAGCAACATGATGAGGAGATGATGTCTAAGAATTGCCTCATCACCTCTGCGCTCTTGGCCATGTGCCCTGCCACCTTCGCCATGGCTGGAGGGGGGAAGGGCGTGAGGTCTTAAAGAGATGCCTTAAAAGTGGACCAGAAGGAGGGTGCGAGGTTCAGCAAAGCAGCACCGCGCACAGGGGCTCTCAACTCGTTGATGATTTTCAACCCCTGTGCCAGCACTTGCCACCTTCGCCATGCTCGTCTTGGGACATTTTCCGGTGAGCAGCAACCTCACCAACCTCCCCTCTCCCCACCCTCTGTTCTGCTTTCTGGTGGATCTCTCAAGGAAGGCTCAGCATTGGCAGCACTGAGAAAGAGGTAGCTGGAAAAAAATGCTGGTATGCTATTTGGAGCTTGGCAAGATGCGCTAAGGATGACATGGGTAGCGGCAGGCAGGAGATTTGGATCCTGAAAGCATTTTTCCAAGCTCCAAATCTCCTGCCTGCCGCTACCCATGTCATCCTTAGCGCATCTTGCCAAGCTCCAAATCTCCTGCCTGCCGCTACCCATGTCATCCTTAGCGCATCTTGCCAAGCTCCAAATAGCATACCAGCAATTTTTTCCAGCTGCCTCTTTCTCAGTGCTGCCAATGCTGAGCCTCCCCTGCTGCTCCCAACCTCACCAACCTCCCCTCTCCCTACCCTCCGTTCTCCAATCTTCCCCCCCCAGTGCAGCGACACGGAGTTGAGCTGGGCTCGCGACCTCGTGCTCACACCAACAACAAAACCCCTTCCCACTATTCCCTTTCCTTCCTCCCCATCCCACCCATTAGAGCCACCCACTCCCACCCCTCCTCCTCACGCTCACCGATGTTCTCCCCCAGGCATCTCCCTTCTCCCAGGCACAGCGAAATGGAGTTCATCTGAGCCTTCAGCGCGTGCTTATGGCAACAACCACACGCCCATCCCCTGTTTCCCTTCCTTCCTCCCAAACACCCTCCTAACCCCCTTCCCCTCAAACTCACCGATTTTTCTCCCCCAGGCACATTGAAATAGAGTTCATCTAAGCGTCCTGAGCATGCTCAAACCCTTCATAACCCCCTCCCCTCACACTCACCAATGTTCTCCCCCAGGCACAGTGACATAGAGTTCATCTAAGCCTCCTGCGCATGCTCACACCCTCCGATTCAATCTCCCTCTCAACATTCAAACTCTCCCCAACCCTCACACACGTCTATAAGCAATCCCCCCCCCAATCCCCCTCCCCCCTCTCTCCCCCCCTCACCGATGTTCTCCCCCAGGTGCAGTGAGATAGAGTTCATCTGCGCCTTCTGCTCGTGCTCATATCCCCCCTACTACCCCCACATTCATTCCCCCTGCCCACTCCCTCCTCTTGCACCCCCCTCTCACCAATGTTCTACCCCAGGTGAAGGGAGATGGAGTTCATCTGGGCTTTCTGCTCGTGCTCACACCCCCCAGCCCCTGTTCCCTCCTCTCCACTTCCCCCACCTCCCACTCACCAATGTTCTCCCCGAGGTGAAGGGAAATGGAGTTCATCTGTGCCTTCTGTTCGTGCATGCGACCAATGGCTTTCCGGGATCGCACCAGCTCCTTGGCTAGGTGCTGGGATGATAGTAGTACGTGACAGGAGAAAGGGAGGAAGGGGAGGGGGAGTGGAGAGCACACATGAGTCATGTGCATGCAACCGATGGCCTTGCGCGATCGCACCAGCTCCTTGGCTAGGTGCTGCAATGACAGGGGGTAACAAAGGAGGAGAGGGTTGAGATGGAGTTCAATTGAGCCTTGTGCTCGTGCATGCACGCGACGAATGGCTTTCCGCGATCGCACCAGCTCCTTGGCTAGGTGCTGCAATGACAGGGGGTAACGAAAGGGGAGAGGTGGATGGGAGTGGGGATATGGAATTTATTTGAGCCTTCTGCTCGCGCATGCGGCTAATGGCCTTGCATGATCGCACCAGCTCCTTGGCTAGATGCTGAGAGATGGGAAGTGCGAGGCAGGGTGGGTGGGATTGGAAAAAGGAGGGGGGGGGTTGTGGAGGGTTAGAATCAGCCATGTGCGTTTGCCTAAACTAGTTTTGAGGCGCCTCAAAACTGGGAGGGTTGTGGAGGGTTAGCATCAGCCATGTGCGTTTGCGTTTGCCTAATAGCCTTGCGAGATGATGGGAGATAAGAGACGTGGAAGATCGGAGGTGTATTTTGAGGCGCCTCAAAATACGCCTTGCGAGATTATGGGATGGGAGATAAGAGATGTGGGAGATCGGGGGTGGTGGGCTGGGTGTGGGGGGGGGTGTTGGTTATGAAAGGATTACATGAGCAATGTGCGTTAAAGTGATGGAATTGCGCGATCCCACTAACTCCTTGGCTAGACGCCGGTGCCACACCACACCACACCACACCACACCACACCACACTGCACCAACACACTACACCGCACTGCACTACACCGCACTGCACTACACCGCACCACACCTCTCCCATCCCACACACCTTGGCTGATCCCAGATGGCCTCGCTTAGCCGCCTCCTTGATTTCCTTCTTCACATTCATCTCGCTCCACCACCCCACTCACCACCCAATCCCATCCCACCCCATTCCATCCCATCCCATCCCATCCCATCCCATCCCATCCCATCCCATCCCATCCCATCCCATCCCATCCCATCCCATCCCATCACACCACACCTCGCCCATCCCACACACCTTGGCTGAACCCAGATCGCCCCTCTTGGCCGCCTCCTTGATTCCCTTCTTCACATTCACCTCCTCTCGCTGAATCTCTGCATCAAAAAGAAGGAGAGGGAGAGGAGGGGGGAAGGCATGATGCGGCAAGGTGGCAAGATTGAAAGGCATCACTCTTATCACTCTGTTGGTTTGTCTGCCCCGCTTGGCTTGGCCGCCTCCTTGATTCCCCACTTCACATTCACCTCCTCTTGTTGAATTTCTGCATCGAAAGGGAGAGGAGGGAAGACAGGGGGAAAAGGGAGGAATGAAGGAGGAGGGAGGACGGAGGGAGGACGGAGGGAGGACGGAGGGAGGACGGAGGGAAGAGGGATGAAGGAGAGTAATCGGTAAGATCAGCGATGACATAGTGGATGGATTAGATTTGATTTATTTAAGTGTATCTTCAGTAGATTGAATCTTCACCACCCCCCTTAATTCCTTCTTCGGATTTACCACCTCAATCTCCTTGATGAAACGATGGTGTATGCCAGTACCTCTCCATGAAACCATGGCGTGTTTAGAGGCGCCTCAAAAGTCCTCTCCATGACCATGGCGTGTATCATGTTGACTTTTGAGCCGACTCAAAAGTCATGACCATGGCGTGTACCATTTGAAGAGAAGTTACAGAGCAAGAAACATCAGACGCTCAAAGACAGCTATTGGCGTATTTTTTTGGCGTCTCAAAGACAGCACTCCAGAAACATACCATCTACGTGACACCACCCAATCCCATCCCACTCGATTCCATCCCACCCCACCCCCGTCCACCTCGCTCCACCTTACCCCATTCCATCCCATCCCATCCCAACGAGCCTCGAATGCTCCGCTCTATGTTGCGCTGCTCATGCCGTAGCTTGCGCTGCCACTCCCAACCCATCCCAACCCATCCCATCCCATCCCATCCCATCCCATCCCATCCCACCGCTCGCCCCAGCCACCCACCTCGGATGTTCCGCTCGATGTTGCGCTGCTCCTGCCGTAGCTTGCGCTGCCACTCCCGCAGCTGCTGCTGCGGAGTCAGCTTCGGGCCGAACATGTTCTTCAGCATCGTGCTGACGTGGCAGGTGACGTGGCTAGCGTTGGCTTTGTGATTAGCTCCCACACTCAACAAGTGAATCTCGACTCGATAGAATCACCAGCCAAACCCCTTACAATCACCACTCGGTTAAACTGTTCCTAACATTCGCACTCTTGCAACCCAAACAAGACAATCGCGGGTCTACAATCAGTCTCCAGTGGTTAACTAACTGAGACTAACTGACAGTTGACGCTAACTGAGAGTCAGCTGACGCCAACTGAGACTCAGTTGACGTTAAAGGCCACACCCCGAATTACACAACGAAGTCAACGAAAAAAATGTAGGTTCGGGAAACCCCAGAGACAGGTTCGGTGGGGAAATCGAGAACCAATCGCGTCAAAATCCCACTCAAAACCCTCGACCAATCACACGAAAGTGGTGACAGTTTTGGGGCCGACACGGTAATTCTGGATGTGTCCTTTAACAGGCCAACACACTAAGCACAACTGAGAAATAGAGGGAAGTAATGCCAAAGAGTCGTTCCCTGATTTCGCGCGCTCCGGAAGCAGGAGAGCGGATTCGCGAAGAAATTAGCTCGAATTCACAGAAGAGAACTGCTCGTATTCGGGAGCAAGAATTCGATAAGTGGAAACTCGGAACTACAACCGCACATTAGTAACAGTGGCTGAAAGAATGACTCAGGTAAAACGAGCAGATACTCAATGACGTAGGCTTCAGATGGGCACCCAATGAAAGAAATTCATCAGGGCCACAAATGCCGAGTGAATGCGCGTTCATTTTTAGCCAAAATGCTTACGTGACTGGAACATTTCTTTTTCCAGATAATCGTTGAGACTCCGAATGGTAGTTCCGGGGTCATCTCAACCGCTCGAAAGCTTTCAGTTAAAATTGCTACGAGGATGTTGAATACAGTTTCTCGAATCATGTCGGGAGGGAGAGGAAGCTAGCATGCAGATCTTCGTTACAGAGAAACGCGTTTACAACGTCGGAGTTATTTGTGCAGTGGAATTTCACCCGCTTCATGTGTCAAAGTTCAGACAGCCCTCAGCGGCTGACAATACGTACCTCTTCAAAACGCACAACACCGAGCAGAGAGCGAAACCCTTTCAAACCCTTCTCGGAAGGGCCAAATCCAAAATGGATATCGGGCATCCGTGGCTCTAAAATTGACAGATAACCGCACTGAACCCCCGGTTGTTCAAACTTCCTTTTCCACAACCGGTTTGAACCTTTTTGAAAGCTGTGAATGAGGGTGAGGAAGTCTCCCATTGCTTCACTTCAGAAACGTGAAGTGAAGCTCGCCTCGCCACTTCACACCCACTAAGTCGGACGGATTCCGTCAGTGCTGTGTGCGGGCAGAGCAGTCCTTGGTCCGACGGATTCCCTCGGCATTTCGCGTCCGTCGTCATCTTTGCCGGTTAGCCGTCATCAACGGGCCCATGGAGTCCATGGTCGTCAACCGCGGTCCCACGACAGCATCTAAGCTGTTGCCGCCACGTCACACACTTCGACCCGCGGTAACTACTATGCGCGTCGCCAGTAATTATATTGCTCATATTTGTCATACTTGCAGCCCTATTACCGGTCCTGTGAGCTGCATTGGTTACGAAAGATTGCCGAATTTGGTAACAGATTCCAAGAGACGGTTACAATCGCCGAGAAGCGGCCGAACTCGGTACACTGCCTCGGCGACGGGCGGTACAAATTCCTCTTCTAACGCGGATGACCCGGCGGCAATCAAGGCCAGACTCCGCGCCGCGATTGCGAAGTCGGAGCGCGGAGTGGGAACAGACGAGGCGATTACTCGCGAAATTCTGGCAGCTATTGAATCGCTGGAGGAGCTAGGAGGAGGCGGAAGAGCGGACGAGAGGAAGGAAGCTCCTGTGACAACGTCTGACGAATCATTGAGTGCCACGTGGAAGCTTCTATGGACGACTGAGAAAGAGACGCTCTTCATTTTCAAGCAGGCTCCCTTGTTCAGCACCACCGCTGGAGACACATTTCAAGTAAGCAGCTTCTTTTACCAGGCTATGCTAACCATAGACGTGTCGCAGGACGTGTCGCACGACGTGTCGCAGGGCACATTGAGCATCACCATCACCTTCCCCCCCTTCCCTTCCTCTCCCACTCATTTCCTCCCTCCCTTACTCCCTCCACCCCATGCAGATCAGAGACGTGGCTAAGATCACTCTAAGCAACACCATCACCTTCCCCTCCTCGGGCATCTCTGACGTCTCTGCTTCCATCCAAGTCGCCTCCCTCTCTCCCCTCCGCACACCCCCTCCCTTTCTTGAACCACCATCCCATGCCATTTGCAGACCATAGACGTGGCAAAGGGCACTCTCAGCAACACCATCACCTTCCCTGCCTTACCCCCTCCTTTTTCTCTTTCGCTTACCCCTTCCCGCCTCTCCCTCCTCGGTCCCCCAATGCCATTTGCAGACCATAGACGTGGCAAAGGGCACTTTGAGCAACACCATCACCTTCCCCCCTTCGGGCATGTTTGACGTATCTGCATCCATCCAAGTCGCCTCCGCACAACGCGTCACCTTCCAGTCAGTGTTATCCCCCTCCCCAAACACACACACACACACACACCACCTCCTGACAATCCCCCGTCTCCCCCCCTCGGGCATGTTTGACGTCTCTGCTTCCACCCAAATCGCCTCATATCAACGCGTCACCTTCCAGTCAGTACCGTCCCTCCACACAACCCCCCCCCCCCCCCCCCGCTCACCCCCAACACACACACACCACCTGATAATCCCCCCTCTGCCCCCCTCGGCCATGTTTGACGTCTCTGCATCCATCCAAGTGGCTTCCGCCCAAAGAGTCACCTTCCAGTCAGTACCCCCTTACACGCACATGTTCAACATGTCTGCATCCATCCACGTAGCCTCCGCTCGCATCACCTTCCATCAGTATCCCCCATCACCTTCCATCAGTATCCCCCACGCATCCATCATCCCACTTAACCACCCCTTTCGCTCCCATCTCCCCCTCCGTTCCACTCCCTCTCTCCCACCTCTTCTTCTCCCCCTTCTCCTCCTCTCTCACACGTGTGACATGTCAAAATTCTGTCAGTTTCTTCTCTCCAACGTCCTACATCCTATCAGCTCCCCTTCTTACCCGTGTTTGTCGCATGCATCTTCAGGGCTGCTAAGCCATGCCTTTGCTTGCCTTGCCTGGATTGCATTTATCAAGCTTCTTACCTCCCCTTCCCCACATCAGGTTCACTGGTGCTTGTCTAGTAGCTGCTTCGTGGACCCTACCTGTTCCAACTCCCGCCCTTTCGGGTTGACTCAAAAGTCGCTTCTTGCTTCCCCTTCCCCTCATCAAACAGGTTCACAGGTGCTCGGCTAGTCACGGCGTCCTGGACACTACCTGTCCCACCCTTTGGTCAAGGATGGTGAGTGGAAATGTGCTGCTTCAGTGAATTCTGTGTGCCATTGTACGGTAACAAGGTAACTTTGGAGTTTGCTACATGCTGGATTGATCACTGCTTCGTGGACCCTACCTGGTCTGCTACTCGGCTCGGCCAATGATGGTATGGAAAGGTAGTCCCTTACAACGATTGTGAGACTTTTATTCAGAAGCACGAGTTGCCAGTTGTCCAATCTTTGCCCCAGATGCTGCTGCTCCAAGTACCGATATGATGAAATTCCCATTCTATCACGCCACTCCAACAGGTTTGACAACACCTACATTGACAAGGAAATCCGCATCTCACGAGACTCGAGGGGTGACGTGCTTGTAACAGAGCGTTCTGCACAGGACTAGCACTACTGTGATACGATGCACTATGTATATGGTATTAGCTTTCTCAAAGGTGCAGGGGCTGGACCATTAAGAAGCAGATCGATTTACCTTGTACTATGCATTTAAATGCAATAGCTTCAGCAAGTGTACAACATTGACAGGCATGGAAGGTACCGTATTCTCCCGGACATAACACCCACCCCTAATAGTACACCCCCGGGTAGCTTGTGCGGGGTGGGTGCTATAACCGACCTCGTTTGTACTATACCCCCCTTTTGGGGTGATTCTCTATAAGACCCGGGGGGGGGGGGGGGGGGGGTGTGTTATGGGTGGCACAATTGCATATTTGTCTTATATTTCACACTGTTAGGGGTGCAATCTAGTATTGAAACATAGCACCAGCACCTAGCATCTCATAAACAACAGAAACATCACAACTACGGTAGTTATGGCTTTGCACTACAATGCTTCTTCTGGTGCTATCTAGTCCTCATCGTCCCCTGCGACCCATTCCTCACACTCCTCTCCGTCATAGCGGTCGGCGCGCCACCACTCATCATCCTCGTCGTTGAACACTCCCGCCTCCTCTCCTTCTTCGGGCGTGTTCCACTCCTCTTCCGCCGCCGCCGCCGCCTCCGCCGCCTCCTCCTCCTCTGCGGCTACATCCTCCTCTGCCGGCTGCAGCTCCTCGGCCGGCACGGGGGCCTCGGCGTAGAAGGGGTTGACGACGAGCTCGTCGTCAACCAGCTCGTTTACTTCGTCAAGCACCTCCACCTCACCCTTGTCCCTCATATGGGCAAGGATGAGGTGGTCCTCGCTGCCATTGATGGCGGTGGAGATCCCGCAGGTGATAAACGCTTTCTTCACGAGATCCTCTGGGACAGCTTCCCAGGACTCGTCGATCCAGCGGAGAACCAAGTCCGCAGGCGGCTTCTTCAGGTTGCCTGTGGGAAGGGAAGGAGTTGAAAAGTCAAGAATGTGTACTTGCAGTGTGTGCGCTGATGCTAGAACGATGTTGCTCAAACGGAACTCAAGACTGCAACTCACCTGCGCGAGTGGTTTGGTTGATGCCGACATCTTCGAACCATGTGCTGTAGCGGGAACGCACCCCGCACTTGAACGCGCGGTTAACCGACACATCCAGCGGCTGCACAAGCGGTGTGCAACCTCCTGGGATGACCGCCCTTGACAACCGAAACATCCGCATCGTTTGACCGGCGGCCTCTGTCAAGTGGCCACGGTAGGAGTCGAGCACCACCATCGCCTCCCTGCGGCGGCCGGTGGTTTCCCGCAGGGGCTTCAGAAACGGCACTAGCACCTGGGTGATCCAGTCTTGCACCAGAGATTCGTCCATCCACCCCTTCTCTTGTGCACGGACCACCACACCTGCCATCGGCACAACGTGAGAGTCGTGGTAAGTTGCGACGCATGACAGGCAGGAGCACAGTAAAGAACGTTGATGTGTTACACTCACCGGCAGGGATGGGCACTTTCGGGATGGTCTTGCGCTTGAACACGACGTACGGAGGAAGTTTGAGCCCACCCGCCGTTACTGCCAGCATGATAGTAACACGCTCCTTCTCATAGCCTGCACTGCGTACGTGAACCGTACGTGCACCCTTCATTTCAATCGTGCGCTCCGCCGGCATCTCCAAGAAGAGCGGAGTCTGGTCCGCGTTCATGATGAGGTCGAGCGGGTAGTCGTGCAGAGTGCGCATCTGGCGCACAAACTCCCAAAATGCCTCCACCTTGGCCTTGCAATCTGCAAACAGAGCCACGGCACGTGTAAGTTAAACGGCGAACCCGCAATCACAATCGCACTGTTGCTTTACTTACCGGCAGCCAACTTCTGCCCCATCTTCGTCTTCACCCGCCTCGCCAAGTGCCAGCGCGAGCGGAAACGCGTCGCCCAGCGGAACGACGCGCACCAGTTCACCGAGGGCATGTAGTGCGTCATGTACTTGGAGCTCCACTGCTGGAGCATGCGGACCGAAACGGCGAGGCCCTTCGCACGGTGGTTGAGGAAGTGGCGGTAGACCGCCCGTTCCATGAACGGGTACTTCGCCTTGCGGCCAAATCCCATGAGGCGACGGCGGCAGCCAGATGCGACGTCCAGCCGCTCCTTCATCTTCCTCCATTCGCGGATCTGGCAGGGCTGCACCTTCGCGAGCTTCGCCAAGGCGCGATTCCCCAGGTCGGGCTGAGAGTCTTGCAGCTTCAACCAGTGCAGCTTCTCCTTCACGGTGATCGCCTTACGTACTTTCTTCGTCATGCGATGGCGAGGGGATGGTGGCTCAGAATCCGCGTTGCGCTTCAGCTGACCCTGCGGGCGCTTACGCTCCGGGAAAGCGGGGACAAACACCCAAGGAAGGGGAGGGCGAGAAGCATCGGAGCTACTACTAGCGGGAGGAGACGGCTGGGGCAAGAAGGGGCGAGGCGACGTCCGTGCGCGTGCAGCAGCGGCAGACGGAGTGTTACATGGCCGCTGGCGCCTAACTATTGTACTGCTTGAATCAGGAGAGGAAGCCATACTCTACTGCAGATTGGTGTCACCCGCCATGGAAGGAAGGCATACCGTATAAACAAAGAACCCTCGCTAGTGTAGGAAGGAGGCGCTCTCACAGCCTGCCGAGCAGTGTTTACGGTAGTATCGTGCACTAGAACCGTTGTACAAGGAGGAGGAGAGACCCTTTTGAGGCACAGGGACGTGACCAAACCAGTCAAGACGTGACTGGTACAGGGATAACACAGCACCGTGCGCGATTCCGGCCCCAGTGTTTGCATGAACCCTCGCAGCGCAAGGCTGGCTCTGTTTATACCGAATCAGGTGCCAGAGTGGCCCACTGGAATTTGCCATGTGGCAGATTCCAGCGAAAGGTCACGTTATCCTCGAATACTCGGTTTTGCGGCCCTGACCAACAATCTAACAGTGAACCATTGAAGCTGATTTTGTTCCACATTGTTTTCTGCTTAAAAAAAATACACCATATAATAAGACCCGGGTATTATATAGGAATTTCCGTTGAGAGGACCCCCCCCCTTTTTTCCCTGTAGTTATCATAATACCCCCGGGTGTTATGTCCGGGAGAATACGGTAAGGCATCACAGCTTATGCATGCTGTAAGAATCATGATCCTTGCTATTCACAGTACCAACAGCCATTGTCTGCTTCCCTTTCCAGAGAACAGCTGGGCTTTGACTATCACCCTGATTCGAATTTGCTTCAACATGGACTATAACACTTCTGCCATACGGTATATCTGCTGCGCTTGAGCTTGCACTACAAGATGCTTCACTTGGCATCCGCGGCAGTCTTGCAATCCCACTCAAACAGGCCGCAGGGTCCTGCAGACATGCAGAACGCACACAAGGTGAGGTAAGAGCTAGGGGCAAAACTACATCAAGTTTGTTTGGAGCAGACGGGTGACCAAGCCAGCTTAAAAGGTTATTCAGATTATACATCCGAGGACTGTAGATATACAATGCAGGAAACAGAGAGAAAGGGCTGAAAAGAATACGGTAGGATAGGAGTTCTTGTTTCTCTTACCCCAAGGGAACTCCTTGTTGCGAATGTGAAGGTAGGGGTATGCCTGCAACGGCAAAATGATTTGTGACCACACCCACAAGGGAGAAACAGAAATACCGCAAAAATGGAATCCGTTATTACTCCCTGGTAATTTGGAAGTATGCTGTGCAGCTTGCATGCACACCTCAAATCCTTGTCTAACTATAACGCTTGAGTCAATGTAGAAGTTACATCTGAAGCTGGTCAAAGTTTGAATTAGAATTTGCCATATAGGTAAGCCGAAACAACGACAAGATGATACTGCACTACCTACACAACGACAAAATGTAAGAGTCAGACACACTCCCTCCTTGTACACGAGGACAGCTCTTGTGCACAATGTAGAGCTGCGCACTGGTAGTAAATAAATGATTCAGAACTCGACAAAAGCACCATATCATCTGTGTGTAAAGCCCGGTGACAGCCCATGACAATGCAAGATTGTCTATCGGCAAGCACCCATAATGAGTAGGTTTTGAAGGACTTCAGAGAATCAAACGAAATGTATGAGAAGGGTCACCCACCGGTCGGTCGTGCTTCGCGTGGTGAGCGGCTCCCGCAAAGTTGTAGACGCCCAGTGCGAAGCAGCCGACGATGGCGACCGCCGTGATGTTCCGCCACTTGATGGTCTCCTCTGTTTTATTCGCACCATCAAACACCGCAACGCACCACAATGCACCGCAACGCAACGCAAAGCGCAGCAGTGAAACGCAACGAAACCAAACGCGAAAGATGATGACAAAAGAAATAAAGTACTTCTGAGAAAAAAAATAAAAGTATTCATTAGGCTTTAGAATACGCGGACGACGAATGGGAATAGACTAGGAATAACCTACACGAGTGCGAATAAACGCCGTTCTTCTACCTTAGAACAATGCGCCTTGTGTGACGGTAACGAGGTCACTTGAGGCGACTCGAAAATCAACTAAGGGAGAGATAATAAAGGGTCCTCTCCAACGGTATGACAGCATCGCCTGGTCTGAAAACGGATATGAAGGACGACGAAGGCCTAACGTATCTGCTCACGCAGAGATCGTGATCAGCGAGGAACGCTCGTCACCAACAAGACGACGTTTGCATCCACTCAAGGGTCACCTCACGCAAAGATCTAGATCCAAAAAAGAAGAAGCTCTCTGCAGGTGGTCGACAATTCTCTTCTCACCAACGTCATGCGCGTGCGACGAGGCCGACGACATTTGCCTCGCGGACACGTTGCGCAGCATCTCCGCGCGCCTCAGGACAGACCGAGTCAGAGCCTGAGACATAGTGGTAGGCAGCGAAGGCGGGAAAGAAGGAGCGGATGGACGGTGGCGGTGCGGAGAGATGGAGTGGCTGCGTGAAAGGCGGAGCGGAACGGCGTGTGGGTGCTTGTCAGAAGACCCTGCTGTTGTGATATGTCTGGGATGCTAAGCGACTGTGCCGGTGGTGACAGGGTAAAGGAAATGGGGTTGGAGGGGGAAGGTGGTCTCGAGGGTTATTTGCCCTAAGCTGTAAATCCGTTTCTGGCGGTGTATATTGGTTTCTTATACAGAATAGTATTCGGTTTTGTCTCATGGATTCGTCAACCTTCTAACAAGGGTGGGTGTTGAGAGGTTTGGGGAAACGGAACTCCTCATACCAGGGCTCAAATTATGAAAACAATTTGAAGTATTTTTAAATCGATTTGTAAGGGGTTTCATCTAATAATGCACTGAAATTGCTAATAGTTTAGCTTACCTGATATAATATATTAGATTGTAGTCTGAATATAAACTGTTAATAGCGGAGAAGCTCGTGGCTCGTAAATGGTTTGTCCACAAACGAAACGAGCGGTTTGGCTAGGGAGGGGGGTGTTGTCAGACAATCGCAGACCGCGGGCATGAAGAACGACACTCGCAGCTGCTCGCTTGGGCGAGGCGACGGTATTGGTGTTTCAATTCGCGACAGTGAAAGACGTCGTAAGCAGGCAAACGTCTTTCCCGCTTCTGGTGGTTCCCCTTCCCCCTCATTTCTTTTCATGTCTACCAATTCGATCCATGTTCTTCTGCCTGAATTCGCCTGTCAGTGAAATTCTCCACAGGTCCGTTAGTTCAGTTCCGTCAGCTTAGCATCCTAAACCATAGCCATTGCCGGCCAGCAGCCTGAAACGGAGGTGTTCTTATCTCTTGTTATCACGCCTTTCGAGTCTTTTCTCTCTCTGGGCTTGTAAGCAGGCTGAATCTGAACTTCTAACACAGGGTAGTCATGGCGAAAAGGTTTGACCTCGATGGCAAGGAGATCGCACCCATCAGGATGTGCATTATAGGAGCAGCTGGTTTCATCGGATCGCACCTATGCGAAGCTTTGATGTGGGAGACCAACCATGTAGTGGTGGCGGTTGATATGTACAATGACAAGATCGAGCACCTGCTCGGTGATTCTCATCCATGGAGCGGCCGTATGGAGTTTCACCAGTTTAACATCAGCAATGATCCGCGTCTTGAAGGCATTATCAAGTCATGTGACTTGGTGGGTCTTGCTACTCTATATGCAACAAATGCTCGATGTTACCCACCCAAAACGCCTCATTAAGCCTTGAGAACTTGAGCACTAACGACGAGAATTCTTCGTGCAGACGGTTAATCTGGCTGCCATCTGTACTCCAGCGGATTACAACACAAGGCCGCTGGATACTATTTACAGCAACTTCGTCGATGCTCTCCCCGTGGTTAGTTTGTCTTCCAATCACAATGTACAGACAATTTGATTTCTCTAGCGTGACGTAACATAATGGATCCTCTTTTCAGGCCAAGTTCTGCTCAGATTTCAAAAGAAGACTGATCCATTTCTCCACCTGTGAGGTCTATGGCAAGACGGTTGGAGCATTTTTGCCTCCTGACAGCAACATGCGCAATGTAAGAGCCTCCCTTTCAAGGTCTGTCCTTAAGCACAAACGAGTGCCTGACGAGATTTTTCTTTGCTCTGAACGTAACAGGATCCCCAGTATTATGTGCTGAAAGAAGACGAAACGCCTTGCATTTTCGGCCCTGTGCAAAAGCAACGGTGGTCATACGCTTGTGCAAAGCAGCTCATTGAGCGGGTCATCTATGGTGAGCTGTGCACACCACTTCAGTTTGCTCATTTGGTGGCCTTGTTGTAACACTGGGACTAAATGGCAAATTGTGTGCTGTGCTACAGCTGAAGGGGCTGAAAATGATCTCAAATTCACCATCGTCCGCCCGTTCAACTGGATTGGTCCCCGCATGGATTTTATCCCGGGAATCGATGGCCCCAAGGATGGTGTACCCCGCGTTCTTGCTTGCTTCAGCAATGTAGGTCTTGGAGGTTTTGTAGACCGTGCTCCACTTTCGGTGCTCTTTGTCATCTCTGAGCTTGCTTGCTGTCGCCATGCAGCAACTTTTGCGGGGAGAACCGCTGAAGCTGGTTGATGGTGGGAAGTCACAACGGACCTTTGTGTACATCAAGGATGCAATCCGAGCCGTGATGCTTATGATCGTACGTCCACGCGGTGCTTTTGATTTTGTTTGCTTTTGCGTTCGCTTTTGCTTCTTGCTCAGCATGCTGACAGAGTTAATGTGTTGCAGGAAAACCCAGAGCGAGCAAATGGGCACATTTTCAATGTTGGGAACCCCAAGAACGAAGCTTCTGTTCGTGAACTGGCCACGATGATGACAAGGGTATGTCAGATGGCTGAAGTAGTCTATGAATGATTTCGTCGTTTGTCTCTAATGGCTGCTCATCTCATGTTATGCAGATCTACTGCAAAGTGAGCAAGCAATCAGAGCCTGCAACACCCACAGTTGACGTTACATCAAGCGACTTCTATGGAAAGGGTTATGACGACAGTGACCGCCGAATTCCAGACATGACACTTATTCAGCAGCAGCTGGGTGAGTCTCCTCCCAATGTGTGTGTCATGGTAAATATTGTTGTGGCGTGACAACTTAACAGGCTGGAATCGTACCTTGCAGGTTGGGAGCCAGAGACTTCCTTGGAAGAGTTGTTGGATGTGACCTTGACATACCAGTACAGCACATACGCTGAGGCTATTCGACGGTCGATGGCGCAGACAACTGCAGCAACCTGAACCTGAGGAGACGATAGGACCAGGGTTGCCAGCAGCTCCAGGCCATAACTTAATCAAGCTGTAGTTTAGGGGTGCCAGCAGCTCCAGGCCATAACTTAATCAGGCTGTAGTTTAGCACTGAACATTGAAGCATCGTGGTTAGCAATATGGCATTGGCCTTTTATCTGGTCGGATGTAGCTCTTTGTTCTTTGTAGGCTTCGGCAGAAATTGCCCATCTATTGGAGTTAGTGTACTACTCTTATGATCTACAACAAATCTTCAGCTGAGAAAGCTGACAGGATGCAATACATAACCGGCGACCTGTAAGGAAAATCCCTTTTCCTTACTTCGCATCCCTGCTCAACGCGTACATCACTGTAGCACCTCAGTCAGCACCGTTACCACTCGCGATCCTCGCATCGACAATCATCCCGCCATCTTCGCACATCGCACCCCGACCTCACGGCTCGGCTGGTAACCCGCGCTCCGGGCCTCCACTTCGACACTTTCCCAACCTCAGTCCCAGGCTCGTCGCACGACAACCACAGTCCATTACCGTTACCACTGTAGTTTCGCTATATATTCTTCGCTCATGCCTTCACTCATTGTATTCTTGCTCCGATAGTGCAATTCTCGTTCGTCCACTCAATTGCACTCGTAACACTTGGTATTCAGAGCCTACGATCTCATCGCGGACCGCATCCACACTTTCGCTTCCCCACTATCTCAGTTTTTGGGGGGGGGTAGACGTCTCTCAGCGATACAGCACCGCCGCTCGTAGTGCTCTCTCGTAAGCACGCACGGCCACGACCGAGGCTCTCGCTGAGCTTGCCCGACACCCCCGCCATGGCCGATTTCACGCTCGCCACGTTGACGCAGGAGCAGCTTGATCGTCTCATGCGTCAACTAGAAGATTCGGCGTTCGAAATCGCGACGCTCACGGCGGAACGTGACTCCGCCCGTCAACAATCCACGGTGAACATTCCGGCGACACCACACGAACCGACAAATGCATCTGCACAATCGGACGAGCCGATCATCATCTCGTCCGGCACACCAACACAACACGACAGCATGGGACAACGCTCAGGCACAGCCAGTGATGGCGCCGCCCAGCCGATTCCTGGCATGGGGGGAGGCAGGATGGCACCAAGCCCGCGGGAGCCCCAGGAAGTCCGTCGGCACATGGAATTTGCGGCAACAAGTGGCGAACAGGCCATTATGGCACCAATGCCGCTCAAGCCGCAACGCCCGCCCTGCTTCGACCCAAGCCAACGCGGAGGTCCGACGGTTCAATCGTGGGTCTTCACGATGAACGTCTTCTTCGACGCAAACTACGTCGAGTCGGACGCCGCGAAGATCCGGTATGCAGTTTCGCTGCTAAGGGGCCCCGCCATGGACTGGTGGCGAGTCATCGTGACATCGCCACGCGCCTACGAGCCACCGTCGCACGAGGAAGGGCCCACGGGTCCAGCTGTCACCTGAAGTTCGTTCTGCGAGACCGCCCAATACAGCACGTGGGATGCGTGGTGCGCAGGACTACGGGCGCGCTTCGAGCCGATCGCGGCTTCGATTTCGGCGCGTCAGAGATTGCGCACTTGGCGCCAGCTCGGGTCGGTTCAAGATTATACAAGCGGTTTTCTCGCACTTTGCGAACAGGTCGGCTACATGCACGAAGCGGAGCGGGTGGACCGTTACATCGGAGGGCTGAAGCCGGATATCTCGCACAAAATCATGCTGCGCGGACTCTCTAACTTCAACGAGATTCTCGCGCTCGCCGAGAAAATCGACATTCTACGCCGACCGAGACCGGGGTCCTACTACGGACATCGCCCTCGGGGACCGACTGAACACGCCACTGTACACGCCGTCGCAACGAATGCAGCTGCCGCACCGTTCAAGGGGCGCTGCTTTGCTTGCAACAGGCCGGGCCATCGCAAGAGCGAATGCCCAGAGGAGCTGAGGCGCCGCGGAGCAGAGCAGGGAAGGCAGTCTCAGAGGCAGGGAAACGCCAGCAGTCAGTAGAAGTTGGGCCAACTACTGACGAGAATGCCTGCTCGCCCAACCGCACCGACCCTCACCAAGTCACAGTACCGATTCACGCCATCAATCGGGCTCGGATGAATAAGGAGGGTACAGCGACGGATTGCCCAGTACTGATCTACGGGAAGATACAGGGAGCAGCGGTGAAGATTTTTTTTTACGGAGGAGCAAATCACAGTTTAGTTAATACCGCGACCGCACGGAAACTGCAGTTAACACTTAACCGCTGCTTACCTGAGATAGACGCACGCTTAGTCGACGGCACGCCACTGGCCATACGGGAAAAGGTGGAGCGAGTAAAAATCCGCTGGGGAGGGAACTTCGGGTTTACACAGGAAACGCTCGCCACGACACTGGATGGGCACGACATTTTATTGGGACGTGATTGGCTGCGACGGTATAACCCGCGAATTGACTGGACGACGGGTAGCTGCACCGTGCGAAGTAGTGGTAACTGGGTCGAACTACCTCGCTGGCAGTCACCCGAGTCTTCAACGGTCCACGTCAACGCCATCACGATGAAACGGGTTGTTGCCGCAGGAGCTGACGTGTACGCAGTGGATATAGCACTAGTAGGAGAAGAGGAGCAGTCGAGCGATTTTTAGAAACCGTTGGCAGCGGTACCGCCCGTACTTCAGGATCTGTTGAAACGGTACCCGGGGATTTTTCCAGACGATTTACCGCAAGGACTGCCACCTCAGCGGGCGCATGACCATAGGATCGAGTTAGAACCGGGGGCACAGCCAGCTGTACAGCGCCAGTTCAGACTGACACAGCTCGAGCTCGACGAACTAAGGAAGCAGTTAGATTATTTGTTAGAGAAGCAGTTTATCCGACCGAGCTCGTCACCGTTCGCCGCACCGATACTGTTCACACCGAAAAAAGACGGAGGATTTCGCATGTGCATTGATTACCGAGCGCTCAATAGAGTAACAGTCAAATCGCGATACCCCATCCCCCGCGCCGACGAACTGATCGACCAGCTGCGAACAGCACGGGTATTTTCGAAAATAGACTTACGGGGGGGGTTACCATCAAATTCGGGTCGAACCATCGGACTGCGCCAAGACAGCATTTAGGACTAGGTACGGGTCATTCGAGTACACGGTGATGCCTTTCGGGCTGACCAACTCGCCCGCAACATTTTAGATGACCATGAACGAGGCGTTTAGGCCACTTTTAGATAACTGCGTCATAGTTTACCTCGACGACATCCTCGTTTACAGTCGCGACCAGCAACAACACTTAGTCGATCTCGAAGCATTGTTTAAAATTTTAGAGGAACATAGGTTGCTCACCAAGGGCTCCAAGTGCGAGTTTTTTCGGGATAGGCTAGAATTTTTAGGGCACGTTATTTCGGAGGCTGGGGTTGAAATCGACCCCAAGAAGCTGGATACCGTAAAAGCGTGGCGTCCCCCGACGAACATCACGGAGCTGCAGAGTTTTTTAGGGTTCGTTAATTACGTTCGTCGATTCGTCCTCGACATGGCACGATTAACAGCCCCGCTAACAGATTTACTACGCAAGGGGGTCGCTTTTACGTGGGGGGAGAAAGAGCATGCTGCCTTCTCTGCCCTGAAACATGTTCTCTGTTCACCACCCGTCCTACGCATCGCTGACCCACATCGCCCCTTGGAAGTTGTTACATACGCAAGCGACATCGCCATTGGAGCCGTACTGTTACAAGACTTCGGCAACGGCCTCCAGCCCATCGCCTACGAATCACGAAAACTGCATCCGCCTGAACGAAATTACCCGATACAAGACCGCGAAATGCTCGCGATCGTGCATGCATTCAAGGTGTGGCGCTGCTACTTGACCGGCGCAGACGTAACAGTACGGACAGACCATCGATCCCTACAGTACCTCCGTGCACAGCCCCACCTCAACCCACGATAGATTCGGTGGCTCGATTTCCTCGAGTCAAATTTCCATTATACGGTCACCTATAAAAAAGGAGCCTCGAATATCGCCGACGCACTGACCCGCCCCACTGCCCAGATCCATGCGATACTACTCGCCCAGACCAGCCCGCTACTGACAGGACTATTTACCCACGGATATCAAACAGATCCATTCTTCACAGGAGGAAACTCGCAGCAATTTGCAGCAGCTAAGGGAGTCTATTACGTAAAAGCTGGGACTGAACGCATCAGGGTACCAGGGTACACACTACTACGGGAATTACTGTTACAGGAGGCACAAGACGAAGTTACCTCGGGACATTTCGGAGTAGAGAAAACACGGCAGCAGCTGCAGCGGTATTATTACTGGCCCAAAATGTTGACCGACGTGCAACGACACGTGGCATCGTGTTCCACTTGCCAGATCATGAAGTCAACCCGGAAGCGGCCGGCGGGACAGTTGCAACCAATCCCACCTCCAGAGCGTGCTTGGCAGCAAGTGACGATGGACTTCGTCACAGGGTTACCGGCCGGGGCGAGTGGGAATGACGCAATCCTGGTCGTCGTCGATCGAGTGACGAAAATGGCACACTTCGCAGCCTGCAAGAAATCAATCACAGCCTAAGAAACATCCCGCCTCTTCATCTCTACCGTCGTTCGACTGCACGGGATACCAGCATCAATCATCAGCGACAGAGACACGGAGTTTACTAGCAACTTCTGGCGGAACCTGTGGCAGCAGTTCGGCACGCGCCTACAGTTTAGTTCATCGTATCACCCCGAAACCGACGGACAGACCGAACGGACAAAACAGACCATGGAACAGCTCATTAGGGCCACGTGTGATGATCAAAACACGTGGGAACAGCAACTACCACTCATCGAATTCGCATACAACAACGCCCCATCCGCCACGACCCAGCATTCACCATTTTACCTGAATTACGGACAAGACCCAACAGTACCCATGACCCCGAATCCCGACAACCCCGGTCCACGCGCACAACAGTTCGCTGAGATTTTGCAAGCAGCACGAACCAGGGCAGCAGAAGCAATAAAAAAATCAAACATCATCGCTAAACGCAACGCTGACCGCCACCGCAGACCTCTCACTTACCAGCCCGACGACCTCGTTTTACTCGACACTCAAAACCTCCGCCTGCCCATCACCCCCAAACTCCGCCCTCGATACTGCGGGCCATTTTGAATTAGCCATATGATAACACCTGTCACCGCGCACCTCCTCCTCCCTGCTGACTGGTACGTCAGCCCCTCGTTCCACGTCAGCCTGCTTCGCCCTTACGTACCATCCACAAGCCAACTCCCACGAAATCGCCCAGCCAGCATGGCTCGCCCGCCAACCGAACTGTCAAATATTATAGCCTGTAGTGGGTTGGGCTATATGGGGTACAACTAGTTAGGGTTAGGTGATGTACCCCAATTCTGTCAACACAACGCATTCCGCTGTAGTTCTCATTCTGACATGGTATCAGCAGTAGGCTAGCGCTCCTAGTCCTAGGCCCGCCCTTCCCTACCACTAGGGTTACCACTGCACCCTGCCAGCCCGCCAGCGCCCTACCCCACGCCCCACCCGGCGCGCCCCTCCCCTCTCCGCCCTTAGCCAGCGCGCCAGCCAGCCAGCGCGCCAGCAGCCTGCGCGCCAGCCAGCCAACGCGCCAGCCCGCCAGCGCGCCAGCCAGCCAGCGCGCCAGCCCGCCAGCTCGCTTGCACGCCAGCCCGCCAGCGCACCCGCCAGCGGGCGCACCAGCGAGCCCGCCGGCTCGCCTGCCAGCGCGCCCGCCAGCGAGCTCGCCAGCGCGCCCGCCAGCACGCACGCCAGCGCGCCCGCTAGCGCGCCCGCCAGTGCGCCACGCCAGCCGGCCCCGCCAGCGCGCACGCCAGCGCGTCGCGCCCGCCAGCGCGCGCCCTGCTTAGCCGCCCGCCAGCGCGCCGCGCCCGCGCGCCACGCCAGCCAGCGCGCCGCGCCGGAGCGCGCCCCGCCAGCGCGCGCCCCGCAGCCCCGCGCCCAGCTAGTGCGCGCCCCGCCTGCGCGCACCCGCCTCGCACTCACCTCCCTCTCCTCCTCCTCTCGCGGCTGGCGGCCGCTATCACTTGTCCTCGCCCCTCATGGCGACGTCTCGCGTGCTCCGTTTCGACCCTGAGGGGCGTGCGATCGACTTTAGTACCTGGCTGACGCAGGCCCAGCGCCACCTTAGGAGCCAGCGCCAGGATGGCGTGCACCTGTTTGCGCATGCGTCCGGTGCTCTGCCCGCCCCGCCGCAGCCTTCACCGCTGCCCACTACCCCACCGCCTACTTCCGAGCAGGAGGCTGAGTACCAGCGCCGGTTCCTCGCTCGTGACGTGTGGGAGTCTCGTGACGCTGCTGCCTGCCTCGCCCTGACCGACCTTCTCCCGCCGACTGAGGCTGTCCACTTCACTCAGGTCGAGTCTGCTGCAGACCTTTGCACTGCTATTGTTGCTCGCTACTCCACTCCCTCCTCTGCCTCCCTCAGCCGCCTCCTCGTCCCCTTTATCTACCCTAACCTCGCCTCCTTTGAGACTGTCGCTGACCTCGCTACCCACCTGCGCTCCCTTGAAGCTCGCTTCAAGGCCGCTTGCACTGAGGAACAGCTTGCCCTTGCACCCCCTCCCATGTGGCTCACTATTCACTGGTTAGTCACTCGCCTCCCTGACCGTCTAGCCACAGCCCGCGACGCGCTTCTCCTGAAGCACCCCACTGAGCTTACTATCGATCTTCTTGAGACCGCTCTCTCGAAGATCGAGAGTAACCTCCTCGCTGTTGCCTCCGCCTCTTCCGCGCCTCCTCCTTGTCTCTTTGAGGGGTGTGCGGTACCACAGCTTCCCACCTTCACTGCCTCGCTTGCCACTGCCGCGTCTTCTGCCCCTAAGGAGACGGCGGCCGTTTCTGTCTCTGGCGGACAGAAACGTGGCAAGTCCGGCAAGAAGGGAGGGAAGGGCGGCGGGGGTTCTGGGGGTGTTGCGGGTGGCGGCGGTGGCGGTAGTACTAGTGGCGGGGGTGGCGGCGGGGGTGACTCGGGACCTGACGGCTCTCCTCTAGACGGTGGTGAGGGGTTTTCGCAGCAGCAGCAGCAGACTCCTCCGCAGCTGCCACCGCCTGGACAGCAGCAGCGGCAGGGACAGCAGCAGCAGCGCCAGGGCCAACAGCAGCGTCCGCCTCAGCAGCAGCCCCAGCAGTGGGGCACTCTGCAACAGTGGGGCACTCAGCAGCAGTGGGGCCCTTCGCAGCAGTGGGCCCCCCCGCAGCAGTGGAGACCTACGGGCCCCCCGAGCACTGGGCGCAGTGGTGCCCCTTCTAGTCGGGGACCCCGCTCGGCCGGCCGCGACGTTGGTCCCTGTGAGTACTAGATCCTGACGGGTCCGCGCAGGGGCATGTACTGCGGCCGCCCTGACCACTCTACTGCACGCTGCTTCAGCCGTCTTGACGACCTGTACGTCCTGCACCACGGTCCCTCCGCTCCCCCGCCACCGCGCTGGGGACCACTCCTTGCTCGTGGTGTTGCTGTGTTTGATATGTCTATGGATGATGCTAGGTCTTATGCCATGTATGCTGATGTTGACTATAGTGCTGCCGGATCTGTTTACTTGCCTGTACCTAGCGTAGGATCTTTGCCTGTTGCTAGAGTAGGTGCTGGTGTAGGATCCTGTCTAGCTACTAGTACAGGTGCTCCCTCGGCGGACGCGTCGCTCTCCTTCACACTGGACTCCGGAGCGACGCAGTGCTTCTTCCGCGACAGCACGACTCTTACTCCACTCTCGGCGCCGGTTTCTGTAGCACTGGCCGATCCCTCTTCGGGACCGGTCATTGCGACTCACGCCACTACCCTCCCGTGCCCAGCTGCCCCTTCCGGTTCTCTGACCGGCCTCCACGTTCCTACTTTCTCTAGGAACCTGGTTGGTGTGGCTCCTTTGGCGAGACAGCACGTCGGGGTCTGGTTTGAGCCTTCGGGTGACACTGCAGCCTGTGTGGACGGTGACACGTACGCCCCTCTGGCCACTTTTCGTCAGGAGCCAGGCTCTGGTCTGTACACCCTCCACACCGACACCCGTCCGGTTCCCCCGTCCCACCAGGTAGCCAGGTCCAGTCAGGTAGCTGTGCCAGGTCTAGTGGCTGCGTCGTGCTCGTGTCGGTCGCTGTCCCACCCTGCCCTCCTCTGGCACCACCGCCTTGGTCACCCGTCCCTCTTTCGTCTCCGCGCTATGTCCAGTCAGCGTCTTGTCTTAGGCCTCCCCCGCGACCTCCCGCCGCTCCCGCCGTCCCCCGCTCCTCCGTGCGGTCCTTGTGTCTAGGGTCGGCTGCGCGCCACTCCTCACTCCTCCTCCCTTCGTCCAGCCTCCGAGCCCTTTGAGACACTCCACTTAGACGTCTGGGGCCCCGCTCCACGGCTTGGACCTGAGCGAGAGAGCTTCTTCCTAGTGGTCGTTGACGACTACTCTCGGTACACCACCGTGTTCCCTTTGGCGAAGAAGTCCGACGTGACTTCTACACTGATCCGGTGGCTGCTCGCCACCGAGAGTACTCGTCGTCGTCGTGTCAGCTGTCTCCACTCCGACCGTGGGGGTGAGTTTCGCTCCGGCATTCTCGCCAGATTCTGTGCTGAGCAGGGCATCACCCAGTCCTGGACTCTTCCAGACTCTCCACAGCAGAATGGGGTTGCTGAGCGCCGGCTAGGCCTGGTCATGGAGATTGCCCGCACCTCCATGATCCACGCTCGCGCGCCCCATTTTCTGTGGCCCTACGCGGCTCGGTACGCCGCTCACCAGCTGAACCTCTGGCCTCGCGTCTCTCGGCCAGGGGCTTCATCGACCAGTCTTTGGACAGGGTCCCCTGGTGTTGCGTCGAGGTTTAGTGTCTGGGGCTGCTTGGCGCTTGTCCGCAACACCTCTGCGGACAAGCTCTCACCTCGCGGTGTCCCCTGTGTCTTCCTTGGTTTCACTGAGGCCTCCTCTGACTTCACCTTTTACCACCCTCCCTCCCACCGGTTCTTTGACTCTCGTGACGTCAGTTTCGACGAGTCCGTCCCCTACTTCGTCCGGTACCCCTGTCAAGGTCTCCCGGTTCCCCCCCCTCCCCTCTTCCTCGCCCCAGCTCCTCCTCCTCCCGCTCCCTCTCCTCCGGTACCCCCCCCGGTTCCCGCTCCGTGAGGTGTGTCGCAGGCTACCCCGCCTCCCTTGGTCCCCCCCCAGGTCTCTCCTCCTTCCCCACAGTCGTCCTCACAGCCTCCGCAGTAGTCGTCGGCGCTTCCTCTCCCGGCCACTGCGGACTCTGAGGGTGTTGGTGCTCGAGGTGAGGGCTCTGGCGGTGCTGGTTCTGGGGGTGTTGGAGTTGGAGCTGAGCGTGCACCTGCCGCAGCTGCACGTCCCGAGCGTGTTGGAGTCGGTGGTGGTGCTGGAGCTGGTGGTGTTTCTGGAGCTGGAGAGTCTGGGGCTGGTGCTGGTGCCACTGGCGGCGCCACGACTGGGGGTGCGGGTACACCTCCTACACGTACTGGTCGTGCTGCCGCAGGGGGTCCTCGCTCTGAGGGTGCTCAGCCGGGTCCTGTCGAGGGTGGAGCCGGTTCTTCTTCGTCGTCTCCTGACACCACTCCTCCTCCTCACCCCTACCCGACTCGTTACCAGGCCCTTCGTCGTCTAGAGCGTGAGGAGCAGCAGCGTTTGGAGCGTGAGAGGTCGGAGGTTCAGCAGCGAGTGGAGCGTGAGCGGTTGGAGTTTCAGCAGCAGCAGCAGCAGCCGCAGCCACAGCCACAGCAGCAGCAGCAGCAGCAGCCGCCGCAGGTGCCAGAGCAGCCTCCGACCCCTGTTTCTGGCCTTCGGGCCCTTGGTCTCCCCTCCTCTCCTCCTGTGTTCGGTCCCACGTTTCCTCCTCCGGACTCCACTCCGGCTGTCTTCCCTCGTTCTCAGTCTCCTCCGTCCCCCCCTCCTCTCGCCCACACTTGGGCCTCTCGCCCTCCTCGTGCTCGTCCCTCGTCCCCTGTCACTGACCTCCGTACCGTGTTGTTTCGTCCTCGTCCTCCTCGTTCTCCTCCGTCTGTCCTTCCTCGTCCTCCTGAGTCTTCCCTCACTGCCTCCCTGTCCACTCCGGTCACTGACTACTACCGCACGTACCGCCCCACTCTCTCTCATGTTCTCGCCTCTCTTGTTACAAACCCTCGTGCCTCTCCTTCCTCCGTCGCGGTCCTCACTGCCGCTGTCACTGACTTTACTGCTACGCGTCGCCTTGACTACGCCACTCGAGTTGTGGCAGCTCCTCCTGTCCGTCCTCTGTCCGCCGGGGGTGTGTGTGCCCTTGGCTGTGACGTCCTAGAGGACAGACAGTTCGAGCTAGAGTTCCTGGCAGCTGCTTCGCCTCATCTCTGTGCCATGCTGCTCACTCCTGAGGGAGACCCCGACGCTCTTGACATACCTACTCCTCACACTTACGCTGAGGCAGTGTCAGGGCCTTGGGCCTCTCAGTGGAGAGCTGCCATGGACGCAGAGATGGCCTCCTACAGGTCCACAGGCACTTATGTGTCAGAATGTTATCTTGTCTAGCCTGCAGTGGGGTGCTCCATTGTGAGTACAACCCAGTTAGGGTTTGCTATTTGTATCCAACTGCTTGCTAGTGAACCCCCTCTTTCTCTTTCTTTCTTCTAACTTTAACATTACGTTGACAAGGTTCCCCCCCCAGGGGCGAACATTGTTGACGTCATGTGGATCTTCAAGGTGAAGCGGCCGCCGGGATCTCCCCCAGTCTTCAAGGCACGCTACGTGGCTAGAGGGTTCAGTCAGCGCGAGGGGGTTGACTTCTTTCAGACCTTCGCGCCCACCCCGAAGATGACCACTCTTCGGGTGTTACTGCACGTAGCAGCGCAGAGAGACTACGAGCTACACTCTCTTGACTTCTCCACTGCCTTCCTCCAGGGCTGCTTACACGAGGAGATCTGGCTGCGTCGTCCTCCGGGCTTCACTGGCACTTTCCCGCCTGGGACCTTGTGGAGCCTCAGACAACTGGTCTACGGTCTCCGCCAGGCACCCCGTGAGTGGCACGACACTCTCCGCTCTACTCTCTCCGACCTCGGATTTGAGCCGTCTTCCGCCGACCCGTCGCTGTTTGTTCGTCGTGGCCGTACACCTTTCTTCGTCCTAGTCTACGTTGACGACTTGGTTTTTGCCACGGCCGACACAGCTGCACTGGCGGAGGTGAAGTCCGAACTGCAAAAGAGACACACCTGCACTGACCTTGGGGAACAGCGCCGCTACCTTGGCCTGCAGATCTCCAGGGACAGAGCCGCTCGCACCATCACTCTCACTCAGTCACACATGGTGCAGCAGGTTCTTCAGCGGTTCGGGCTTCAGGACTCTTCTCCTGCCCCCACTCCTCTTGCTGTAGACCACAGACTCACTGGGCCTTTTCCTGACGAGCCGTTCGAGCCCAGTGGTCCCTACGCAGAGCTGGTGGGCTGCCTCATGTACCGGATGACGTGCACTCGCCCGGACCTCGCCTTCCCCCTTAGCATCCTGTCTCGCTTTGTTGCGACTGGGAGACACCGTCCTGTTCACTGGGCGGCGGCTAAGAGGGTGGCGAAGTACCTTGGCGCGACATCAGGCATGGGGCTTGTACTTGGAGGGACACAGCCAGTTGTACTCACCGGTCACTGTGACTCTTCCTACGCTGACGACATTGAGACTCAGAGGTCTACGCAGGGTTACTGTTTCAGCCTGGGTTCTGGAGCTGTTTCGTGGAGGTCTACTCGGTCCTCCTCTGTTGCGACTTCTACCGCAGAGGCCGAGATCTACGCTGGGGCCCTTGCTGCTCAGGAGCTACGCTGGTTGACCTTTTTGCTCACTGACCTTGGTGAGCGGCCGAGCTCTGCACCGACCCTGTTTGCTGACAACAGGGCGATGATTCTCCTGTGTCGTGAGCCTCGACTGGAGAGCCGAGTGAAGCACATCGACGTCAGGTACTTCCTCCTTCGAGAGTTGCAGAGACGCGGACAGGCTCGTCTGGACTTTGTGGCCTCCGAGGCCAACACTACAGACATCTTCACCAAGGCCCTCCAGCCTTGTGACCACCGTCGGTTTTGTCTGCAGTTAGGCCTCGTTGAGACTGGGTCTAGTTGACTGCTGTAGGGTGCTCTTTGTCTGTTGCTTGCTTGTACCTTATATATATATATTTGTTTGCACACTTTTGGACTGGCCTTGTGGCCCTTTGCTTGTGCTCAGATTAGGTGGTGACGTTGTGATCCACCCTGAGCTTTGTTTTCTTTCTCTTGTTTTTGACTGGTCTTGTGACCTTAGGTTGCTTGTTGTTGATTGGCCTTCCCCAATTAGGCTATGGGGGTGTGTCAAATATTATAGCCTATAGTGGGTTGGGCTATATGGGGTACAACTAGTTAGGGTTAGGTGATGTACCCCAATTCTGTCAACACAACGCATTCCGCTGTAGTTCTCATTCTGACACGAACCAATCATCATCCCCGACAAAATCCTGAGCCACAGAGTTCGCGACCCTCGAGGAGCCCGAAAGATCGAGTTCCTGCTCCGCTGGAAAGACCGTACACCCACCGAGGACAAGTGGGTTCCCCTGGACAGAATTGAAAACCACCCTGTTCTCACCGAATATCTGCGCAGCCAAAACTTCAGGGACGTCCACGCTCTTTCGTAAAAAGGACCTTCTTAGGAGGGGGGGTAGTGTAAGGAAAATCCCTTTTCCTTACTTTGCATCCCTGCTCAACGCGTACATCACTGTAGCACCTCAGTCAGCACCGTTACCACTCGCGATTCTCGCATCGACAATCATCCCGCCATCTTCGCACATCGCACCCCGACCTCACGGCTCGGCTGGTAACCCGCGCTCCGGGCCTCCACTTCGACACTTTCCCAACCTCAGTCCCAGGCTCGTCGCACGACAACCACAGTCCATTACCGTTACCACTGTAGTTTCGCTATATATTCTTTGCTCATGCCTTCGCTCATTGTATTCTTGCTTCGATAGTGCAATTCTCGTTCGTCCACTCAATTGCACTCGTAACACGACCCAAGTTTTCCGTTCCGCAGTTCTAATCAATTTCCACACCAGATTCCTTTCCACCTCGTTTTCCTCTCCTTGCCACATCGTTCTCCGTTTTGCAGACCAGTCACCAACAGCTGTCCATGCGACTACTCCACATCCTGCGGGATCGAGGCGCGAGTCAGATCTTGCGACGATAATACTGCGAGTCAGGTCCCATGGCTGGACCAGAAGGATCAAACACAGAGGAGAGCTCTCCGTTCATTAACATCCACTCGCGGGGAACCTCCTCACATCCGCCACTTCACGCTCCACCTGTCCACCGACCCTCATCACCCAATTCTCGAGACTCGTTTTTCTCCCTGCCATTCTCCTCGTTATCCACCACATTCTCGATCTCTCCAATCCGACGGCGAGAATGGGCTGTATTTTTCCGCCAGCTACTAGACCGGCGTTGGTGGGAGTCCGTTTCTCGTCATTTGCGTAACAATCCTCGCGATTTCATCGCATCTGCATTCGCTACTAGCGACGGCTGGTTTCCCGGAGCGAAGCCGTATCTCGCCGCCCTCCTGATCATCCTCGTTATTATCACGCCGCTATGGCTAGTCTCTAGCATATCAGGAGCGAGTGTATATCTTTCGGAAGAAAATGCGGGATCAGATGGAAATTTGCGAGGGGAATGGAACACCAAGGGGGGACGGGATGGACTGGATGCCGTCTTGTGCCATGCAGAGGCGGTATACCGGGTGAGCTAATAAGATGCTTCTTTAGTTGACTCAAAAGTCACCTCGGGTGGGATTATGCGAGGGGAATGGAACACCAAGGCGGTGCGGGATGGACTGGATGCCATCTTGTGCCATGCAGAGGCGGTTTACCAGGTGAGCCAATGGGATGACTTTTGAATCGATGAATAGACAGATTCAGTGTGGGGAGAGAGCGCATAAGTTTTTGATGGAGTGAGCTCTCTTTCATGGCATGCGGAGGAAGCATACTGGGTGAGTCGATGGGTTGTGTGACTGTCATTTAGGCCAACATGGTCAGCAGAATGGCTTCACTAGGGTGGTATCTACAGCCCATGCTGATTGAAGATAGTTTATTTCTTAGTAGTAGGTACAAAAACTTGTGGATATTTTCTTTCCACTACATGTTCATGCGAGTACTGATTCCCAAATATCCCCACTCTCCCCCTCTTCATATCCCTGTGCTTCCCCTCCACATCCTGACATGCTTCTTTTCCCTCTTCCTCCTTCCCCATTCCCTCTCTCCCCACCACCTACAGGCCAACATGGCCAACATAAAGGCGTCTCTTGGAGGACATCTGCAGCCCATGCTGAAGGATTTCCACCACATGCGCATGCACGTGCCCCTCCTCTCTCCCCACCTTCCCTCCCCCCCACCACGTCCCACTCTCACCACTCCAGGCCAACATGGCCAACAGAAAGGCGTCTTTAGGGGGCCACCTACAGCCCATGCTGAAGGATTTCCACCACATGCGCATGCGCGTGCTCCCCTTCCCTCTCCCTCTTCTCTTCTTCCCACAAATCTCCCTCTCTCACCACCTTCAGGCCAACATGGCCAACCGAAAGGTGTCCCTAGGGGGGCACCTACAGCCCATGCTGAAGGACTTTCACCACATGCGCATGCGCGTCCCCCTCCTCTCTCCCCACCTTCCCTCCCCTCCACCACGTCCCACTCTCACCCCTACAGGCCAACATGGCCAACAGAAAGGCGTCTTTAGGGGGCCACCTACAACCCATGCTGAAGGATTTCCACCACATGCGCATGCACGTGCCCCTCCTCTCTCCCCACCTTCCCTCCCCCCCACCACGTCCCATTCTCACCACTCCAGGCCAACATTGCCAACAGAAAGGCGTCTTTAGGGGGCCATTTACAACCCATGCTGAAGGATTTCCACCACATGCGCATGCGCGTGCTCATTCCCACGTACCCCTGCCCCTATGAGGAGAGGGTGGGGGCGTGGGGCGTGGGAGGGAAGGTGCGCATTGGGGGGGGGGGGGGCTAGGGTTTAAGGGGAAGGAAAGGTGTATGGTGATAAGGAAATGGGAAGAATCAGGGGGACTTGTGTCACATGCGCTTGTGCGTGCTCTTTCCCACTCCTTAACCCAATAAGAAGAGGTCCCACCTACCTATTTATAATTATGCCTATCTCATTCTTAAACCCTTCCCTCTCATTCTCATGTCCTTCTTTCACACACACCCTCCCTCTAAACTTCCCTTCCTGCTTCCCTTCCGTCTCCAGTGGGTGTGACTGATATCATTGAAATGCCATTTCTGCCTGCCCCCTCTCCCTCCCGTCCTTCCATCCCTCTCCCGTTCCCCCCCGTCCCTCTCCCCTTCCTTCCCCTCCTTCCCTCCCTCTCAGTGGGTATGCCTGATTCCAACTGCAGTTCAAGCCAAGCCAGTTGTCTACAGGTGAGCCCTCAAAAAATAGTCACTTGTTTTTACCTGTGTTTTCTAAGTGTCTAGCATACAAATGCAGACGTAGCACATCATGTTAGATGTTCGCCTACAGAAGCACATGGATCTAACCCCTCAAAGCTGGGTTGCGCTTCGCGTACTACCCTCAGTTTCACGTTCCACGTCTATCGCTCCCAGCCCTACATGCTCGACCCCTTCACCTCCCTTCTTCAAGCCCCGAGTCTCCCTCTCCCACCTGCTCCCTCGCCCACTCTCCTGCCACCGCTCTCCCCAGTGTGGGCAGTGACAAGGAGTATTCATTCAAAGAGTCCATGTTCCGCCACTTCCGTTCGCAGTCCTTCATGCTCGGCCCCTTCCTCTTCCCCCTTCAAGCCTCAAGCCACCTTCCCTCCCTCTCTCCCCTGCTTTCCCCCACGCCCGCTCCCCTGTTTTCCTCCCTCCCTCCCCTCTTCCCCCTTGTCCCCCCTCTCATTTTCCCCATTCTCTCCCCAGTGTGGGCAGTGACGAACAGTATTCATTCGAGGAGTCCATGTTCCACTCCTCAAACCTGCATACCCCCCTCATTCCCCCACTCGCCTTTCTTTTCTCCTCTCTCCTGCAACCTCGTCCTCCCTCTCCCCAGTGTGGGCAGTGACGAGGAGTATTCATTCGAAGAGTCCATGTTCCGCCACTACCGCTCGCAGCCCTACACTCTCCACCCCTTCCTTACCCTACCCTCTGTTTGACCCCCACTGCAACCCCCTCACACCCCTCTCCCCAGTGTGGGCAGTGACAAAAAGTATTCATTCGAAGAGTCAATGTTCCGCCACTACTGCTTGCAGCCCTACACGCTCCACCCCTTCCTGTCCCCTCCTCAAGCCTCACGCCTCCTCTCACCCTCTCCCCTGCCCCTCTCCCTCTCCTCCCCTCCTCCCCCCACGCTACCTCTCCCCAGTGTGGGCAGCGACGAGGAGTACTCTTTTGAAGAGTCAATGTTCCGCCACTACCGCTCGCAGCCCTACACGCTCGACCCCTTCCTCTCCCCGCAAGCCCAGGCGCGCATGCAGCTGCTGCGCTTCCTGCACTTTCACTCGCTGGGGCTGGCTGGGAAAGCATCGTTAGGCGACTACCAAAAATGGAACCCGAATGTGACTTTCCGCACGCTGCCTGAATTGATGCAGGTAGGTGGGGAGGGCGGAGGACGGAAAGTGCGAGGGGAGCGAGGGAAGAGAGGGGAGGGATAGGAAAGGGGAAAGAATGGAGAGAGAGAGAGAGAGAGAGAGAGAGAGAGAGAGAGAGAGAGAGAGAGAGAGAGAGAGAGAGAGAGAGAGAGAGAGAGTGGGTTGATGACTGCAAGCCGGTTTTTGAGAATTCTCAAAAACCAGAAAGAATGGAGAGAGAGAGATTGGGGTGATGACTGCAAGCCGGTTTTTGAGAATTCTCAAAAACCAGTAAGAATGGAGAGAGAGAGATTGGGGTGATGACTGCAAGCCGGTTTTCGAGAATTCTCAAAAACCAGAAAGAATGGAGAGCGAGAGATTGGGGTGATGACTGCAAGCCCAGGCGTGCATGCAGCTGCTGCGCTTCCTGCACTTCCATTCTGTGGGGCTCTCTGGAAGGGCATCGTTGGGCGACTACCAGAAGTGGAACCCGAATGTCACGTTCCATACAATGCCCGAACTTCTGCAGGCAGAACGGGGAGGGATGGGGAGGAGGGAGCGAGGGAAGAGAGAGGCTGGAAAGAGGGGCAAGAGGGGAGGTGAAGTAGGTGATGAGGACAGGGTAGGCAGGGACTGCAAGCCCAGGCGCGCATGCAGCTGCTGCGCTTCCTGCACTTCCACTCCGTAGGGCTGGCTGGAAGGGCGTTGTTGGGCGACCTTAGAAGTGGAACCGGGATGTGACGTTCCGCCTTCTGACCAACAGGATCTCAACCATACATACATCGGCATTCTAATGTGAGGAGGAGGTGATATTTGACACTTTTCTTGCTCTACATCCCAACACCCCTCTGGTGCCTCTCCCCTTACAGGATCTCAACCACGGCATCTTCTTACATCGGCATTCTGAAGCTCAGCTGCGGGGGGTGCGAGGAGGAGGAAGTCAAATGAGGTCATTTTCTATTACTATCTATGGTGTCTGTCCCAACACCGCCCTGTTGCCTCCCTCCCTACAGGATCTCAACCACACATACATCGGCATTTTGACGCTCAGCTGTGGGGGGTGCGAGCAGGAGGGTGATATTCTAACATGTTCTCTTGCTGAACATTCCACCACCCTCCCGCTCTTCCTCCCTCCCTACAGGATCTCAACCACTCGTACATCTGCATTCTGAAGCTCAGTTGCAGAGGGTGTGAGAAGGAGGTGATATTCGACATGCTCTTTCGTTGAACATCCCAACATCCCCTTCCTCGACCACCCATATGACAGGATCTCAACCACACATACGTCGACATTCTGAAGCTCAGCTGTGGGGGTTGTGAGGAGGAGGTGATATTTGATGTGTATGAGGGCAGTGTGAATGGGACTGCAGGGGGAGCAGGGAGGGGAATGCGGGAGAAGGTAGATCAGTTCCGGTCATTAGAAGAAGCAGCAGTACCAGCAGCACCAGCAGCACCAGCAGAACTAGCAGCACCAGCAGATGCAGCTGCAGCAGGAGAAACAGCTGCAGGTACTGGTGCAGCCGAACCAGCAGGTGCAATTGCCGAACCAACAGGTGCAGTTGCCGAACCAGGAGGCGCGGGTGCCGAACCTGAAGGTGCCAGTGGCAGTGGTAGTGGGGGAGTGAGGAACTATGAGGAGGGGAGGGAAGATGCAGTGGACCCTTCTGTTGGTGCTCGACTGGCCATCAACGGAGGGAAGCTTCCTTTTGGACAACTCGTTGTCGACTTTCATGAGTAAGCCTTGATGCTTTATCAGCTATATATATACCGGTATACATATATATAACAATTGGTAAGTGGTTTACATGGTTTATGTTGTTATGTGTACACCCTTGTCCTCTGGATGCAGGGCTGATGAGCCTCAAGAGCTTCTTTCCTTAGTGTATTCTTTGGAGACAGTTGGATATCGGATGTTCCACATCGAGGATAATCCTTTATGTGACCTATGCATTACAGGTAGCTTCATTCATGAAAGCTTGGTACAACCCCATGAATGGGCTAAATGCAACTCTGGATGAGGATAACAGCAACCATCAATAGTAATTATTATGGCTAAGCATTTTTCCTTGTCAGCGGAACATGGACAGCATGTTCATCAAGACAAAGTGGTTCTTCTCTTAGTAAACCTAAGCCGCCACTGCTCAGTTGACTTCACCAAGTAGATCTGATGAGGACTGTCAAGTTGATACGGTAGGAAGGAAATGAGAAGCGGTTTAGGCGTGTGAAATAATGTAGTTGCATATGCATTTGTTCCTGCATTCCTGTCACCCTTAGCTGTATCGGAATTTGGATATCGCCAACTTCACTAAGAAACTGACCAATCAACAGCCCTGATTTTTGTGTTTGATTTGTGCAAAATTGACTCTGATTGGAGAGGCGACGAATGCTGGCCAAGAAATAGCCCGCCAAAACAATTTAGCTTTCCTCGCCGACACGCTGATTGGACAGCTACGTCCGCACATCCACTCGGGTCTCTGCAAGTCTATCCCACTAAAAACCTCAGTACCGTACAGAAACTCATTAAAAGCTTTACCGGCCAGAAATCTGCTTTGCTCGAAGCTTTTTGAGTCTGCATCATTGACCCTCGACTCCCTGAGTGAATCCATGGCTGGCTGGACATTCCATTCAGTCTGACTGATGAAGCTCAGCACGCTTGGGCGGGTGTCTCTGGAAAATGTTCAAGGCCGTGACTACCAGTATGTCTCAACGTCGAGCCCAGTTTGCCGGCCGCGACGTCGTTCGACATTGATATTCTGAAGTGGGGCCAGGTGGGTTTCACCAGGTGAAAGGTACTATTCTGGTATTTTCTAAGCGCCTGAATGTCTTCGCTGTGCGAGTTTTTCACCTTCTATTTCAGACACGGCAGATCCAGGCATAACAGATTCAGACACTCAGAGTCACTTTTTGTGGCAAATAACCATTTGCATTCAGGCATTTCCCAATGCATCTGACGAGACACCCTCACCTGCGCTCCCGTCACCTCTACGGTTGCGTTTTTCAACTGAAGCACTGATAGTTGCCTTCATTCAAAGAACGCTTTTGAGACGACTCAAAAGTAGACTGCGTTTTTCATCTGAAGCTTTGTTAGCTTTCTTCATCACATTCAAAGACGACAACCGACGGTGTCCATGGATTAGTTCGCCGTTCCAGCCCTTGTCATCAGGACCGTCAGTCCCTAGCAGCAGATCGAGTCGCGAGAATACATACAAAGGTTCTTTTTTTTTTTTGTGGATCCGAAAATGGCTGACAAAAACCTGTCAGACCTGCCAGTGTACGCGAGAACCGAGCCATCCATTAAAAACCTTCCTAGTATAAGCGAACAGGTCGGTAGCATCATCCGTCCGTACGTCATCCCCTTCGTTATCATCCTCGCTATAGTCATCCCCATCAACCTGGTCTTTCAGTCGACTCCTGGACTGCTCTGCAGCTGCTGGAGCCGCGGCGGAGGCTTCGAGTCGGCATCGTCGCTTCCGTACCAGCCAGCAGCGTCGCTTGCGTACCAGCCGGCAGCGCCTCCTCCGGACCAGCCGGCAGCGTCGCTTGCGTACCAGCCGGCAGCGCCTCCTCCGAACCAGCCGGCAGCGCATCCTCCGGACCAGCCGCCTATCCCCGGATGGGCTCAGGCTCTGTTCCCCGGCATGAGCGGCAATGACGCGGCCATCATTTGCCGTGCAGAGGAGAATTATTGGGTAAGTTTTCGATTTCTAGTCTTTCTTCTTTCCCTCCTTCTGAACCAGCTGCATGTCATTCTTATGAGCTTTCGTTTCCAGCATGAGCGAGCACCACTGACGCGGCTATTGAATGCCGTGCAGAGGAGCATTACTGGGTGAGTTTTCGATTCTGAGACTTCTTTTCTTCGTCTTTCTTGTGTACCAGCAGCTTATCGTGCTCAAAACCAATTTGGTGAAGTGGCTTTCTCGAGTCTCTCCTATCCTTCCGCGTTTCCTGTTTCCCAGCTGTGTTGACGTGTAGGCTATCGCGCTCATGTCCTCCTTTTTTTTAAGTCGAATAATTGAATCTTCTTCTAGCCCTTCACCTCAGCCTCCCCACGCGCAGGAGAACCTATGAGACGGACGGCGTGCAATGGAACGCTGTACCCGCCACCCGCATCGATGGCTGATGTCAGCATGAAGACGGTTGTGCTCGTCCCAGTGCTTTCTAAAATGCCTCAAGAGTTTGTGATATCCCCCTCACTCTCCCCTGCTCCCACCCTCTACAGGAGAACCTTCTGCTGAGACGGGAGGCGTCCAATGGAACGCTTTACCCGCCACCCGCGTCAATGACAAATATCACCATGAAAACGCTCCTTCTCATCCCCACGTACTCTTGCCCGGTGAACGAGCGCATTGGCAAGTGGGGGGACGGCGGAAAGGTGAGTTCTGAGTTGACCGAGGAAATCGCTGCTGCATTCGTTGATGCGTTTACGCTTGAGAAAGAAGCAGCCATAATTGAATCACTTCTGAGAATACAAAAATGTGCACCCGTGCTCAAATGAACCTTCTGTGTTACAAACCCAGCTAGCTGCAGCTCGAAATCTTCCAATTTTTTCTCTGTTCAATGTTCCACCCAATCTCCCCAATCTCCCTCTACCCACACAAATCACCATTTGCCCAATCCCCTCCTCTTTCCCGAAACGCCAATATCAGTGGACTTGCCTTCTGCCAGGCGCCATTCAGACGGACCCTGTGGTGTACAGGTGAGAGGGGGGAGATGAGGAAATTGAGGAGGTGACGGTTGTCAGGATTGAGAGACGAGACATGGGCAAGTGATGGGGCAGTTGAAGTAGAACAAATAAGTAGAACAGCTCTTCACCTTGTGAGTGAGCAATATTTGAGAATCAAATAGATGTGCGTGTGTGCGCGCAAGCGCGCGAGTGTGCCCAATCACTTGGTAGCCCGGCTCTTCACCTTGTGTGCTCCTCACCACTCCCATCGATCTTTCCTCGTTTGGTGCCCAATCATTCCCCACTACAGCATTGGCAGTTTCCGGCAGTACGATTTTGAAGACGCCATTTACAAGATTTTGCATGTGCAGCCGCACACGTTCGACCCGTTCCTCCACCCCAGCACCGCCGCCCACATGCAGACCGTCCCCTCCCTCATCTTCCACCCCATCGGCCTCTCTGCAAACTCCTCCATCGAGTACAACCGCCAAAAGTTTTCTGGCGCTGAGTTCATGACTCTGGGAGGGATCATGCAGCTGTTGAATCATACATATGTGGACATTTTCAAGATTGACTGCGAGGGGTGTGAGGAGGCGATGATTGCAGAGTTTGGGGAGGCGAATGGGAATGTATCTGCACAACTGAGCTTGCACGGAGGGACGCTGCCGTTCGGGCAGATCTTGATCGAGATTCACCAGTAAGTCTTGATGTATGGTTGTGTGTGGTTCGTGCACTCCAACAGTGAGTTTACGGCAAAAGAAAGAAAGAAAGAAAAAAAAAAACGAGAATATGATCCGCCTTCATCACTTAATATTGTTCTCCAAGTGCATGTGCACAGTCAGCCGTGTTTGCACAATGCGACTAGGTAGTTGACAAGGATTGCCGCCCGTTTCTTTGTCCGCATTCATTCTCCCCACACAGTTTCTTCCCTCTCCCTTTCTCAAACCCTCCCTCTACCAGAACGAATAAACCCGTGGTCACCTTGGCACTGGTCTACACGTTGGAGAAGCTTGGGTATCGCATGTTCAGCGTGGAGTTCAACCATGAATGCTGGCATTGCTGTGAGTTGAGCTTGATACACGAGAGCCTCGTGCAGCCAAGTAGCGACAAAAACTGCCCCCCGTCTCTGGCTTCGGAAGAGTTCTTCAAAAAGGAAGCTGCAGATGCGCAGGAAAAGCTGGGTTCAGGAGATGACGTGAAGGAATCAGGTGGAGGAGTCTTAAGTACATCTGACGCTAGCACCCCCGGGCCGTGATGGAGACGTGGCATATTCTGAGTTCTAACGCAGGTGTCAATAGTTGGGAGAGCTGATGAGCCTCTAGAGCTTTTTTCCCTGACAGATTCTTAAGAGAGAGTTGTATACTGAATGTTCCACAGACACTCCCTTATCTGATATATGCATTTCAGGTGGCTTATTTTGTGAAAGCTTGGTACAACCCAATGAAAGGTAAATGGAGCTTGGCGTGACCACCATGAAGTTACGGATAGTCCAGCTCTCATAATGTGAACAGCACATAGGTACTATTGTTTGACCTCTAAGTTATTGGGAAGCTATTGTTCTGATGCTTTCGTTCCATCCACCTTCTCATAATATCATTCTAGTCGAACCCTATATCGAAATCAGAGGCGTTTCGCCGAATTCAAGGAAAGCCTGACCAACGGGAAAAGGCGGCGGATGTTCTCCAAGAAAAGCCCGCCAAAACATTCCGATATCTCCACTGACACACACAGGACCTCATTGGATGGCTGCATTCGCGGCCGGCACTTCCATTGCTGACGGAAATGCACATTGGATAGCAAACAACATCCCCTACATTCACTGAAACAGAGGCCGATTCATGAATCCATCGCTGCCTACTGCACATTTCGGTTGCTCCTTTCAGGTAGTCTTAGTTGCGTTTCGTGGCTGCGTTAGTAAGTTCCTTAAATATCTCGTGCTGATATTTGACCTACAGACTTTTTATAACTCGCCGAGTTTACTGGCTTCGGATTCAGGCAAAGCAGATTCTGGCTGGCATAATGAATGCACCCTAGTCTTGCAGCGCATATGCATTCAGACCTTTCCTGGTGAAGCCATGAACTATACTTGCAGCCTCGACTCCTGCATTTCTCATCTGAATATCTGATTAGCTTACTCATACTCAAACCGGCCATACATACTAGAACTGAATCAGCTAAAACCGTTTTTAGAGCTAGCCGGTTAGAGCATGGCTGAAAAACAAATGTCGGACTTGCCCGCCAGAGCCGAGCCAGCTCTCAACACCATTCGTTCCATGGCCGAGCCCGCGTTACAATCACTACGCACCATAAGCGAACAGGTCGGAAGCACCATCCGTCCGTACGTCATCCCCTTCGCCGTCATCCTCGCTATAGTCGTCCCAATAAACCTGGCATTTCAGTCAAACCCCGGTCTGCTCTCCAGCGGCTGGCGCAGCGGGGAAGGCTCGGCAACGTCGCTTCCGTACCAGCCGCCTAGCCTCGGATGGGCTGCGTTTCTGTTTCCCAGCATGAGTGGCATTGACGCGGCCATTTGTCGTGCAGAGGAGAATTACTGGGTGAGTTCTTATGTCGGAATTGACTCAAAAGGATACGGTTTTTTTTGTTTTTGTTTTTGTTTTTTTCTGCTTCTTATGTACTTTTTAGTAGACAGCAGGCGATCATTCTTGCTGAATCGGCGTTACGAGCCTGTACTATCCTTCCGCGTTTCTGTTTCGCAAAATGAGTTGCATTGATGCGGCAATCTGCCGTGCAGAAGCAAATGAACTGGGAGAGGTTCCGGCTTGAGATCTCCCTTGTCTTCGCTTCCATATATCGTGCGTGGCGAATCGTTGTTCCATGTCTTTGCTATCCTCTCCACCCCCACCCTCTCCCCACCATCCCCCGTCGTCTTCCCACAAAACAACCTTGTGCTGAGACGGAAGGTGTGCATCATAACGCTGTAACCCACAGTCCCTCTCCCGCTCTTCCCCCTAATGCCCTTCTCGCAGGAGAACCTTGTGCTGAGACGGAGGGCGTGCAAGGGAATGCTGTACCCGCCACCAGTGCAGTACACACCTGTCTTGATGAAGACCGTTGTGCTCATCCCCACGTACCCATGCCCGGCTAACGAGCGCATTGGGGAGTGGGGGGATGGCGGAAAGGTGAGACAAAGAAGCGACTAAAATATTCCAGTGCTCTACAAATTCTTGGGTCCCAACTTTAGCTTGCTGCGGGGAAACCTTTCAACTGCCTCTACCCACCCCAATCTCCCGTTCCCCATCTCAACCTCTCTCTATCCACCCTAATCTCCCTGTGCCCTTCCCAATTTCCCTCTACTCATCCCCTTGTTCTTCCTGATCCCCACAGTGGACTTGCTTGCTGCCAGGCGCCATTCAGAAGGACCCTGTCGTGTACAGGTGAGAGGGGGGGGTGGGGAGGGGAGGGAGGTGAGGAATGAATGGTGCTATTCGTACATGGTGCTATTAGTGGATGGTGATAGTGAATGGTAGCGGCGTCATCAGTGGACTGGTCGTCCTCCCTCCACCTCCACACCATCTGCCTCTCTGCAACCCTTCCTGTTTCTGATGCCCCTTGGAACAAACAACCTCTCCTCCCTCCACTTCCACCCAGTCAGCCTCTCTGCATGTTCACCTTCGACCCATCCTCCCTTCACGCAAATTCCTCTCCCACTCTCTGTGCTTACTCTTCCCATCCAATTTCCAGCATTGGCTGTCACGGGCAGTACTCATTCGAAGACTCAATCTACAAGCTTCTGCACGTGCAGTCACACACGTTCGACCCGTTTCTTGATCCAGCCACCACCACCCGCATGCAAAACGTCTCCTCCCTCATCTTCCACCCCATCGGCCTTTCTGCAAGCTCCGTCCTCCAAATCTACACCGCCAAGTTCCCTCAAAAGCAGTTCAAGACACTAGGAGCCATCATGCAGCTGTTGAATCATTCATATGTGGACGTGTTCAAGATTGACTGCGAGGGGTGTGAGGAGGCGCTGATTACGGAGATCGGGGCGGCGAATGGAAATGCAGCTGCGCAGCTGAGTTTGCACGGGGGCACGCTGCCATTCGGACAGATCTTGGTCGAGTTTCACAAGTGAGTTGAATGAAAGGGAAAGCACCCAGGAAGAACTGGCTGTGGGACTGGTTCTAAGCACACCAAGTTACTAAGACTGCTGCCTGTTCTTAACGTTTATTCCAAGCTCCAAACATTCTTATTCCCGCTTTCCCCCTCTCTCACTTGCTTACTTGTTTTTCTCCCTCCCTCCACCAGAATGCACCTGCCCCAGGTCACCCTGCCGCTCGTCTACACGTTGGAGAAGCTTGGGTATCGCATGTTCAGCATTGAGTACAACCAGCAGTGCGCGAAATGCTGCGAGATGAGCTTCATTCATGAGAGCCTCGTGCGGCCAGGTAGTGATAAGAACTGTCTCCCATTTCTGGCTTCGGAAGTGTTTGTAAACAAAGAAGATGCAGATGCTGTGATGCAAGAAAAGCTGGGTGCAGGAAGTGACTTGAAAGAATCAGGTGGAGGAGGTTGAGTAATTCCGATACTAGCACCCCGTGGAAGTCGGACAATGAGAGCTATTCCGGTATGAGCACATGTAAACATTATGCTGTGTAATCACATGTTTTGTGAGGTGCTGTCAATCTGTAACGTTCTTGCTCAGAGGACAGGTGCTGAATTATTGATAAAAACCAATAGCTATAAAGGGATTGTTTACAAAATGTGGCTTGCAGGTATGTTTCTGGCATGGTAAGGTCCCAACCAGAGAGGTTTCGCCTACAGCTTCTGACAAGCTAATGGACAGTCTGAATGCAACTCTGGATGACAATGAGAGCAACGTCAATCAACCAACTATACATTTGTTGTCATCTCACGCTACGTGAACATAATATCTACAAGTTGATGTCAAAATGTCATTTGCTGTGTAGGCTGTAGTGGGGTACTCAACAGAAAGTACAACCTTTTTAGGGTTCCTACATGTATCCCACTTGCCTGCTAGTGCAAACCCCTCTTCTGTTCTTACCATTTCTGCTTGCTTATTCTAACATGCTATCAGAGCAGGTCGACCCTCCTTGGTCGATCCTGTGGATGGGCCCACCCTACTGCTTCCGCTGCTATTCTGTTAGTCGCGCGCCCCAGGCGCGCGACATTTTTCAGCCCGCCGCGCGCCCCGTGGTGTGCGGCGGTTTTCTGCGCCCCGGGGCGCGCGGCGGTTTTCTGCTCGGCGCGCCGCCCCCGTGGACCCGCGGGCGCTGCCCTGTGGCTCCAACGCGCCTCAAGGGGGGGGGGGGGCGGTTTTCAGCCAGCGAGCCGCCCCTGCAGCCCGCGAGCCGCCCCTGCAGCCCGCGAGCCGCCCCTGCAGCCTGTGCGCTGCCCCTGCAGCCCGTGCGCCGCCTCTGCAGCCCGCGCGCATGCCCTTGCAGTCGCTTGGCAGCTCCTACCCTTCTCCCCCGCCTCCTTCTCCCTGCTACGCGTGCATGTCAAATGATATATCTGCTGTATATGTTTAGGCTTTAGTGGGGTAGCCAATATGGGGTACAGCCCCTTTTAGGGTTTCATATTTGTACCCAACCATTTCATAGTTCATCCATTCCTGCTGCTAGATTCTAACATGGTTTCAGAGCACTAGGTCCGTAGGACCGTTTTTTTTTCGGGCCCACCTACCGTTGCGGTTACCGCGCTACCCCACGTGTTGTCCTGCGCCTGCCTGCCTTACCTTGTGACGTGCTGCGCTGCGCGCACCGTCCTGCAGCCCTCGCGCTGCCTGCTGCTGCCCTAGGCCAGAGCGCCGCCCATGTAGGCCCGTAAGGCCCGCGCGCCGCCCCTGCAGACACGCCAGGCCCGCGAGCCGCCCCTGCAGGCCCGTCAGGCCAGAGCGCCGCCCCGCCAGGTCGCTGACGCGTCAGGCCAGGTCGCCGCCCCGCGCGTCGCGCTGCAGCCCCGCGCGTCGCGTCCGCTGCCCGCGCGTCGCGCTGCCGTCCTCCACAGCCCGCGGCGGCTTCGCGCGCCGCGTCTGCAGCTCGCGTAGTGCGCTGCAGCCTCGCGCGCCGCGGCTGCCCCTGTTCATCGCGACGCCTCCCCCCCCTGGACGCCGCCCCTTCCTGACTGCCGCCATCGCTCCTGCAGCAGCTGCCGCGGAGCGCCCTGCCACAGTCGCGGCCCCGCCCTGCAGCAACTGCCGCGGAGCCTCCTGCCGCCATCGCGGCCCTGCCCTGCAGCAGCTGCCGCGGAGCCTTCTGCCGCCGTAGCGGCCCTGCCCTGCAAGCAGCTGCCGCGGAGCCTTCTGCCGCCGTCGCGGCTCTGCCCTGCAGCAGCTGCCGCACAGCCTCCTGCCACGGTCGCGGCCCCGCCGTGCAGCTGTCACGACCCCGCCCTGCAGTAGCTGTCGCAGACCTGCCCTACCGCCGACGCGGCCCTACTCTGCTGCAGCTGTCGCGGCCCCGCCGTCGCCGTTGTAGTGTGCCTGCCCTTCCCGCCACTGGTGAGCACCTGCCTTGTTCGCGCACTGCCGTGCCATCTCCCTGCCTGTCTGCCTACCTACCTGCTTACTTGCCTGCATGCCTGCCTACCACGCCTGGCTGCCTGCCGCGCCTGCCCTGCCCGCGCTGCTACTGCTGCTACTACTGCTCCTTTTGTTACTACTGCTAGGCCAGTGCTGCTGCTGCTACTACTGCTACTTTTTTTTTTTTTTTTTTTTTTTAAATCATTGATAGTGTATACCGATACAGGCAAGCATGTACCATCAAACGGTCGTAACCGTGCGTGAGGGACAGCAGCCTATCTACTGTTCTAGGTGAGCTGCCAAGGGCGAGATGTCACATGCCCTAAAACCACTGTTCCAAATGAGTTGACTAGGATGAGCCGTTGCATGCCCTTCGCATGGACCACAGAGCAGCAAAAGCAGGCTTCCATGCCCAGCTCCTGCCATCCATCTTGATCCTGCTCAGCATTTTCTGCTCCTCCGCAAAATTTTCCTTCAGCCGCTTCTTCTGTGTTGCCCCCATTTTCAGCATGTATATCTTTGCGTGCAGTCTAATAGCATCTTCCGCCTTCCACAACACTCGCTTGGCCCGGAATTTCTGCCCCCGGAAAACCGCGTCACACCTCTCCTTCCAGACTTGATGGAGAACCACCGACGTAAGAGTTAGCTCTGGAAAAGCTGACTTGGTGCCCGTTTTCCGGAACAGAATATCGCCCAGCGAGGCAGTTGGGCGGCTGGGATTCAGCATGCGTAGAGCACGCCGAAGAGCCGAGGTCACCACTTGTATCCTGGGGCACAGGATAAGGCAGTGCTCCATCGTCTCTTGCTCCCCGTAGTACGAGCAAACTGGCCTGCTGCTGAGGAACGCCAGCCTTTCCCCCACCTGCAGATTCAAGCCGTGGATGCGGACGAGGACATCTCTTGGACGGCTGGGGACCGCCAACGAGTCCCGAGTCAGCACCACCCGCTTCCAGTCGATAGGGTTTCCCCACCGCACACCCCACTTCTGCTGCTTGTACGATTGGCCGGAAGCCCCCTTCCACCCATCCTTCATCTACCTCATGGAGACCACCCGCCCTGTCAGAATCCCAACCACTAGACCATTGGGATAAAAGGGCTTGTTTCAGTAGCGGGTCAGTGCGCCCATAACCCCCCGGGCAAACTCGCCTGTAACCCCCCCTAGGATTGATCGGGGATCTCACAGTGTAGCTCTACTGACACCCCCCCACACTGGGAGGCCCACGACTGAGCACAGTGGCAACGGCCAACATGTGCATACACCGGGATTCGAACCCGAGACCGCTCTGATACCATGTCAGAATCCCAACCACTAGACCATTGGGATAAAAGGGCTTGTTTCAGTAGCGGGTCAGTGCGCCCATAACCCCCCAGGCAAACGCGCCTGTAACCCCCCCTAGGATCGATCGGGGATCTCACAGTGTAGCTCTACTGACACGCCCTCCTTCCAAATTTGGAACACGCAGGGGAGAGCCAGCCGAGCGTGGAGGGACTGTAGGGAAACCCAAAAGCCTTTGCCAGTAAGACGGGATCGCTAACAGCGCCTTCAACGCCAGCTTAGCCAACCCGTTTCCACCCAGCTCCTGTTTCAGCACCGCCATGGATTTCACCATAGTAACCCCATCCTCTTCACCGTCCAACAGATCCCCGATACAAGTGTGTTTCAGGTTCTGCGCCTCTTTCTGCCCGCCGATCGGATTGGCAAGGTTGAGTAGAACATCTTTGTTGAAGAACAGTTTCTCCTGCAGAACCTCCTCCCAACTCCCCACCAGGTTCCTGATCGAGAAAGGCGACCTCATGAAGCTCTCTGTTGTCTGCTTCCACCGAAGGCTGCAGCTGCCCCAGTGCTTCAGCATTTTTTCATGCGCGGTAAAGGAGTCCACCCCCATCAGAAGCTTCGCCGCCCGCTCCATGAGGTCTCTTTTAAGCTGGTTCCGCTCCGTGATGAGCAGTTCGACCCTCCTCGCCGCCAAGCATGTGATAAGTATCTCCGCGTCTCTGACCCCGATCCTGCCATCCAGTCTCGGAGTATAGAGCAACTCCCTGCTCCAGAGAATAAAAACTTTTGCAGTTGCAACTCTGTTCCCCGATATAAAACTGTGTGGTAGTCGCATGATTTCCAACCATATTGCTGCAGGCGGCGAGTAGACTTGCGCCTGGAAAGCCAGAATCGGTGTAATGTAGAAATTGACGACTGTCGCCCTTGCTGTGATTGTCAGGTACTTAAGCTGCCACTTGGTCAGCTTCTCCGATACACGACTCCATGTCTTCTCCCAAGTTGGCTGGCCGTTACCGGACGGCGTAAACCCACACCCCCAGTAACAGCTCGGCCTCGTCCACTTTGGCCCACTTAAAACCATCGGCCCCACCGTCAGACGCTCCGATGTTTGCCCCCAGAGGTAGTATCACTGATTTCGATTTGTTTGTTGCCAGCCCCGATGCCTTTCCGAAACGGTCGAGAATCTCCTCCGCCTGACCAATCTACTCCCTTCCTTGTAGGATGAGTGTCGTGTCGTCTGCGTACCCGAGGTAACCAAGTCGGTGCCCTTCCTTCTCAAGACCGAGCTCCCGCCTTTCCACTTCCTGAGCTAACGGCTCCACCGCGCATAAAAACAGGTACAGCGCCAGAGGACACCCCTGCCGAACCCCAGAGACCACCTCAAATCCTTCCCCGAGCCAACCATTAATCAGCAGCTTGGTTGTCGTTCCCTCGTGCAGGCCCTTCACCTAGCCGACAAGCCGTTCTGGGAAGTCCATTTTCTCCAGCACATCGAAGAGAAACCCCCACGAGACTGAGTCAAACGCTTTCTAGAAGTCCACCATAAGCATGTACCAGTCTTCATTCCCGCTTTTTGCTCCTTCGATAATGTCCGCCACCAGCGCTACTGCATCTGAGAGGCGGCGACCGGGGATGAAGCCATACTGCTCAGGTGAAATGATTATGCGAAGAACAGATTTCATGCGGTCCGCCACCACCCTAGCCAAGACCTTGTAAGTGAAATTTAGCAACGTGATTGGACGGTAGTTATTCAGTTGCTCCTTATCTCCCTTCTTGTGCTGGAGAATCGTTACGGCTTCCTTGAGCTCCACCGGTAGAGATGCACTGCTCTGAAAACTCTTTGCCATGACCATGAAGCTTTCCCCCAACAGGTCCCAATGTGCCTCGAACAGCTCCTTCGGCAGACCGTCGCTGCCGGGGGATTTGTTCTTCGCCATCTCCGCAAAAGCTTTCTTAACTTCTTGCTCTGTCCAGTCCGCTGTAAGTGTCTCAGCCACCCCAGCATCCAGACGACGAGCCGGACGGAAGCTCCACTCCGCGCCCTCAACCCGGCGACCCTTTCCAAAGATGTTCCTCAAGTAGCGCGACGCTGCCGCCAGAATCTCCTTCGGACCAGTGATCGACACCGCGCCATCCTTCAGCTCCGAAATCTGAGTTCGCACTTTCCGCGCCTGCACCTTCGCGGAGAGGCGCTTCGAGGCAATTTCGCCCGTCATCTCCGCCGTGGAACCCGCCTGAAGATGCAGCCTCTCCTTCCTGGACGCCTGATACATTTTCAGCTGCCCATCTTTCACCTTCAGCAACTCCTTTGTCCTGGTGCAGAGAGGGTCCCCCATTAGCCGTTGCGTCAAAGTTTCAACCGTGGCGGTCAGGTGAGCCACCGTCGTACGAACCCTCTTGCTTTCCTCCCTTGCGTAAGCCCTGAGCCCAGCGCTCATTCTAGCCACCAACAATTCAAAACTGCTTCCATCATTAACCGGAGTCCGCCGCACTGTCGCCTCAATTATTTTCCTCACCCCCGGCCTATTCTCCATTGAAGCGTGTAAACGCCACAGCCCAGGCCCTATGCAGGCCTTCTCATCCAACCGGAAAACAGTCATAATCGCGAAGCCGTGATCCGCAACTGGCTCATCAGGCTTAACGTGAGCTACAACCGACAGGTAAGGGAGAAGGGATTGTGAGACCAAGGCTCTGACTATCCGCGTGCTGACCCATTTTGACTTGGAGAAAAAGGTGTACTCCTTACAGCCTGGATGAAGAATACGGAAGGCGTCAGAGAGTTGGAAGGCCTTGCATCTCTGAAAAAGCCTCTCGTTTTCATTTTATCCTCCCTTACCTAATGACTTATCCAACTTGGGGTTTTCTATGTGGTTGAGGTCTCCTATTATCAGCAGGTGGTCTGATGCCGGAATCTGATCTATCAGCGGACCAAGCGAATCACGGAGGAAAACGGATTTGGACTGCGGGCTGGCGAGGAAGTACACTGCGTGCAGGATGAGATCCGGACCGAGACCAGACCCCTTGACCGTGGTCTTAACTATTGTACCGGATGGATGCGACACCGTATCATGGAAGGTGATGGAAGGGTTGCTACTAAGGATGGCTACTCCACCCGCTCTCGTTCTGGGGGCTGTCGCTAACACCGTGTGAGTTGTGAGGCTTTTCCAGTACGGGTGGTCTTCGTCTATCCTAGTGTTGTTTAAGGCTGCGATGTCTCCTGCCTTGCTGAACCAACTATTGACACGTCCTTGCTTCGCTACGTCTGAGAGCCTGTTAACATTGAGGCTCGTAATGGTGAGGTGGTTCTTGTTAATCATGATTCCACTGCCTTGCAGCCCCTGATCATCCACAGGGTGAGAAAGGAGATAACACAAGCAACGCCGACACCCAAGCACCAAAACACTGACAACAGCAGCTTCGTGACCAGTATAACTACACTTCGTACTCCGTCCGAATGGCTTTGAGGGACATCTTCTCGCGAGACTGCTTGGTAGCAGCACCGGCCTCCTCGAGGTGAAGCATGTGAGCGGCTGAAGCGATATGAGTTGACGCAGTAAAAAAACTCTTGCCGTGAGATTTTCCACAACCCTCTTGCGTGCACAGCCACTCCTCCCTGTTGCTGCCGGTCGAGATCAATGCTAAGCCGGGATTGCGGAGCAGAGGAAAGGTGAACGCGGTGGCTTTCAGAGAGGCAGCTGCACGTATCAAAGAGGAGGTCAGTAAATACGGTGTAAGATGGAGCGATTGAAAGGATGACTGTGAGCCGTGAGCCGCCATTACCGTTGAGCCTGTGTGCCATTCCCTAAGACAAATTCCATTTTCCTACGTTATTCTGCCGCTCAGTAGTGAAAGCATTATGATACTTTTCATAATAATGACCCCCACAGAGCGAGCAGGAGAGCGAGGGATAATGGACGAGCAGCTTCTTCGTGCGGTCTGCCTGGTATGGGATTGCATGAATCCAACGGTGAAGATCAGCAGGGTGAGTGTAGACCAAGCCCTTCACCACGTCTGTGTCCACACCAGTGACAGGATGTAGAACCCGGTGAAGGCACGTGCAACGCTGGAAAGCCTGCCTCCCCCGACTCTCAATGTTGTAGACAGCCAGATGCTTCTGGATCGAAGACAGCTCAACCTCCGCTGAGACACCCTTGACAATGACTTCGAGAGCCTACGGATTTTGAGCCTTCTCCCGAGAGAAAACTGGGTCAGCAGTATGGAGCCAGTGCAATTTGAACAGCTTGCCGTTAAGTGCCTGATAAACCACTTCCTTCCTCCTCACTGTATCTGCATCTGAAGCCAGCAGGAAGGAAGCCTGAAGACGGCAGTAACGCAGCTTGGCAATATGGGTCGTCGGAAGCTCCTGAAACTTCACTTCCGACATCACATCATCCGAAAGTTCTGTGCACCAACCATGTTTCATCAGCATCTTTAGAGCATCCAGCACACATGCAATTTCTAGATGCAGGATAAACGGAATCAGTAAGACAGCAGTGGAGCGCAGGGTCGCAGCAACTTCAGCACTCAGATCTAGCTCCAACTCGTCGTCAGAGCCTTCGTCAATGAAACCATCAGCATCCGTGAGTAGTAATGACGACGCAGTCTGATCATGTGGAGTAGCAGCAGCACCAGCAGACACAGCATTGTCCGTCGTAGCATTGTTGTCATTAGTCACAGCATTGTCGCCATTAACAGATCCCTGCTGGTTGACTGCAGGAGCAGGCGGAGCAGTGCTATCAACAGCCTTGGAGCGCGGACCCTTTGGCAGAGCCGGGAAGTCAGCCGGATGCGACATTGTGCGATGATGATAAAGAACTGGCAGAATGATGAGGTGCTGAGCACCAATGAGGACTGAAAAAACTTGAACTGCCTGATGACTGATCACGGCCTGGTTAAATAGCCTTTTGAACTTGTCCGGCTCCTTGGAATGAGATAGTGTTGAAAACATTCCCAATGCCAAACTCTTGAGAACGTCATTCTTAATAAGTAGATTGTAGTCATTGATGCTTAAACCTGATGTAAAGTAAATTGCATGGTTAGGAACAGGCGAGGACCATAATCCCAAGGATGGCTGGCGAACATTGAACCATGCTGCCAGATAGCCGAAAACACCAAGGTCAGCAGATATGACTGGATGTCCGTTCTTAAAGCTATTGGCGAAGCTTTGTTTAATGTTAAATGGACGCGCGATGCATCGAAGCGAGGAAAATGGTAACAGCTTGTTCGGGAAAATCCATGGCCACCGTAAGGCAGCAAGGGCGGAGAGCTTCATAGCTACTACTGCTACTGCTACTACTGGCGGTGGCCAGATGCAGCTCCAGCGACGTTCACGCGAGTCTCTCACGCCCCAGCAGCTTAGTGAGTGGTACGCTAGTTGGGGTTGTGGCGGTAGCCGTCATAGCTGTTGCCCTAGAGCTGGTTAGTTGGGAGCGTCTGGCAGTGGCCAGCTACAGCTGCAGCAGCGTCCACCCGAGACACTTACGTCCCAGCAGCTTCACGAGTGGTACGCTCAGAGTAGAGGGTCTCGGAGTACCGTTCGCTGCCCGTACGTCATTCGCACAGGTGATAGGGCTGGTCAGGCCTGTGGGACGCTTGGTCACACACAGTCCTGCTGCTTCGCTCGTTTGAGCGACGCCTGGCGTACCGGGTTTGGCGACGCGGCTGAGCTGCCCGACTGGGTGGAGCTGCTTGGGCAGAGGGTAGATATATTTGCTCTTGACTTTGATGCTATTCTCACTGCCATGTATGCATTGCCTGCTAGTGATGACCGTGCCTGTTACCTGTGCGTACCGCCTGACCCAGGTATAGAGCCTGCTGCTCCAGGTGCTGGTGAGGCTGCTGCTCTAGGTGCTAGTGAGGCTGCTGCTCTAGGTGCTGGTGAGGCTGCTCCTCCAGGTGCTAGTGAGTCTACTCTCTCTGGTACTGCGCCTGCTGAGGCCTTGAACACCTTCACACTTGACTCACGTGCTTCCCGCTCCTTCTTTCGCGACAGCACCAACCTCACGCCGCTCAGCCAGCCGGTTCCAGGCAGACCCCTCTGGGGGTCCAGTACTTGCGCACTCCTCCACGGTCCTGCCGTATCCGGCGGTCCCGTCTGGCTCCCTATCAGGTCTTCACCTCCCCTCGTTCTCTACGAACTTGGTGAGTGGTGCTGACCTCCAGGACCAGTGGGTTGACCAGTTCACTCCTGGAGGTCAGCGCGTGGCCTACTGTACGTGCTCCCGGACGGGCCGGCACCTGGCCACGTTTACCCATGCGCCTGGCTCGAGTCTGTACACACTATCTACTGTGTCCCCTCAGGTCGCTGCGTCTGCGTCTGCATCAGGTCAGCTAGCGGCCCCCTGCTCGTGTCGCTCTTTGTCGCACCAGACCCTCCTTTGGCACCACCGCCTTCGTCACCCCTCACTGCAGCGCCTTCGTAGCGTGCACCGCCATGTCCTTGTCTTTGGTCTTCCCAGGGTTCTCCCTCCCCTCCCACCCTCGCCTGCTCCTCCCTGTCTTCCCTGTGTCGAGGGGCGGCAGCGCGCCGCTCCTCACTCCTCCTCGTTCCCTCCCACAGAGGCTCCCCTGCAGACTCTCCACCTGGACGTGTGGGGCCTAGCCCGCGTCCGTGGACAGGGCCACGAGCGGTACTTCCTTCTGGTCGTCGACGACTACACGCGTTACACCACGGTCTTCCCCTTGCAGCGCAAGGGTGAGGTCCCTGATGTTTTGATACCTTGGATCCGCGCTGTTTGTCTCCAGCTCCGCGAGCAGTTCCATTCAGACTTTCCTGTCCTACGTCTGCACTCTGACAGAGGTGGTGAGTTCTCCTAAGACCTCTTGGCAGCCTTCTGTGCATAGCACGGCATTCGCCAGACGTTCATGCTTCCGGCCTCTCCGCAGCAGAATGGGGTTGCTGAGCGCCGCATTGGCTTAGTCATGGAGGTCGCTCGTACCTCCATGATCCATGCGGCTGCCCCCCATTTTCTGTGGCCGTTTGCGGTCCGGTACGCCGCGCATCAGCTCAACCTCTGGCCCCGTGTCTCCTTGCCGAAGACCTCGCCCACACTGCTGTGGACGCGGAAGGTTGGCAATGCGTCGCGTTTGCGGGTCTGGGGTGCTCGTGCCTTTGTCCGCGATACCACCGCGGACAATCAATCCGCCCACGCTGTTCCCCGTGTCTTCCTTGGCTTTGTCCCTGACGCGCCTGGTTGGCAGTTTTACCACCCCACCTCGCGCGGTGTCTTCCCTTCTCAGGACGTCACATTTGACGAGTCGGTTCCCTTTTACCATCTCTTCCCCTACCGCACTGCCCCTCTCCCCCCCGCGGCCGCTCTTCCTTGCTCTAGGTGCTCCCCAGGTAGACCCCCTCCCCGCTCCCAGTCCTGCTCCTTAAGGTGTGTCTCAGGTATACCCTCCTCCCTTGACTGCGCCGGTTGAGGTCACTGGTGACTCAGGTCCTGCTGAGGGTGGTCCAGCTCGGGGTGCTGCTTCTAGGGGTGCTGAGCCTGGGGGTGCGGAGCCTGGAGGTGTGGAGCCTGGAGCTGCAGAGCCTGGGGGTGCGGAGACTGGAGGTGCTGAGCCTGGGCGTGAGGAGTCTGGGGGTACTGAGTCTGGGGGTGCTGCACCAAGGGGCGCTGAGGCGTCTGGTGAGCAGTCTCCCTGGAGCGGCCGTCTTTGTAGTCGCTCCGCTGGTGTCTCGTCGCTGCACCCTCGTCGTCGTCTCCCTCTCTCCCCACAGCATCTGTGTGAGTGGTACGTTGGCCGTAAGGGTCGTGCTGCTGTAGCTAGGGGCCTTGCTGCGGGAGGCGCAGGAGCTGGTGACTCTGCTACTGGAGTTGTTTCTGCTGGAGGTTCTGGAGCTGCTGAGGGTGCTAGAGCTGGAGGTTCTGGAGCCGCTGGAGGTGCTGGCGCTGGTGGCGCTGGAGCTGGAGGTTTTGGAGCTGCTGAGGGTGCTAGCGTTGGAGGTTCTGGAGCTGCTGTGGGTGCTGGCGCTGAGGGTTATGAGTCTGCTGTTGCGCGGTCTCCTTGGAGTAGCCGCCTTCGTCCGTGTCTGCCTCTCACCTCACAGAAGCTGCACGACTGGTACGGTCACCGTCAGGGTCGCGCTTTTGGAGCTCGGGGCTCTGCCGCTGGAGGTACTTCTGCTGACGTCACTGGAGATGGGAGTGGTGCTGGTCCTGGAGGTTCTCGTACTAGAGGTACTGGAGCCGCTAGGGCTGGAGGTGCTGAGCCTGAGGGTGCTACTGCTGGCGACCCTGGGTTTGGGGGTGCTGCTGCTGGAGACACTGAGGCTGGAGACCCTGGGACAGGAGGTGCCGGTTCTGTGGGTGCTGCTGCTGGTGGAGCTGGTCCTGAAGGAGCTGGCGCTGTGGGTTTTGGAGCTGCTGGGGGTACTGGAGCTGCTGAAGCTGGTGGCACTGCACAGCCGCGCCTGTTCTTTGCTCCACCGTCTCCGTCGTCTCAGCCACTGCCTGACTTTGCGCTTCGCAAGGTTATTAGTCTTCCTTCGTCTACTGGTCTTCCGTTACAGCCTGGCTCACCGCTGCTTGCTCCTTCTCCATACACTGAGCAGGCAGGGGGTCTTACTAAGCGTTGTGAGCCTGCGTTGCGTCCTGTCTGGCCTGTCCGTTCTGGTCATTCCGGTCGTAGTGTTCTTCGTCCGCGTCAGCCGGCTGTCCCCGGCACCCACCTCTTAGTCCTTCGTCCTTCCTCTCCTCCACAGCGTGTTCCTTTGCCGTGTCCTCCTACGTCTTCTCTGCCTACTGTTCTAGAGCCTGCGTCTGACCGAGCTCGTGCTGCTCACCATACTGTCAGGCGTCTGCTAGCCACTGTTGTCACTGACCCGTCGTTTGAGTCTGCTGCTGCGTCTGCCCTAATCGCTGAGCTTGTTGACTTTGCTGCTGCCTGTCGTCTAGACTACGCCGCTAGTCTTGTTGCTGAGTCTGAGTGTGTCTGTCATCCGTCCGTCGGGGGTGAGTGTGCTCTTGGCACGGACGTCCTTGAGGACAGGCAGGAGGACCTTGAGTGTATTGCAGCCGCTGCGCCTCATCTCGTGTCCATGCTGCTTGCCCCTGAGGGAGACCCGAATGCACCAGACATCCCGACCCCGCGCTCTTACGCTGAGGCGATCGCGGGTGAGTACTCCGCTCAGTGGCAGACAGCCATGGATGCAGAGATGGCATCCTGGAAGTCCACAGGCACTTACGTCAGTGGCATGTGGATTTTCAGGGTGAAGCGGCCGCCGGGTTCTCCGCCTGTCTTCAAGGCTCGTTACATTGCCTTAGCCACTGCCGCTGCCTTTGCCGTTGCTGGAGGTTTCCCATTCCAAGGGATGATGGGCAGCTGCCACATGTCCTTGATGCAGCTGCTCTCCTCCTCCAAATCCCATAGCAGCAACTTCCCAAGCTTTGCACGACAGCTGGTTGGGCCGAACGTGACTTTGGCCTTGCTTTTCTGCAGCCGGCGCACAGAGAGGAGGTTAGCGGATAAACTTTCAACCAACAGCACATTTCCCAGCCCCACAAGCCCCCCACTAGCTCCCATAACCTTGGCATTCCCAACACCAATTACAGGGAGCAAGGCACCTGAAGCGGCAGCCACAAACTTTATCTTCCCAGGGGGCTTCACCTCATCAAGCAAATCTGCCCGTGGAGTCATGTGACTCGTGCAACCTGAATCAATCACCCAATGAGTGAGGGGGTGCATCACAACCTTCCCAACTGAGCCCACATCACCCCCACTCCCTTGTACATCCTCAACCATGAGGAACATCCCAGGGTCGGCTTTACCTTGTGCACCATCACCTTGTGCACCTGAACCTTGCACAGCACCACCTCGTGCACGTTCACCACTTGGCGGCTTCATGCCTGGAGGTGCCCATCCTTCAGGCCGGCTGAAACACTTGAACCACGGGTGTCAAGCCTTCTTGCAGTACCAGCACGCACCCTCCATTCGGGTGCTCCCCCTGCCACCAGAGCTCTCATGCCCCTCGTTGTAGTCACCTCGGCCTCTTCCTCTGCCAAAGCCTCTCCCACGGCCTCGGCCTCTCCCTCCCCCTCTCCCCCTGCTGCCTCCTGCAGCTCCATACCCCTCAGCAGTTTTGGTGGCTGCACCACCTCCCGTGTGGCGCCTGCGGAAGTCCTCCTGCAGGATCTGCTACCGTTGCCACTCAGGCGTCCACTTGTCCTGCTGAGCGTTGAGGGTGGGGATAAGGTTGTCCCACGAGTTGTCGAGCACCGAGATGATTTTGGTGCAATGCTGCATTTCCGACACTTTGCTGCCCGCCGCTGCCATCCTCGCATAGGTGTCCTTGATCTTGTCAAGGACCGGTTTCACATCATCTCCCGGTTTCATGGAGAGGGCAGCCAACTCCTTCTCCAACACAATCACCATCGGCAGCGTGTTGGGCTGAATCACGTCGCGTAGCAGCTTCCATGCCTTCGGTCCGGAATCATCCAACTCCACCAAATCCTTGATGTGCTGGAACATGTTGTTGACCGATTGGAGGATGAGGTCGTACAGCACCGCGCTCTTATCAATCCACCGATCGCGGGCATCTCCTTCCTCCGGCATCTTCTCCTCTCCCATTGCAATTTTCAGCAGCTTGTAGTGCTTGAAGGCGCTCCGCATCCGCCCACTTCATTCCTCATAGTTGGAGCCATCCAAAGCTTCGATCTTGGGTATAACAAGTGGTATTAGAGCTGATTAAGGACTTTGTGGAGAGTCCTTAATCAGCTCTAATACCACTTGTTATAGACCAAGGACGGAGTCTACGAAGATTAGGTGCCTAAAATTCTCAAAATCGTTGGCTTAGAATTCTGGACAGAAACGTCGCGCTCACAAGAAACGCCGTCGACAAAAACTTCACGGTCAAAACTTCACCAAACTTAGAAATGTTGTAGCTCTACTCCGTGGCTACAATTCTCAAGTTGAATCATACGAAGCAGTGAAGTATTTCTTGAGTCATCAATTTCGGCGCACTAGGGGGTATGCTGCCATAGAATCTTAACTCAATCACAAGAGTCTCACACAAGTTCACAATTACTACACAAGGAAGTTAGAGTAGCACTAAACCAGGTGGAAGGGATGAGTAGGATGAGAGGGAAGGTCCCAAGAGAGTCCCCAACCAAGGAAACCGCATGCCACACAATTCCCCTCTCTATAGGCAACCCAACTTTGACCTTTGTCACTATCCCAACCTCCACAATCCACCTCAACCCAACTTGGCCACACTTGCCAACCTGGTTTTGTCGAAATATATTTGTCATGTTTTATAACTGCTTGTAGTTGTAGTTAGTGTAGTTATTTAAACTGTTGTTGGTGGTGCACCTTATTTGGTTTCTATGCTATATGTACCCTTGAACCTATAGTGAAACCATCACTTTTCTCCAATTGCTCTCTCAACTCACTCGACATCTCGCCTAGGGTACAACCTACTCGACACCTAATCTCGGGCCTAGGCTCCTAAGCCTAGGCCCTACCTCTCAACTTAACTTATACTCTCGACATGTTATCGGAGCTAATTACGACCTGGCCTGTGGGCCCGCCCTACGCTTCCGCTATGATTTTTCGGTCGCGCGCCTAGGGCGCGTGACGATTTTTACCTTGTCCCGCCCACGGGTGTGTGACTCCTACTCTGCCCGTCGCGCGCCCCATGGCACGCGACGGTGCCCTTCAACTGCCCATCGTGCGCCCCGTGGCACACGATGGTGCCCTGCTCGTCGTGCGCCCCTAGGCACACTATCGGGCCCTCTTTCTTCTCCTACCCGTCGTGCGCCCCGTGGCACTGGCACGCGACGGGCCTTTCCGCCCCTGCTCTCCCTGAAGCCGCCCCTGGCCCATCTGCACCGACACCTTTTCTCCGCTCTGCGGCTTTCTTCCCGCCCACCCCCTCATCCTTTGTCTCCCTGCAGCCGTGGGGAGGAGGGTATGGGGGTGGAGGGTGTTGGAGTGTTGGGTCACCTCTCTCCCTTCCCCTCCTCCTTCTTTCAGTCCCACCGCTGCAGCTGCCGCTGGGGGGGGAGGGTGTGAGGATGTGGGGGAGCAGGGGGAGTGGTACCGGGGTGGCGGGTGTGAGGCAACATGCAGCCGTCCCTCCACCACTCCTCACTTCCCCCCCCTTCTCTGCTGCTCTTGCAGCAGTGTGGGGGAGGGGAAGGAGGAGGGTGAGGAGATGGAAGGGGTACTTGCTGTTGTTTGCTATTCTTTTGAATGGCGTAACTACATATCTACCTACAAGCATTATGGGGGCGTGTCGAAATATATTTGTCATGTTTTATAACTGCTTGTAGTTGTAGTTAGTGTAGTTATTTAAACTGTTGTTGGTGGTGCACCTTATTTGGTTTCTATGCTATATGTACCCTTGAACCTATAGTGAAACCATCACTTTTCTCCAATTGCTCTCTCAACTCACTCGACATCTCGCCTAGGGTAAAACCTACTCGACACCTAATCTCGGGCCTAGGCTCCTAAGCCTAGGCCCTACCTCTCAACTTAACTTATACTCTCGACAGGTTTGATTCCTCCCAACCACTTGGCAGCATCTACACTGATGTTGACGAATTTCCCAACCCCCAAAATTCTGTACCCTTTATAAACTCAACCCCACAACTTCCCATAGTCACCACAACCAAATATCAAAAGCATACGAACTTCCAACGTTCGTAACTTTCTTGTTCGTGCTCCGATTGAAGCGATACTTGGTTCGTCGGAAAGCTCTTGAGCAGAGGAGTCACTTCAGATATTTGCTCAAGCCAAATAACATACACACACTCAGAAAATCCAAACCACATCAAATACAAATTCTTGCACACGCTGACACCACGCATGCAATGCACGAACATGTGATGGGAGGCAGACGGACGTGAATGCAAGTGATAGCATCACATAACATGTCTTTGCCTACGACCTGCTGCCTGGTGCCTACTGCCTGGTGCTTGCTGCCTGCTGCCTGGTGCCTACTGCCTGCCTCCTGCCTGGTGCCTGCTGCCTACTGCCTTTGCCTGCGGCCGTTATGACGACGCCTAATGTTCTCGCGTTCGAGCCTGACGGTCGCCCCATCGAGTTCGTTGAGTGGCTCGACGATCTCCAACTGTTCCTTCTGATCGATGCCAAAGACGGCGTTTCACTGTTCGATTACGTGTCTGGCACTGCCGTTGCTCCTGCTGCCGATGCTCCTGCTCTCGAACGCTCGCAATGGCAGACTCGCGATGCTGCTGCACGCCTAGCTATTAGGAACCATCTGCAGATCATTGAGCGCACCAATTTCAGCCAGCACAAAACTGCTAAGACACTGTACGACGCTGTAGTTCCATGCTACTCCTCCCCGGCCTCTGCAGCCCTAGGTCGGCTCATGCTACCCTACCTGTTCCCCAACCTTTCCTCGTTCACCACTGCTGAGGACCTCATTTCTCACCTGCGCGCTACTGACACTCGCTTTCGTGCCGCCCTTTCAGTTCTGCGCCGCAACCCCCCCCCCCCCCCCCCCCCCCGATGTACTTCACTCTCTATTTCCTCGTCACCCGCCTCCCTGACACTCTTAGCTCCGTAAGGGACCACTTCCTAGCCCTAGACCCTACCACTCTCATTGTCGACAACTTCGAGAAGCACCTTCTCGTAGAAGAGAAGAACATCCTCGCTGTAGGTGCTTCTCGTGGTACTCCTCGCTCTCCTCTCTTGGAGGGGTGCTCCCCCTCCCCTCTTACCCCCTCCTACGCCTCCGCAGCTGCTGCTCTCGACTACCTTGGTGCTGAGGAGGTCGGGGCTGCTTCCGCTCCTAGTGGGAAGCGCCTCAGCGGCAGGGGCGGCAAGGGTGGCAGGGGAGGTGGGGGTGGCGGTGGAGGTGGCGGTGGTGCAGGCGGTGGGGGAGGTGGAGGTGGTGGGGGTGGTCGTGGGAGTGGAGGTGGTGGAGGTGGTGGTGGGAACGGCGGAGGCACTGGGAGCGGTGGAGGTGGCAGCGGCGGTGGTGGGGGAGGAGGGAGCGGTGGTGGCAGTTGTGGTCAGGGCGAGCAGCAGTCGCAGTAGTAGCAGCCGCAGCAGCGTCAGCGCCAGACCCCCACTTGCCAGCAGCTTCATGACTGGTATGCCGGGCGTGGGGCTTCTGGGGGTCCTGGTCGCTGCCCCTATATCATTCGCACAGGTCCTCGCGCTGATCGCCAGTGCACAGGGTTTCACACTGGGTCCCGCTGCTTCGCTCGGCTTAGCGTCGCTTGCCGCGTCAATTTTCCTGATGCTACTAAGTTCCCCAACTGGGCAGACCTGCTTAGGCGTGATGTACCTATCTTTGATCTTGACTATGAGGCTATTCTTGCTGCCATGTATGCATTGACTGTTAGTGCTGAGGGTGACTGCTACTTGTGTGTGTCGCCGGACCCCTGTATAGCCCCTGGTATAGCCTCTGCAGCACTAGGTGCTTGTGAGTCTGTTCCCCCTGGTACTACGTCCCCACAGGCCTTGCACACCTTTACACTTGACTCTGGTGCTTCCCGCAGTTTCTTTCGCGACAGCACCACAGTCACTCCCCTCCCTGCACCTGTTCCTGTCTCACTGGCTGACCCCTCTAGGGGCCCAGTGCTTGCACGGTCTTCCACTCTGCTTCCGTGTCCGGCGGTCCCGTCTGGTGAGTTGTCTGGTCTCCACCTCCCCTCGTTCTCTACGAACTTGGTGAGCAACGCTGTCCTCTAGGATGCGGGGGTTGACACCTTCACCCCTGGCCGGCAGCTTGTGGCGATCTGCACGTGCTCCCGGACCGGCCGCCACCTGGCCACGTTTACCCGTGCGCCCGGGTCCAGTCTGTACACCCTCACCACCCAGTGTGAGTGTCGCCGGGTGTCGCACGACACTCTCCTGTGGCACCACCGCCTTGGTCACCCGTCCCTGCCTCGCCTTCGTAGCATGCACTCTCGCTTCCTGGTCTCTGGTCTTCCCAGGTCTCTGCCTGCCCTCCCTCCCTCGCCTGCGCCGCCCTGCATTCCTTGCGTCAAGGGGTGGCAGCGCGCCGCTCCTCACTCCTCCTCGTTCCCTCCCACAGAGGCTCCACTGCAGACCCTCCACCTGGACGTGTGGGGCCCAGCCCGCGTCCGTGGACAAGGCCACGAGCGGTACTTCCTGCTGGTCAACGACGACTACACGCGCTACACCACGGTCTTCCCCTTGAAGTGCAAGGGGGATGTCCCTGATGTTTTGATCCCCTGGATCTGCGTTGTTCGTCTCCAGCTCCGCGAGCGATTCCTGTCTTGTGAGGCTCCTACAGCAACTATGCTCTTTTCTGCTGCAAGAAGGGCCTTCTCGAGGCTGTCGACTGTGAGGGTGGTGGGACAGACTGCAAGGAAGTGGTCCCGGACTACACGAAGGGAGTCAGGGAGGCGAGTGACTAGGAAGTAGAGAGTGATGTACATGGGGGGGGGGTTCTTGGCGCAGAAGTCAGCAGGAAGTGCAACGCGGTAGCAAGTGTCACTAGTGCGGAGGTGCGTGATGAGATCAGCGACAGTGGGAAAGGCGGCAAGGTCAGGGAAGAGGAAGGGGAGCATGAGGCGGCTCAGTGCAGCAGTGGCAGGGGAGGAGTAGCGCGCAACTACAGCGTCGTACAAGGTCTGAGCACTCTTGTACTGGCTAAAGTGCGCGCGCTCAGCGGTAGGCAGGTGGCGACGCACAGCAAGACGTGCAGCAGCATCGCGCGTGGCCCACTGAGAGCGAACAGTGGCGTCAGCATCAGCAGCAGGGGCAGGGACAGCGCCAGAGGTGAGGTCAAAGAGAGACAGACTGTCGGCCCTGTCCCACTGTAAAAACAGCTGCAGGTCGTGGAGCCAGACCTCAAAGTCAATGGCTCGACCCTCAGCGTCAAAAGTGAGGACAGTGGGTGTAGCCATGACGACGACAGTGGCGCAGTGCAAGCAGTAGGGGAAGGGTACGCAGTGACAGCAGTGCAGTGCTCACCGGGCAGGGCATTTCGGGCGGCTCGGGAGGAAGGTCGCCAGACGACACGGCCGCTAGGCTGCTGGGCGGCTCGGCTCCCGGGCGGCTCGGCTGCTGCTGGGCGGCTCGGCTGCTGCTGGGCGGCTCGGCGGCTCCTGGGCGGCTCGGCTGCTGCTGGGCGGCTCGGCTGGTGCTGGGCGGCTCGGTGGCTCCTGGGCGGCTCGGCTGCTGCTGGGCGGCTCGGCGGCTCCGGGCGGCGCGGCTGCTGCTGGGCGGCTCGGTGGCTCCTGGGCGGCTCGGTGGCTCCTGGGCGGCTCGGTTGCTCCGGGCGGCTCGGCTGCTACTGGGCCGCGTAGGTAGGGCGGCCGGGCGGGCCGCAGGTAGGGCGGCGGGTAGGCCGCAGGTAGGGCGGCGGGTAGGCCGCAGGTAGGGCGGCGGACGGCCGCAGGTAGGGCGGCGGGTAGGCCGCAGGTAGGGCGGCGGGTAGGCCGCAGGTAGGGCGGCGGGACGGCCGCAGGTAGGGCGGCGGACGGCCGCAGGTAGGGCGGCGGGTAGGCCACAGGTAGGGCGGCGGGACGGCCGCAGGTAGGGCGGCGGACGGCCGCAGGTAGGGCGGCGGGGAGGCCGCAGGTAGGGCGGCGGGTGGGCCGCGACTGGTTGGCGGGGCCGCGACGGAGTGGCGGGGCCGCTAGAAGGGATGGCGGGGCCGCGACGGAGTGGCGGGGCCGCGACGTAGGGGCGGGGCCGCTCGAAGGGGGTGGCGGGGCCGCTACGGAGTGGCGGGGCCGCGCTTAGGGGTAGCGGGGCCGCGACTGGGTGGCGGGGCCGCGACGGGACGGCGGGGCCGCTAGCGAGGGCGGCGGGTGGGCCACTAAGGTAGGGCGGCGGCCGGGCCGCGAGTAGGAACAGGGCGACTCGAAGGGTCGCTAAAAAAAAAAAAAACGCGCGCGCCTCGGGCGCGCTTCGGTGGGCCCTAAAGAACAGTCCCTAGGATGGGACCTGCTCTGATTCCATGTTAAGAAAGCAACGTGAATGAATTGACTACGAACGAGGTGAGTACAAATAGGAAACCCTAATTGGGTTGTACCCCCTATGGGATACCCCACTATAGCCTACACAAACAAGTAAGCTATAATGTTCTGACAGGGCCTTGTGCCTACGTTTCCACACTTGCTGTAGACTCTGCTTGTACTGTGATCTATATGTATATATACACCGGCATTCTTGCTCTTGCTAGGTAGAGATCACTGTACTGTTCTTGTTGCATATATACCGCTGCATGTGAACTGGCCTTGTGGCCTTTTGCTTGTGCTCAGTGTGTGTGGTGACGTTGTGATCCACCCTGAGCTTGCTTTGCTTTTCTTGACTGGTCTTGTGACCCTCTGTTCTCCCCCACTTAGCCTATGGGGGTGTGTCAAACTGTATATGTGATGTTAGGGTGTAGGCTGTAGTGGGGTACAACACATTGCTAGGGTTTGTACTTGTACCCAATCTTCCCAATAGTAAATTCATGCCTAGTTATTGATAGTCCGCAACTCTAGTCGCACGTGAGACCGTTGCGTCAGAGGCCCGTGGGTCAGTTGCTCTTGCCGGCGAGCGAGCCAGTTACTCCGGTTACCAGTTGCTCTGGTCCCTTGAGGGTCAGTTGCTCTTATCGGTGAGCAGAGCTAGTTACGCCGTTTGCGACCATTCCCAGTAGCTTCAGCGGCCGCCCACCTCCTCTCCTCTCCAGTTTCCTCCTCCTCCTTACTTGCCCTCTGCTTCTGCCACTAGTATTTGCCTATGAACTGGTTCTGTGACTTCTTGTTCTGTTGGCTATACCCCACTTTGCCTATGAGGGTGTGTCAAAATGTCAGGGTACATTCCGCTGTGGACATGTCCCTTAAGAAATCGTCACAATCGATTGTGACGCGTGAATACAGCATATGCTGCCAGGTGTGAGGATTCAAGACCGCGTGAGAATGTTCCGGCGTGTATTTATTATTGGATACCGTGAACCACGGAACATTCGCACGCGAATCGCAAGCAACCGTGTCTTGGACCAGCCATCGCACGCGGCTCCAAATGTCAAACCCATCTGCCTGTAGCTGGACATCTAGTTACAGCTCGAAATTTTCACACGATTATACAAAACGAGTAGGGATTGGTTGTTTAGAGCGCGAAAAGATCGCGACAATCCCGCGCCTGTCAACTCTGCAGGCCTGTGCTACATTGGGTGCAAAGTGGCAGTTTTGTCTGCCCATTATGGCCACACCCAAACTTTTCGAAGTGTGCATCGTGAATGTTGGAGCCAATCATGACGTAGCACATGTGATTGTCACGCACAATATCCATGTCGCAATACATTCATTCTTTGTGACATGAGATGTTGAGACATTTGGACACGACTCGGCGGAAAATCGATTGCGACACTTTCTTAAGGGACATGTCTACAGCGAAATGTACCCTCATTTACTGTGTATGCTGTAGTGGGGTACCCAGCAGAGAGTACAACCATTTTAGGGTTCCTATATGTATCCCACATGCCTGCTAGTGAAAACCCCTCTTCTGTTCTTACCATATCTGTCTGCTTATTCTAACAGTCGAGGCTGGCTGCATCATAACAAGCTTCTTCATTCAGCGTGAGGTATGGTATATTACACAATGAAATCAGGCAAAACATATGCTTTCGTTCCACCACCTCCTCGTAAGTTCATCCCTCCCACCCTTATATCGAAAGACGAGGCCTTATACTGAGTTCGCGGAAAGTCCGACGGTCGGACCGGAAATCAGTGAGCTTCTGGCCCTGACCAATAACAGCCTTGCTTTTGGTGCCTTTCAGTCTTTTGACCATTTGGCCTTTGGGGCCTGGATATGGGGAGGGACAAGAAAAGGCAATGGGTGCTGACCAAGAAGATCCCGCCAAAACATTTTCCTTCGGCACAACTGCTGACACAAAATGCTCACTGCATGGCAAGGCAAAGGCAACATCGAATTCACCCAACTGTGAACCATGACTCCATGGCTGCTTACATTTCAGTTCGCAGTGTAATTACGTTTCATGGCTGCAGGAAGGCTTTTCCGTAGGACTCTCAAATGCTGAAGTCATGAACTGTTTCTGTAGCCTCGACTCCTGCATTTCTGAACTGGAGATTTGATTTGATTAGCCTCCTGCATTTCTCAACTGCATTACTCAAGTACACCAAACAGACGGTGGTTATTAAATAGCTCGCCGCCTTCGTTCTTGTCTTGAGCGCCATCAGCTCTCCGACGAGCGATCAAGTCACGTGGATTATACTCAGAATCCGTTCCAGAGCTTAACAATTGATAGAAATGGCTGAAGAAGTCCTGTCACACCTACACGCCAGAACCGAGCCAGCCCTGGACAACCTTCGTTCCATGGCCGAGCCCGCGTTACAATCACTACGCACCATAAGCGAACAGGTCGGAAGCACCATCCGTCCGTACGTCATTCCCTTCGCCGTCATCCTCGCTATAATCATCCCCATCAATCTGGCATTCCAGTCGAACCCCAGTCTGCTCTCCAGCGGCTGGAGCAGCGGCGGAGGCTCGGCAGCGTCGCTTCCGTACCAGCCTCCTAGCCTCGGATGGGCCGCATTTCTGTTTCCAAGCATGAGCGGCATTGACGCGGCCATTTGCCGTGCAGAGGAGAATTACTGGGTGAGTTTTCTTTTCCCCTTTATTTCCCGGCGAACTGGCGTAATCTGTTTCCCAGCTTTCTCGCAACTTAACGTTTTATTGAGTTGAATGATAGAATTCCCCTCTGCCTTCCACCTCCCACTCCCCCGCACCCCACGCGCAGGAGAACCTTGTGCTGAGACGGAAGGCGTGCATCATAACGCTGTAACCCACATTCCCTCTCCCATCCTTCCCCCCAATGCCCTTCCCGCAGGAGAACCTTGTGCTGAGAAGGAAGGCGTGCAAGGGAACGCTGTACCCGCCACCAGCATCGATGACAGATGTCGTCATGAAAACTCTCGTGCTCATCCCCACGTACCCGTGCCCGGCGAACGAGCGCATTGGGGAGTGGGGGGACGGTGGGAAGGTGAGCCAAAGGAGCGTCTCAAATGTACCTCTGCCCTATGAAGCCTTCGGTTTGAATTCTAGCTTGCATTGGCGACGCCTTTCAGCCCCCTGTTGCATCCCGCACCCAACATGCCACCACCCTCCCCAATCTCCCTCTACCCACTCCAATCTAGCTCTACCCACTCTAAACTCCCTCTACCCACTCTCCCCCCCCCTTCCCCCCACCACCAACCACAGTGGACTTGCCTGCTGCCAGGCGCTATTCAGAAGAATCCCATTGTGTACAGGTGAGGGTGGGAAAGGGATGAGAGTAGTGAGGAGGTGAGGGGGATGAGGAGGTGGGGAGGTGCGGATGTGGGAAGTGGCGAGTAACGAGTCATAGGTCAAGTCGAAGGCGAACAAATGGGTACCCAGCTTTTCACCTCGTGAGCGATGCTTTTTGAAATTCTGTAAAATATTGTTAGCGGTTTTTTTAGGTTTTCAAAACCATCGTTGTGAGCGAGTTTCAAGATTATGAAAACAGATGGGTTGCCCAGCTCTTCGCCTTGATGGGTTCCTCACTCCAATAATTTCCTCCCACATTCTGTGCCAAACACTCCCACTAACAGCATTGGCAGCTTCGGGCAGTACTCGTTTGAAGACTCAATCTACAAGATTCTGCACGTGCAGCCGCACACGTTCGACCCGTTCCTCGTTCCCGCCACCGCTGCCCGCATGCAAAACGTCTCTTGCCTCCACTTCAACCCCATCGGCCTCTCGGCTGCCTCCGAGCTCCAAAACTACACCGCCAAGTTCCCTACCATGCAGTTCATGACTCTGGGAGGGATCATGCAGCTGTTGAATCATACATATGTTGACGTTTTCAAGATTGACTGCGAGGGGTGCGAGGAGGCTCTGATTCCTGAGATTGGGGAGGCGAATGGGAATGCGGCTTCGCAGCTGAGTTTGCACGGGGGGACGCTGCCTTTTGGGCAGATCTTGGTCGAGTTTCACAAGTGAGTGCATTGACTCGAGGGAAAGGCGCAGGGACGACAATACTGGGTGTGGGGTTGGTTGGTTGGTTGGCTGGAATGTTCAAGAGAGGGAGCTTGCATTAGCAATGCGGCTTTGCAGCTTCGCGGATCTTGGTTGAGTTCCACCAGTAAGTCTTGATGTATGGTTGTGTGGTTCAGGCATTCCCACAACTTGGTCTACTTTCGTCACTTCTAAGGGCATTCTGCAATAGGATGTGCACACTCAGTGGTGTGTGCACAATGCAGCCAGGTAGTGACAATGACTGCTGCCCTTATCTGTATCTGGAATTGATTCATTCTCCCAACACTCTTTCCCCTTCGTCTAACCACTTTTCCGCCAGAATGAATCTGCCCCAGGTGACCCTGCCGCTTGTTTACACGTTGGAGAAGCTTGGATATCGCATGTTTAGCATTGAGTACAACCCGCAGTGCTGGCATTGCTGTGAGATGAGCTTCATTCACGAGAGCCTCGTGCGTCCAGGTAGCGACAAGAACTGCCGCCCGTTTCTGGCTTCGGAAACGTTTGTAAACAAGAACGATGCAGTTGCTGTGATGCAGGAAAAGCTGGGTTTACACGATGACTAAAGGAATCAGGTACCGCATATGAGGGTCTGTGTATCATATACTAGCAAACCTGTGACTGCTAAGAAACGAGCACTCATGAAGTTAGAGATGTCGCACCCACATGTCATCGTGGATGTCATGACGAATTGGTAGTTCCATGAGCCTTTTTTTGTTATACCTACATTCCATGGGGTATTCCAGATGTACCTACCGTATCTTGTTGCTAGAATGTGGATGCTGAAATGGATCAGAAGGACCAGACTCAATTACGGTACTATATATGAAGCTTTCTATATGCTGTTAAAAACGTACGTTTGGGGCGTCTTTACTTTGAAAGCTCTCCAGGAGCGAGGATTCACATGAGGTACATTGTCAAACAGCTAATAGCGGAACTGTCACGAAACCGCTGGCGCGAAAAAGCCAAGGGCATTCGAATCGGAGGATGTTCAAGGTGTCTGCAATGATCGGTGCGGTCAATTACCACGCGGTTAAAAAAGGGTTCCTGTCAATCTGTTACGGTGTATTTTCTCACAAGAACCGCGTCGCACCACGCCGTCTCAAGACCGAGGCTCTGACATCATCCTCCCCACCAATTCGCGACCAGCCAGGCCCTTCCCTACCAGGCACCCCAAACCAGGGTTCCCCCAACCTGACACCCAGCCAAGGCAGCCACTAACCAATTGGTGTCTAGTGCGGTTAGAACTATTTCCCGCATGTTTTAGCGTTGTTCAGATCGCCTTCCTGCGAACTTGGGATAGACAGCCCCCAAAAGTACAACTATCTGGGTCCAGCGTGGCAGATTTCACGTTGCTTCCACGCTGCTTTCACGCTCTCACCTACTCTCCAGTGTGCGATCAAAATTTCCTGCACGACTCCATCTACGATCTGTGATCGCATCTCAAATCTAGTTGGTCAAGCCCAACCGTCCGATCATGAGCGGTGTTCGCACGTTGGGGACCTCTGAACAATTGCGACGTCCAGATTCGTTCCCCCTCCACCTCATCATCCTACCCAATCTCTTGCACGCGCGGAATGCACTTTTCGCTGTCCCCACTTCATGTCCGGACACCCCAGGAAGGCGATCTCAGACAACCATTACGGACCCCTTACGCACGGAAGCAAACCCTGACCCATGCACTGGATACCTCCTCACAACGATTAATCACAGTCGTCTACCCTATCCAACCTCTCGGAAACATAAAACCACCGTGCTGAATAGCATAATATCTCACCAAACCGTTTTGAAACGAGTCGCTGTGCTGGCTGGAATCTGGCAGGTTTACTGGTGTTCTCCTGAACAGGGCGGCGACTGATTGTGAATCTGTGTGATGAAAAAGAGCTATGGTTGCGTTCTTACCAAATCTACTCCTCACTTTCCAGTTTGCGGTGCTGTGAGACAGCTAGTCTAGCGCTGCACTTCAGTTGAAATGATTCAAGACTGACCCTTGTTTCCGAGCTCCACCCCGCAAGACAGAAGCGTGACGCTCGCAGCGTCATACGCAAGTTTCAAATTAGACGACAAGAAAAGGTATCAGTAGTAGTGATATAAAGATCGTTCTACTGAAAGCCTGCTGGACGAAATGACGACCCTCGAAGAAAAGCCCAAGACGCCGAAATCCTCCCTCCAGCGTGTTCCATCGCTCAAATCCCTAACATCGCCATCCGTACTTAAATCCATCTTACCCCACGCGGTCATTATTGCGGTTATCACGGCAATTATCATTCCCATTTACCTGACGTTCGCGAATCCCGGGTCATTGTCCCTGTCCTGGAGCAATGCCGGAGGGTCTTTCCAGGCTCCTGCTCTCGAATGGACTGGGAGGATGTTTTCCAGTATGAGCGGCTTCGACGCTGCGTTATGCCGAGCAGATGCAGTTTATTGGGTGCGTAAAGGTTTGTTTGTTCGATTTGTTTCTTCTTTTCTTTACGTTTATCCCGATTTTCCGTGATCTGGTGTTTGATCTTCGTTCGTATGGTGACATTCTCGCTGTCATTCTTGCTTATACCATCTTGGTGATATGAGGAATGTTCTCCGTGTCGAAGAAACAACATGCGACACTGTAAGGAGCTGACTTTTGAGTAGACTCAAGAAGGTGCATTGTTGTTTGCCAACTTGGTGAAACGAAGACGTTATTGTCTACGAGTTTTACAGTAGCGTGGTAACAACCGTCGGTGAAACCAGCATTGGCAATAACCTAGCTGTGAGCATTCCGTTCGTTTGTCTTTCCCGTGCAAAAAGATTATCGTTCGCTGGAAAGAGGTGTTGAAGGGAGCTTTACAGCCGAGGACGTAGAATCCCGTGCAAATGACTGGTTACCCTGTAACTTTCTTTTTCGTTTAATTCGTGCAGAAGGAGACGTTGAACGGCGTGCTACAGCCCAAGATGTGGAATCCCGTGCGCATGAGTGATTACCCTGTAACATTCCTTTCATTTATTTCCTGCAGAAGAACATTGCTCGCCGGAAGGAGGCGTTGAACGGCGTGCTACAGCCCAAGATGTGGAACCCCGTGCGCATGAAGGAGCTGGTGCTCATCCCCACATACCCGTGCGCCATCAACGAACGCATCGGCAAATGGGGGGACGGCGGAAAGGTGAGATAAACAGGGAGGGAGCGGAGGAAGGGGTAAGGAGGGGAGGATTTGAAGGGAGTGGGCTTGTGCTCATCGCCACGTACCCGTGCGCTATCAACGAGCGCATCGGCAAATGGGGGGGATGGAGGAAAGGTTATATACACAGGGAGGGAGGAAAGGAAGGGGTGAGGAGGGGGGAATCTGAGTGAAGGTGCTGGTGCTCATCCCGTGCACTACCATTGAACGCAACGGCAAGGTATGACCCCTCCTGACCCCATCACGTGGTGATCCCTCATGACCCCATCACGTGGTGATCCCTCATGACCCCATCACGTGGTGATCCCTCATGACCCCATCACGTGGTGATCCCTCACGACCCCATCACGTGGTGATCCCTCACGACCCCATCACGTGGTGATCCCTCATGACCCCATCACGTGGTGATCCCTCATGACCCCATCACGACCCCATCACGTGTTGAACCCTCATGAACCTATCACCTGTTGACCCCTCGTGACCTCTTGTTTTCGCTCCGCCTTCCTCCCCATCCCCTGTGCCCTCTCCTTTCGCTCTTTCCTGTGCGAAGGTGACGTGCCTTGTGCCCAACGCCATCCATAGACTAATGACACCTCGTGAACAGGTCATCACCCCTCTACACCCCTAACGACCTCTCCCCACCACCCCCCATGCCCTCTTCTGTGCGCAGTGGACGTGCCTTCTGCCCAACGCCATCCAAAAGACTAACCCCGTCGTGTACAGGTGAGGGGAGTGTGTTGGGGTGAGGGGAGTGTGATGGGGTGAGGGGAGTGTGATGGGGTGAGGGGAGTGTGATGGGGTGAGGGGAGTGTGATGGGGTGAGGGGAGTGTGATGGGGTGAGGGGAATGTGATGGGTTGAGGGAAGCTTCTGTTGTTTGGTCGTTGAATCTTTGATGGAACGTTGAAATCTTTAGAAGCATTAACATGCATCTGTTTGATAAAGAAGCGCACAGGATACAGTCTTCTGATCCCACGACCCCCTCTTGTTCCTCCTTTTAACACCCCCCTTGCTCTTCTTCTCTCTCTCCCCCTTTTCCGCCATCTGAGAGCGTCTTGCCATGTATTCGTTTGAGCATCTTCATGTACATGCCAGACCCTCGCCAGATCCTCTCACTCTTCTCTCCCCCCCTTCTTCCTACAGCATTGGGAGCTTTGGCATGTACTCGTTTGAGGAATCCATGCACAACATACTAGGCGTGAAGCCCTACACCTTCGACCCCTTTCTTAATCCGACCAACTTGGAAATTATGAAAAACCTCACATGCCTTCACTTCAACGAAATCGGCATGTCTGGGGCGGCATCTCTCGCCGGCTACAAGAAAAACTCCCCAGACAAAAAGTTTTTGACGCTGCCCGAAATGATGAAGGAGATGGGGCACACTTATGTGGACGTGTTCAAGATTGACTGCGAGGGGTGCGAGGTGGAAATGATTAAGGACTTGGGAGCCGCGTATATGAACACGGGGAATAAGCTCGCGCTGCACGGAGGGAATCTGCCGTTCGGACAGATCCTCATCGAGTTGCACAAGTGAGTTGCTCGATATGGGGTATTTTTTTGTGACCAGGTGAGTACAGAGTATGTGGTTATCACATCGAGGTATCACACAGTCTGATCCGTATCAAGATGCACGAGGGAGATCCTCTGCTCAGCTTGATCAGTCCTTCCTTTAAATTAGCTTAAATAAGTTTTTTTGTACTCGGTAATCCGGCTATATGCTTGAGAGGCATAATTGCCGCATGTTCAGGATCGAGTGCCCCCTCCTCCTTCCCCTTTTCCTATATAACAAGACCCCCCCCCCCCCCTCCCCTCCTCGTCTCTCCTTTCTCCTTCCCGTTACCAGCATGAACAGTGCCCCTATATCTCTCGAGACCTTCTACACTCTCGAGAAGCTGGGCTATCGCATGTTCAGCATCGAGTACAACCCCTACTGCCCCATGTGTGTCGAAATGAGTCTCATTCACGAGAGCCTTGTGAAGCCCTCGAGCGAGACTGACTGCCGGCCGTTTGTAGCACCTGAAATTAAGAATGCAGGTGAGGAGAAGGGGAAGGTTGCGGGTGCAGGTGCAGGTAGCAAGTAGATGGCGGAAGTGCTTAAAGGAAGGGGGTGATTTGGAAGCTCTCAAAGGCAATGGGGATTTTGAAAGGAGACAGTGTGGATAGGAGTTTTCTGCGGAGGAATTGAATTTGGTGCAAGATTTGCCAATAGATATAATTAGAGGTACAATCACGATTATGTATTGATGAGCGCTAGTGCTTCTGCATTTTGTCTTATGTTGACGACCAGCAGCATTTGTAATTATCAAGTTTGAAGGCAATACAGGTAGATGAAACCTACCAGTAAGAATTTCCTCATGAATGAAGGTCTAGATTGTGTTTTCTAGCGTCAAGATGTACTGATGAATCTGGGACTACCAACCGATAACGCGGAAAAATCTTTTGTTGCGAATGACGATGTGCCAGTTGATTGGTCGGGCTGGATTCCCGCCGAGCTCGCTGCGCCAAAATCCTGTCAGCCTGGTTCGGGCACCACCTGACAAGGATGTTTGCTTTGACTGCGCATCCTTCCCAGCCCCGACCTTCGAACTGCTGCCCTGTCCAGTCCAGTCACTTGTCAGTCGCCATGAACCACATCCAAAACCTTTCCGAACCAATCATATGCTCTCCCGCCTGGGCTATGGCTGGCTAATCAACTCACCAAAAGTGGAAAACAGTGTCAGCAGATGGCAACAGATATCATTTGCTGGACATCAGTACGGTGTCGCAGAAACAAAGCTCGGTTTCGTGGTTTCAAGAAAGGTTGGAACCAACTAATGCTCCACGGTCGCTTCCCCCTATCTGGATTTCTGGGAATGGAGATGGAAAGAAAGGCAAAAGCTAGCATAAAGAAGTGCAAAACCTCGACTACTCCCTATGCACCAGTCTGGGACATATCCTGACTCAGTAAAACGCGTTTTTTTAAGGATCTGATTTCGCTTCCAGAGCCTTTGAGCTCGGTTGTGTCGACGACTGGTTGCTAGTTATAATTTCGGGATTGCTTTTCACCAAGGATTCCTAACTTCCCGATTTTCGGAGCTCTTTCTGCGATCCGCATTCTCACACAGAAAGAAAGGCAAACAAGCATATACGTTGATCCAAGATGGGTTCCGATGATTTCAAGAAGAGTCACTCCCCCGCTAATTCCAAATCATGCATCAAATGCATGACTCCCTACGTCATCGCTCTAGGCGTGCTCGTCGCCTTGATTACCTTCTTCCACGTGTCACCATCGCAGCCGTCGCCTGGATTAAGCTCATTCGGTCCGTCTTACCTTCCGCCGAATCTCGGCTGGGTCGCGTTTCTGTTTCCCAGCACGAACAAGATCGACGCGACGATCTGCCGCGCAGAGGCAAATCATTGGGTGAGAATTTGACAGAAAAGCATACACATTTGCATCCGTACGTAGTTTTTGGCTTTATCGAGTCGTTTCTCAGCGCAGGTGCGAGGAGTTTCAAAGCGCATTGTCGGTCTAAGCGTCCACATTGGATTAACATGGATGTCGAATAAAACACGCACATTCAATGACCTCACTCTCGTCCTTTCATGCAGGAGATTTAGGAGGATTTCAAAGAAATTCCTCACAATGCAAGAGAACGTTGAGCACAGCGAGGAGAGCTTCGTCTTGAAGGCACATTCTCCGTCCTAACGTCCTCATGTGATTATCTCCTTCTCGTTCTTTTCCGCTTTCCGGATTGCAGGAGAACATTGAGCGCAGGCGCAAGGAGTTCAAAGGCGCGCTATTGCCGATGCTGGGCAACCCCCGGTTTGTCAACATTCTCCATCTACGCATTTACATTTCCTCTCTTTTATCGGAATTTATTATTCCTTATTCGGGTACATTTCCACGTTGCAGGAGAACGTTGAGCGCCGGCGCAAGGAGTTCAACGGCGACCTACAGCCGATGCTGGGCAACCCCGTGCGAATGAAGGAGCTGATCCTCGTGCCCACGTACACGTGTCCCCTCAACGAGCGCATCGGGAAATGGGGCGATGGCGGGAAGGTGAGCAGGGAAATTGCGAGAGGATGGAAAGGTTAAGAGGAAGAGAGAGGGGTGCAGTACGGTTCTCAACCCCGTGCAAATGAAGGAGTTGATCCTCGTGCCCACGTACACGTGTCCCCTCAACGAGCGCATCGGGAAATGGGGCGATGGCGGGAAGGTGAGCAGGGAAATTGCGAGAGGATGGAAAGGTTAAGAGGAAGAGAGAGGGGTGCAGTACGGTTCTCAACCCCGTGCAAATGAAGGAGTTGATCCTCGTGCCCACGTACACGTGTCCCCTCAACGAGCGCATCGGGAAATGGAGCGACGACGGGAAGGTGAGAAGGGAATTTATTAGATGATGGAAAGGTCAAGTGGAAGAGAGAGTACTCTCATTTCGAGCCTCGCGCCTTCCCTCACGTCCCCCCCAACCCCCCTTTCCCCTCCCCTCTTCTTTCACAAGTAGGAAAAGGAGAACGAAAAATGGACTTGCAGATAACTTTTGCGTGTCCCTCTGTGCGGCTGTTCTCATGCCTTCCCATGGCTCCATTCCCATGCCTCCCTCCCCATGCCTCCCTTCCCATGCCTCCCTCCCCATGCCCCCCTTCCCATGCCTCCCTCCCCATGCCTCCCTTCCCATGCCTCCCTCCCCATGCCTCCCTTCCCACGCCTCCCTCCCCATGCCTCCCTTCCCATGCCTCCCTCTCCATACCTCCCTCCCCATACATAACCTTTCATGCCTCCTTCCATCCACAGTGGGCGTGCATGATGCCGTCTGTCATCCAGAAGAAAGATCCGGTCGTGTACAGGTGAGGGGGGTGAGATGCAGTAAGGTTGAATGCAGTGAGAGGGCAGTACGGTTGAGGCCGGTGAGAGGGCAGTGGAGGTGAGGGCGGTGAGATTGATATATAATGGACGGGTAAAGAGTCTGCATGGTATTTGAATACATCCGATCGCATCGAATTCAATTGTTTTTCTCTTGTTTCTTATTCTCACTCGTCATCCCCTACTTGTTATTCCATTCCCATCGTACATTTTCGTTGAACAGTCATAAAACTTCTTCGCATTCCTCCCTCCCCCTTACGTCTCTCCCCTGCAGCATTGGCAGCTTTGGAATGTTCTCGTTCGAGAAGGAGATGCACCAAATGCTGCGCACCATGCCCTACACATTCGACCCCTTCCTCCCCCCTGAAAAGCGCAACATCATGGCCGCCCTCCCCTTCCTCCACTTCATCGAAATCGGCCTCTCCGGAACCGCCTCCCTCCCCGTCTACCGCACAAGATTCCCCGAGAAAAAGTTTGCGACGCTGCCCGAGATGATGGGGCAGTTCGGGCACAGCTACGTGGACGTGTTCAAGATTGACTGCGAGGGGTGTGAGGTTGAGTGGATCAAGGACCTTGGCAAGCTGTATAACAACACTGGGAAGAGGCTGGCTGTGCATGGGGGGAAGCTTCCTTTCGGGCAGATCCTCATCGAATTCCACAAGTAAGGGGTATTTCTAGTTAAATTGATAATTCACCCGTTTTCGCAGCGTGCTCCCTTTCTGCCTCTGTTCTCTTTCAGTTTGCATGCTTCCATGCTTTCTCTCGTATTCTCTCGTCGCATCTGTGTTTGCACGGGTAATCCAACCTATTTTGCAGTAGCCATAACCACCTCCCCTTCCACGTTCTCTGCTTCTCCATCCTCGTTATTGTCTGTTCCCTTCCCGTTTGCAGCATGGACAAGAGCGTCAAGACTCTCACAATGGTCTACACGCTCGAGAATCTCGGCTATCGCATGTTCAGCATCGAATACAACCACCGCTGCGCCGTGTGCTGTGAGATGAGCTTCATTCACGAGAGCCTTGTGCGCCCAGATAGTGCCACCGATTGCCGCCCGTTCCTGGCTCCCCCGCTAGAGGACAAGCTGGAAGTGGAGGTGGTGACTGAGGGAGGTGGTACTGGCGATGATGGTGCTGCTGCTGATGGTGATGGTGCTGGTGATGGTGAAGGTGCTGCTGTTGATGGTGATAGTACTGGTGATGGTGTTGGTGCTGTTGATGGTGCTGCTGCGGCTGCGGAAATTGCTGGTGGTGCGGTGGATGGTGTTGATGCTTCTGGCGCCACTGATGCTACAGATGCTACTGACGCCAATGGTTCTGCTGCTGCTGCTACTGCTGATTCGATTGCTGAAACTAAGGACATCAAGGAGGCAGAATCTGCTGGTGATTCTGATATGGAGCCTGGCAGCAAGGTGGCTGCTGAGGAGATTGAAAAGGAGAAGAAGGGAGAGGACAATGAAGAAGAGGAAGAGAAGGAGGAGACGGCAAGTGAGAAGGTTGTTGGAAACAGGAAGGTGAAGGTTGGAGGGAAGGGCAAGGAGGACGGGAGCAGCAAGGGGACTAGCAAGGTGACCAGCAAGGGGAGCGTGAAGGAAAGAAGTACCAAGGTGGGGAAGAAGATCAGCAAGGAGAAGAGCAGCAAAACGAGCAAGAAGGAAACCAAGGAGGAGGAGGAAGAGGAGTGATCGATGATGACTGGAAAGAAGTGAGAGGGATACGGACGAAGAGTTGGTGGGGTTGGGGGAGAGCTTTTCAAGGCAATACAGTGGCCAATTACCAGTCTAGCATTGTTACAAGAGCATGGATTTAGCATATGAAAGAATAGGAATTATGTTGTTGAAAATTAGGTTTCCATTGGCTATTTATTGTTGAAGATAGTTTGGAAACTCCTTATTTGGATCTTGATATATACCGTATAATGAGATAGTTCTAGCGGCTGTTAATGCACTTCTCTTCATGGGAAGTGTTACGAGTGCAATTGAGTGAACGATCGAGAATTGCACTATCGAAGCAAGAATACATTTAGCGAAGGCATAAGCGAAGAATATATAGCGAAACTACAGTGGTAACGGTAATGGACTGTGGTTGTCGCGCGACGGGCCTGGGACTGAGGTTGGGAAAGTGTCGAAGCGGAGGCCCGGAGCGCGGGTTACCAGCCGAGCCGTGAGGACGGGGTGCGAAAGTGCGAAAGTGGCGGGCTGATTGTCGATGCGAGGATCGCGAGTGGTAACGGTGCTGACTGTCGTGCTACAGTGTGTCAAACATTATATATGTTGTGCTTGTTTAGGCTACAGTGGGTTAGCCTATAGGAGGTACACAATTCTAGGGTTAGGTACTTGTACTGATTTCACTGATAGTTCAATCATTCCTGTTCATTGATTCCAACATGGTATAGAGCAGGTCCTTCCTAGGACCGATTTTTTAGGGCCCACCACTACCTACCTACCTACCTACCTACCTACCTGCGCCCTAGGGCGCCTCGGTTTTCACGGCCCTCTAAGGCCTCGTCGGCCCGCCCCTAGAGGCCCCTAACAGCCCACGCGCTAGCCCCTAGCGGCCCCGAACGGCCCCGCGATCGCCCCGTCGGCCCCTCGCTTATCTCCCTAGAGGCCCCGTCGGCCCCGCGCTCACCTCCATAGAGGCCCCGAACGGCCCCGTCCGCCCCGCGCTTACCTCCCTAGAGGCCCCGTCGGCCCCGCGCTCACCTCTCTAGAGGCCCCGAACGGCCCCGTCGGCCCCTAGAGGCCCCTTTACGGCCCCGCGCTCACCTCCCTAGCGGCCCCGAGCGGCCCCGTCGGCCCCTAGAGGCCCCGTTAAGGCCCCGCGCTCACCTCCCTAGAGGCCCCGCACGGCCCCGTCGGCCCCGCGCCCACAGACCCTAGAGGCCCCGAGCGGCCCGTGACCGCCACAGCCCGGGACCGAACCGAGCCATGCGACCCGAGCCGAGCCGCACGACCCAAGCCGAGCCGCGCGACCCGACCTGAACCGCGCCGCCCCACCCGAGCCGCGCCGCCCTACCTGAACCGAGCCGCCCTACCTGCTTCCTCCTCCTCCTACTGCTGCTACTTCTACTGCTCCTATGGCTAGCCCACAGGTTCTAGTTTTCGATGCTGAGGGCCGCCCAGTGAAGTTTGACACCTGGCTAGATGACTTGCACCTCTATCTACAGCTCACAGCCAAGGACCACATCTCACTGTACGACCACGCCCTAGGCCATGTCACTGCCCCTGCTGCTACTGCTGACAGCACTGCTCGCTCACAGTGGCAGACTCGTGATGCCCACGCTCGCTTCGCTATTCGCAACTCCCTGCCGATAGACGAACACAAGCACTTTGGCCAGCACAAGACTGCACAGGCACTGTACACAGCTGTCGTTGCTCGCTACTCCTCACCTGCCTCTGCCGCGCTAGGCCGTCTCTCCCTCCCCTACCTGTTTCCCGACTTGGCCTCGTTCCACACAGTCGCTGACCTCATCACGCACCTCCGTACTAGTGAGGCCCGCTTCCGTGCCGCCATGCCCGCTGAGTTCCTTGCCACACCCCCCCCCCCACTCTGGCTCACTCTCTACCACCTCGTCACCCGCCTCCCTAACACACTGCGTGCTGTACGGGACCACTTCCTAGCTCGCTGCCCCACTGAGCTCACCATTGCCCTCCTCGAGAAGGAACTGCTTGCAGCTGAGACTAGCATAGTCGCTGTAGGTGCCTCTCGTGGCGACCCCCATACCCCGTTCTTTGAGGGGTGTTCTCCTTCCCCCCTTCTTCCCTCTGTCGCCTCTGCTGCTGCCGTCGACCTCCTTGGTGCTGAGAAGTGTTGAACAAGAATGGATGAACTAACAGTGAAAATGAGTACAAGTATGAAAACCTAGAAATGTGTACCCCCTATAGACTAACCTACTGTAGCCTAAACAACTACAACAACATTTATAATGTTTGACACACCCCCATAGGCGAAGTGGGGGAGAACTAGTGGTCACAAGACCAGTCAAGTAAAGCAAAGCAAGCTCAGGGTGGATCACAACGTCACCACACAATCCGAGCACAGGTTCAAGGCCACAAGGCCAGTTCACATGCACGAGTACATATATATATATAAGACTAAACAAGCAAGAGCAGTAATATATATATGTAATAGCACAAAGAGGGTCAAGAGGAGGGCAAGTGAGGCAAGACAGACACAAGACCCAGCTGGGTACAGCAGCGGTGATGATCACAAGGCGGAAGTGCCTTGGTGAAGACATCAGCAGTGTTGGCCTCAGAGGCCACGTACGCAAGTAGCAACTGACCACGCTGCTGTAGCTCATGAGCAAGGAAGTAGCGGAGAGCAATGTGCTTTGTTCTGTGCTCCAGTCTCTGCTCTTGACACAAGGCCAGCATGGCCTTGTTGTCGACGTACAGCACTGGAGGAGAACCAGGCGGCTCTCCAAGGTCGGTCAGCTGGTAGGTGAGCCAGCGAAGCTCCTGAGCAGCCATGCCCCCCGCGTAGATCTCAGCCTCACAACTGGAGCCGAGAACAGAAGACGAGCGAGTAGCCCGCCACGAAATAGAGCCGGAACCAAGGCTGAAGGTGTAACCCTGTGACGACCGTTGCGTAGCCTGGTCGTCAGCCCAAGAAGCGTCTGCGTGTCCAGTGAGGACCACTGGACTCCGCCCTCCAAGAACTAGCCCAATGCGCGACGTACTGCACAAGTAGCGCAACACCCTCTTCGCTGCAACCATGTGGTCTGTGTTTCCCAGGAGCAACATAGCGTGCAAGAATGCTAAGAGGGTATGCAAGGTCAGGTCGTGTGCAGGTCATCAGGTACATGAGACAGCCAACAAGCTCTGGGTACAGGCCACTCGACTCTACGGACTCATCCGAAGGCAGAGCTGAGAGCGAATGGCGAGTAGACAGAGGAGTGGCCTGAGGCGAGGAGTACGTGAAGCCGAAGCGCTGAAGGACCTGCTGCACCATGTGTGACTGAGTCAGGGTAATGGTGCGGCGTGCTCTGTCCCGGGTGATCTGCAAGCCAAGGTAGCTGCGCAGTTCACCCAGGTCAGTGCACGTGTGTCTCTTCTGCAGCTCGGACTTCACGTAGGCGAGTCCAGCAGTGTCAGCTGTGGCAAAGACCAAGTCGTCAACGTACACGAGGATGTAGAACGGCGGCAGAGAGGTGTCGGCGCGCAGAAACAGCGACGGGTCGGCAGTAGAAGGAGCAAACCCAAGAGCCGCAAGCGTAGTCCTGAGTGTGTCGTGCCACTCACGTGGCGCGTGGCGGAGACCATAGACTGGACGCCCGAGACTCCACTGGGTACCAGGAGGGAAAGACCCAGTGAAGCCAGGTGGGCGGCGCAGCCATATCTCCTCGTGCAGGCTGCCCGGCAAGAAAGCTGTGCTGAAGTCGAGAGAGTGCAGCTCGTAGTCCCGGTGAGCAGCAACGTGCAGCAGTACCCGAAGAGTGGTCATCTTCGGGGTGGGGGAGAAGGTCTGAAAGTAGTCGACTCTCTGCCGCTGACTGAAGCCACGAGCCACGTAACACGCCTTGAAGACAGGCGGAGAACCCGGCGGCCGCTTCACCCTGAAGATCCACATGCCACTGACGATGTTCGCCCCAGGAGGGGGGACACCGTCAACGTAGGTGCCTGTGGACTTCCAGGAAGCCATCTCTGCATCCATAGCTGCCTGCCACTGAGAGGAGTAGGGACCCTCTATCGCCTCCGCGCAAGAGCGCGGAGTCGGGATGTCAATTGCATCCGGGTCTCCCTCAGGGGTAAGCAGTACGGACAGGAGATGAGGTGAAGCAGCCGCCAGACAGTGGAACTCCTCCTGCCTGTCCTCAAGGACGTCCGTGCCAAGGGCACACGCACCCCCGACGAACGGAGGACAGACAGACTCAGACTCAGCGACAAGACTCGCAGCGTAGTCTAGGCTACAGTGAGCAACAAAGTCGACGAGCTCAGCAACTAGGGCAGACGTAGCAGAAGACTCGAAAGAAGGGTCAGTGATGGCAGTAGCAAGGAGACGCGTGACAGTAGGACTGGCAGCACCAAGAGAGTCCGACGCAGGGTCGGCGAGAGCAGGAAGAAAGGACTCAGGAGGAGAAGGCAAAGGGGCACGTAGAGGAGCAGTAGACGGACGTAGAGACATCCGGTGCGTGCCAAGGACAGGAGGAGGAAGCTGACGCGAACTACGAGCACTAGCGCTAGCAGGACGGACAGGCGACGCAGGACGAGACGTAGACTCACGACGCTCAGTAAGACCGCCAGTAGGACCAGTGTAAGGAGAAGGAGCAGGTAGTGGGGAGGCCGGCTGCAACTGTAATAGGGACGGGACAGGCTCTGAACACGCTAAGGGAGGAGGACCAGGAGGAGGCGAGAGACCAAGAACTTGCTGAAGGAGCGGAACGAAGTACAGATGAGGGCGCGCGGCAACTCCAGACACAGCAGGGACAGCACCAGGACCCCCAGCGGCAGTACCAGCACCAGCTCCAACGCCCAGGTTCTCCGTACTAGCCTCAGCACCAACGCGCGAGTCCTCAACACAAGCAGTGGCTGCAACACCAGCAGTGGCTGCAACACGAGGGTCCACAGCACCTGCCGCAGCTCCAACGCCCGGGTCCTCAGCACCAGCAGGGACTCCAACACTAGGGTCCGCAACACCAGCAGCAGCTCCAACGCCAGGGTCCGCAGCACCAGCCGCAGCCCCA